GGTGGTGTCGAAGGTCAGTATAATGTGTCTCGTTTTACGTTCTACACCCTCACGACGAAGGGTGATGCGACGAGCGGCAACAACTCCCTGGTCTGAAAGGCCTTCAACAAGCTCTTCCTCAGACGAGTCCATTAGGTCGTCCTCCGAGATAACTCCTTGAACTGTATTAAGTCTGCGGTGTGGAGTAACGTTTACTTTGTATTCAGACACAGCGTTGAGAGAAAGAAGGGCATCACTTTGCTTTTTGGTGCTGATCTCAACAAGAAGATCACCGGATGGCATCTTTTTGGCAGAGTAATCTTTCCCAACGATTCCTTCCAGTACCTTGGCGACTAAGAAAGGGGACAGTTTGGCAAGTGGTTTTTCTTCTTCAGAGTGTAAGACCAGGAATTTTGGAAATTTTTCGAGTACTTTGGATGTTTCGGGAGTGACTTGAGCTTCGGTGCGGCCCCTTTTAAGGGGCCGATCAAAAGGTTTAAGTTTGGAACCCATATAAAGGGGGAGGGTTTTCGGAAACTGTGGTGCACCGCCCACCACCGAGCCCAACAAGGGAATAGGTAACGCTCCATAACAAGTATGGCTTGGCTGAAGACGTTACTCTATTAGTGCTGCCCAGTCTCTATAACCAAGAGCGGTTCTGGACAAGGTGTCTGTCGCCACCCAAGGTTAGCCCTTGCCGCCAAAAGAGTTGAAAAGGAAAGAAGAGAAATGAGAAGAGTGAAAAGGAGGAGAAGACAAGGGTGAAAGTAGAGAGGGGATAGTAGAAGTGGCAACTAGACTGAATCATCCTGGCCGGGCCTTACCAGGACTCCCGTCTCAAGAAGCAGGGGCCGAAGTGGTGTATTGCCTCACCCGGGGGGCCCCGAAGGGTCCAAACCTACCCCGGGTTCGGCTCAACCACCAGGATGCCCTTTTCCCCGGACACGGGAAAGCCACGCACAGCCATACATGGGCGGGCGAACCCGCATGGCTCGGGGTCCGTGGAGACGCCACTCTACAAACACCTGCTTTCACAGGTGCCCCCTGCGGGGAACTAAGGAAGACAAAGACAACAAAGCGCGCTTTCCGAGGCAAGCAGAGGCTGTTTCTCGAAGTTGACAATTTGCTCCGTCAATTTGTAACGAGTACCCAGAGCAATGGCTACACAGTTTCGACGGAGATGCTGTGCATTAAAGCGCTCGACATTGCATGATGCAAGGAGATACTGGCGACTTTGCTAAAGCCAGCAGTGGGTGGATTCGGAAAAAGGATTTCCAAATCCACCCAAATCCTTTTCCAAAAAAAGGATTTCCGAAAAGATTTTCTGTTTCTCTTTGTGCAATGGTCGCACCCCTAGTTCTCGCCCGAAATCATAAAAGAATACCTGTGGCCGTTACACGCGTATATACGGTAACTACATATATTTATGAACAGTGGCATGTGAACGACAAATTTGTCACAGCTATCGTAATCAAGGTGATTTATAGATCTGACTGCTATATGCAAATATACTTCCTTAAATTTAATATTTTACAACATAAAAATACCAAGAACGCGGGCTATCAGGACGTCGCTGCCCAACATATACTTAGGGTCCTTCGTTTTTGGGCAAAACCAGATATTTCCTGATACTTACACCCTGACCATGCTTCTAGAAATTCAGGTCAAACCCGCTTGTCCAGCTCGCTTGCACCTTCGCATTTAATTGTATTATAACCAATTTCCCCTGAATTTGGAAATTGAATTCCACCATATTCCAAATTGCTCTGCTTAGAAACTATTTTCTGGGAAACAAAGGGTTGGTAGGAACATGTGCGCTAGCTTCAGACCTAGGAAGCGAACATAGATTTTGTTGGTTTCAGTTTAGTGCAATGACATAGATCCAGCTTCAATATGTTACTTTTACGTCCATTGTGAAGTATCTTTTGCACTTCTCTTTCAGTTTCAACCAGCACAAAAAAAAAAAAAGGAAAAAGAGGATGATAAACGATTCTCAAAACATTGTTTCGAAAAGAACAGCAGATATTTTGTTCCTGTCAAACTGGAGCGATATTGTTGCACATTGTAAATGTATGAGTAAGCTGTGACGTGAACAGCCTTTTCTCAATTCAGTGTCCAAAAACTGGACAGGACTGTGATGGAAACAGAGATGCTGCGCATGCAGATTATGTAAGCAACATGGACTAAGAAAAATTTAAAAGCCCGAGTGAGCACTTATACCTCGTTCTAATGCTAGCTTATGTACTTTAATGACTTAATTGCGGAAAAAAAATTAAAAAATCATTTTATATATAGAAATTGATTAATGCTTTTTTATTGTTAGTTATATTTCTAAAAAATACCTGAAAAACCAGAATTTCATAATAATTTCTTTAAAAATCCCATTTGTTCCTGATTACCAGGTTGGAACGAAGCGCCGAATAATCTTTTACCAATTTAAAAAAAAAATCATAAAACCCAAAAACGAAGGACCCCAGATATACCCTATAGTAGTCCGGAACAGGTTAATAGTTCAGGGTGACGTTTCTCTTTCCACTTTAGCAGAGCCAACGCTGGAGAAGAAACAACCTCCTTCTCAGCATTCACTCTGCTAAGGCGGGAGGAGCTTACCCTGAATTCTTAAACAGGCACCAACTACGATGCAATCCACTTATAACAATAACGAGAAAACCCGAAATCTCAAATCAAATAAAAATCAGTTTATTTTTACCATGCACAACTTTCGGGTGATTCAAGGAGATGGCAGGCTCTTTAAGTCGACCGCAAAATTCGGTTTCTTCACCTGTCGCGCTACGACTTTGTGCAGCGTTGCCCACAGATGGTACATTTCTTTTTGTAAAATTTGCAAAGAGCGAACTTATCTGAGGAAAAAGTAGAGAAAGAAAAAGGCTTAGCTCCTATGAAAACGCAGCGACGCCACCCACGGCGCTGTTTCGCACGGGAGACAAGAGATGGCGCAAGCGGTCGCGACGCCAACTGCCGCCAACGAACGAGCAGACGACGCCGAGAGCCGGCGTATTTAGCAGACAAGGAACTGCAGTTCCTTGTTGTTAACACGCCTGTTTTTGTTTCTGTGACTGTCGCCGCCCGCGGAAGGCGCTCCGCTTTTGAGTCGAAAAGATTGTCTGCTAAAGACGCTGGCTCTCGGCGCTGTATGCACGTTCGTTGCGCCATCTCTTGTCTCCCGTGCGAAACGGCGCCATGTTGTTTGCAGACCGGTGGCGTCGCTGCATTTCCATAGGAGCTAAGCCTTTTTCTTTCTCTACTTTTTCCTCAGGTAAGTTCGCTCTTTGCAAATTTTACAAAAAGAAAAGTACCATCTGTGAGCAACGCTGCACAAAGTCGTAGCACGATAGGCTAAGAAACCGAATTTTGCGGTCGATTTAAAGAGCCTGCCGTCTCCTTGAATCACCCGGTAGAGACAAAGGAGCTGTGGGAAGAAGGCTGCAGCATTGCAGCTTGACAACTCCACAGACCCTTAATATGACTACGCCAGACGTTTTCGTCCGCTGTACTCATTATAACCGTTATAACTGATTATTGTTGTATCTGGACTCTAAACTGATCGTTTCTAGTCTAGAAACTGATCGTTATAAGCAATACATCGTTATACGTGGTACCGTTATAAGTGGATTGCACTGTATAGCATAATCGCGGCAGGTTAGCCCCGTTGAGTGCGCTTCTCACCCAGCACCTGCGCGTTGCCGGAAAGCAATACCCGCGGAGCCCACAAGCTCCACGGGTATTGCTTCCCCGCTGCGCAGAGGTGCTCGGTGAGAAGCGCACTCAAAGGGGCTAACCCGGCGCGATCACTTCGAAAAGTATGAATATCGCAGTTCATCTCGAAGCGGATATCGAATAGTGCATTATTAGAAAAATTTGAATATTTTCCCCACCCTAGCAGCGAGTCCTAGCGAGCCAATCCGGCAGCATCACGTTATCTGTAAGTCACATGGTCATAGAAAAGGCGCGACACAATCTGCTGTCTCCTCGAGCACGCAGGTTTTGGCACTTTTCTTCCCTTAGTCATTGTAAGGCGGACTCTAGGCAGCCTAGCTTTGGAAAGCATAGAGAAGAATTTAGTAATTTTACTTCAAACAGCAGCTGCTGTAGCCTAGTTGGACAATCGGCAACAAATCCCCAATTGGAATTTGCCAAATAAAGTGAATGTTTAACAACATAATTAGTGGATTTTTGGTAATTAGACTGCTAATTATAACTTTTTATTGTTTACTGACGTTCGCCACAATCGACATTATTCTGAAGAAATTTTTTTTATTTTGAGTGTACTTTTTTGTTTGATTATTCTTAGTCATTGGTGAAATGCCTTGTATATAGGATGGCGCAACACCGAGACCAACTGTAAAATTTAACATTCACAAGGTAAAATTCACAACTAAAATCTCAACATGTATTTTTGTAGCGAATTCTCCGGGCACGTCGAAATGTTTAATTTCAGTTAGTGCATAATCTGTAAAAACTGGGGGATGGGTGCTTTATGGACCAAGAGCAGAAATGTAGAAGGGGTACATGATAGGGTGGACTTCACCCATTTGTACTGTAGTGTTTGGAGAAGCGAGTGAGAATAGAGGAGCATCCCACTCAGGCTCAGAAGTCTGAGGCAATCACTTATGTCCTTTGCTGTTCTTTTAAAACATGTCAAAGGTACCGGGTGGGAGCTCATTGGGACATGGGCTCATGCCCGGTATTTTACGCACACTATGCCTTAGCTAGGTTTCTTGCACACTCTGCTGGAAAGTAAATACAGCATGCAGGCCTTGTTCATAGACAAAATAGGGTATTATTTTATGTATATGCTTCACCCCAACTTTTCTCGGACCCTTTTCGTGGGACTTCGTCCCTAGAGATGGCCCAGTAGTCTGCTTGTAGGTACGATGACATGGTGCTCTCTACCTTGAGGGTCTGTCTTGGGTACTTAAACATATGTTGTGTGCTAGGACCTTGAGCACAATAACGGTTGTTGAGTAACTGATAGTACAGTGGCTTTCCCCACGAGTTACCTCTTGCAGCTGATCAAACTGACACGGGCCCAATCCAGCGCCGCCATCTTGGTTTTCGGCTCACAACTTGCGAGGCAGGGACACACCCTGTGCACCAGGATTGACAGCTTTTCGGCCGTGGACTTGACCCAGTCGTCGGTTCGCTGGATGCGGGGCACCCGGGAAGCGGCGCCTGGAAGCAGACATTGTTGGACGTTTCGCAAACCATGGAACTTGCCGCACGTCGGGACGAGAAACTACCAAGATAAATTTGGTACATAATCATATCCAGTATGATTGCCAGAGAGCTAAACTACACATTAGACACATCCTCATAAGAAAATGTCCAATCTCAGATGTTTTACCGTCATGCATTGGCAATAGCATAAACGTCGAAGCTTACACATACTATATATATAATATCTAAATTTTTAATTTATTTAAACTGTCTTGACTAACTAAATGAATACACTACAATCCACTTATAATGATACCATATATAACGATCAGTTCCTAGAATTTCTAGGCTAGAAACGCTCAGTCTCTAGTCCAGAAACAACGATAATCGGTTATAACGATTGAATTTTTAGGTTTTCTCATTAGAGCTATAAGTGGATTGCACTTTAGTTCTACATCAGAATTGTATGATTATTGAATCTGCTGATTTATTGCTGAACCGTAAATTCAACAAAAATTTTGCAATTCCTTTTTCAGGAACCCTTACTTTTTACCCATTACATGACTGGACTCATGAGTCATACTGCACAGTGCTGGGCACTTACTTCTGTCCTAAACCTCCAAGAATGTTCAACCAATACCTTCTCCTGCTTCTTTCTAAGACTTTGATGTATCTTAAAACCGAGATCTGCATTTTGCGTTTATCCCCTTATATGCCAGTTTCAGTCACAAGGCGGCACAGTACCATAAAAACGTGCGTGTTCCAACTGGTATAGTAAACAAACACGAAGTGCATGGGAGAACCTAAATTATGAGGGAAGGTCAACAGTACCAGAAAGGTTCTGGTCTGCCTCTTGCAATGCCGCCTTCTGCTTGTAGTACTGCAAATGCTGATCGCTCAAGACCTCTTCCATGACACATGCCCACGTGTTCAAAGCGACTGCAGCAGTTTTCTGTAAGGAAACGGTCGGTTGCATTGAGAGACAGCATGACGTGCGGCTCGATGCGCCCTCAAACCGCACCTGACTTCGATTCTCAGTGTTCAAGATGACGTGCGTCAAAGCAATCGAAATGCCAGGAAGGAAACCAGCAAACGCATTCCCAGAACAAAGGTGCATGTGCTCGTCGCTTGAGGAACCTGAAAGAAAAAGTCAGACAAAATACTGTATAAGCAAAGAATTGGGAGCCCTTTAAAGGGCCCTGCAATGACTTTTTGACTGGTTTTTTATTTGCACTGAACCTGAGCGTACTGAACGTAGTAACTTAATCCAACTTTTCTTTTCTCAAATTTCGCTTTATTTTAAAAGTTATAGGCAAATTAGAATTACAAAAACAAGCAAAAAATAACCTCCTTCATGACGTCGTAGGTCCTGGCTTGAGTGGCCTTGAACTAGAGAAGGAGTAGTGAGCTCATCGAGCGCACACGGCTGCCGCACTCCGTGTCGACGGCTCGAGAGGGCGCCACTAAAGCACGTATTGGATACGCTGTATGAAGCGGGCGGCCAGGGCAGCTCGCATTGCTTTTGCTGCGCGACTAATCACTAATTCGGCATAACACTTCATTGGCCACAAACGACAGCAAACACGGAGTAAAGATCAGTTCAGAACGGGAGCCACTTCGCGCTGACGCACCGCCAAATGGCCAAATCGCCAGCAGGGCCCGCGTCGAAGGCCTTCAGAACGCTCGGAACCGGTCGGATTCTTGAGCCGGTATACGACCACAGCGCCGCCGCGTACATCCGGGACCTTTCTACGCTCCTCGTTTGTCGTAGCCTCATCCCACTAGCCTTTTCTAGTATGCGCCGTTTTTTTCCGCCGCTTGGTGGCGGGTATGTCGACGGGTCATTTCTCGTTTCCGTACTTTCTAAACTGCATTTGTTTCTTTTCTGATCTAAAATAGTGAACAAAAACTACTTTCATACATAATTGAAACGGTTCGCGACACTTATATTTTGTATCTCGACTAAAAAAAAGCTCTTAGCGGCTTTGACCAGTGGCAAGCCCAGGACCAAAGACGTCACATTTTGCGCGCTTTCGGTACCGCGGGTCGCCCTCGTCGGTGGAGGAGGTTTCCGCGTCGTCCGGTTAAAATATGACATACTGATATTTAGTTACTCTCTCCGTGCCCGCTGGCTTGCCCCAACCCCAGGAGACGTGGAAACCGCAAAAAAGGTGGACGCTTAAATATGATTGCAGGGCCCCTTTAAGTTACAAGATAGACCGTAGACCTACAGTGTTGAATTCATATGTGGAAAAGGGACCACACCCACTCATCTGCCACTGGAGCAGTGACAATACTAGTTGCTAATTATAGCGGCTGACTGATGATGACAACGCATATCATGTTAAGAGCTCCAATGCATCATATCAAAAATATGATGCATTGGCTATCCCAAGTCAAAGAACAACTTAGTTCGAAAATAAATATAGAAAAAAGCAATTGCACCTGTCTTGGTATTGTGTAGAAAATCCAGAATGCAAGTATTTGAGGCCAATTTTATCAGTAATTAGCAGCCATCTAACTGCACGCAAAAGGCAGTCGATGGAATATGCCAAATTTAGCAGCATTGTGTGAAACAGCCAACTTGAAGGCCATGTGATTTATTTAGTAATTTGAAAGTTATGTGAGCCCTCTCTTGAGGGCCATTACAGGGAGAGTATAGGCTACAACTATGCACACAATTTGCAGGGAACACGTGACAAGAAAAAAAAATGCACCAAGTATGCAAGTTTGGGGCCCAATTAGGTTAATAGCCAAGTGGTGGTACGTTCGAATAATGATACAGTCTCTATATTTACAATTTCGTTTGGCAGTAGGGTCCAAGCCTCGACCGCTCTTTTACAAAAGAATGATTGCTTGAAAGTGTCAATTTCAGTGTTTGCATTGTTTCGGTGCAATTTGGTCTGCCAGACCTTTGTGTACATGTGGCGAAAATATATGTATATTTGGACTCAAATTAAGCTTGGCGTTAGTAATTGAAAAAGATGAATTAAGAGGATCTGCAGTGGCCGAGGCGCGCAAGGCACATACGCCACACTTCCTTCCCTTCTATGAATGGGGCAAAACGGTAGCCGTGCACCTCAGCCACGGGGGGCGGCATCGCTAGCGCAAAGACGCACTTCAATAGAAAACCGAAACCTAGAAACGCGTCTAACTCAGCTTTTTTTTTTTTTTTTGAAATGCAGTTAGACGCTGTACATGCCTTCTATATTTCTGAAATAAGTTAAGTAGTTTTTGAAGATCCCCAGCAAGTTTCTATTTGAAACCATACCTATAACTTCACGAATTAAAAAGTTAATGAATCGAAAGTAATTAATAGACTGATTATATTGAACATAAATAATTTTCCCAAAATGGGCCCTTTGGCAAAGATCATTACAACATTAACCTTTTTTTCAGTGCGATGCATACTTTTCACAGGAACCTTTCAAAAAAGTAACTATGAGGTACTAAAAGTCTTCCATATGGCAAAGTTCTGCATCACTAATACAATACTGGAATTAAGCATCATCACAGCTTAGACCGTGCAATCAAAGCTCTATGCAACAGACCCAAGTATAGTGAGACTGCTTCCCATCACTGTCAATTTGAATTGGAATAAGTCCTGTACCAATCTGTTTTCAAGTAATTTTTACACCTTGGTGCACATTCAAGAAACCCTTAATTAAGTAATTAAAATAGCATCTATCCCAAGGCAAAAACTGCATTGACTCACATTCTATAAACATCCCTACAACAAACAAGGTTCAATTCAGCCTTCGTCGATTTTCGTCAATCCTCACACTGCAGTGGCCAACTTTCAGTGCATGTGTTCATTGCATGCACACCTCATATATATATATTTAAAAAGAACAGTTGTTTCAATGCCTTATTAACAGCACCAGAAGTGGAAGCCAAATAAATTGACTTTCACTTTGAGTACAGCAATACTCGCGTCCCACAGACAACCAGTGGGCTGCTGAAAAAATCCAGAGCAGGCAGATCTTTGTCAGCGGCACGCCAGCCGTCCAGAGAACATAATTGCGCCCTATTTCAAGTGGAAGCCAATCTATTCTAGCACAAATCTTCTGCACCTTGGGCACTTCCCCTAAATCATTAACGTCTATATACGAGGGCTGACTGAAATGGAATGAGACTGCTTCTATTTTTCTTTCCAAGGGGGTAGATGAGCAGTGTTGTGCTGATGCTTGTGAAGGGAATACATCCATACGTCTGAATCTGCAGCTGGATCGTCATAGTTTTTAGCATTCTGCCGCAGCGAGGAAAGGCACTTCATATGTGTAATCATGGCGGATGTTGAAGGCGTGCCTGTGAGAGTAAAGCATAGGCGACTGAACTTTGCGTCAACCTTTAAAAATAGATAACTGCACTGCAACACACCTCTTATAGCTTGGACTGAATGCCACGTGAATTCTGGGCCTTTCAACACTCCGAAAAAGAAATGCTGCACCAAACAAAGTTCTCTTCATTTAATAAAGTGAACAAAGTTGGGGCTGAAACGGTTTAAGTGATGTCGCAAAACATCCTCTTACATTTCTTTAAATTGTTTTCTTCTGAAACATTTAGCGACCATACTGAATGTAAAAAATGCTACTTTGAAACTAAAAAAACAACAAAAAAATTAACAGAACCTGTACAGTTGTTTACTTATGAAAAACAAATTGGGCTCATTCCTTTTCAATCGGCCCTTGTAAGGATGCAATCAGCAGAATTGTTTTGTAAAGCTCATCAGTCACATTCCCCGAGGAAAATGACATACCTCGTAGGCCATGACAGGCCAGTTTCTCAAGGCATTGCATGGCACTGACTTGAAGGGTCCTGTTCCGTTCTTTTTCGGCGAGCGACAAGAGTATGGTGACGGCGTGGCCGAGGCAGAGTCGAAACTCGATGTCGAGCATCTGCGTCAAAATGCTGAAAATACAAAGATGCGGTACTCCCCGTGATTGACGACAGCTCACAGCAAAACGTGCTCTTGAAACAAGGCACGTCATCTTCAACCGACCTGGTATCTGCACTTTCGAGGAGGCTCCGCAGTCCCTTTACAAATGCAAGTTTTACCTCTTCACTTGTCGATGAAACTGCAGGGTAACAAAGGTGTTCACCGAGACAAATTAAGTCATTGAAACGAAAGCAATGCGAGAGTGCAAACAAGGTGGTGTAAATCTTACACCCAAAGCCATACAATGCTTTCTTGAATAGTGCCCATTTTTCTTCTGTGCAAATTGTATATTTGATGACTCTGGGTAAATGTATGCATTCACGTTTTTCACTGGCTACTTGTTGGTATGTAAGTTTACTTTAGGTGAGCTTTGCTGCTGCATTTTTTGTAAAGGTATTTTGGGAGATCAGGGCTAGTCAAACTGTTTCTAACAGCATTCTTTTTTTTCCCCGCACGTCTCGTACCAACATTGTATTTTTGTTGGAAAATAAAGGATATTATTATTAAATGTTTCATATCTTTTATACCTCTATTTGTGTTTAACCTTAAATGAAAAAAAAAAAAAAAATAGAATGGCATTGGAGCAACTAGTTTAAATACAGTGACAGCATAACAACGAATTAATAACTCTCAAGCGTTGCAGAGCTACGATCCCTGAAAAGGCAGCTGAAGCACTGCACATCCTCAACCAAGCTTGTAATTTACAGTACATTAGTCTGACCGGTTTTATACGTTGTGAGGGACCCTGCAACAAAGGTGAATGTCGAACAACTCGAGGGAGTGCAAATGAAAGCTTTGCGCTTTGTTTATAAGAATAAGTTCCATCTCCAAATTGTATGAACTATCTAAAATTGACCTTCTACCAAATCATAGGACTCATTGACTAAAGCTTTTATGTACCATTGCTTACGACTCACCTCGTCTCTCAATTTTATGCATTTAATACCTCAGATCAGACACGTCACAAACATGCAAACATGACTGCCATGCCCTACTGCCGCACCGAGTGCTATTTTTCATGTGTACCATTGGGCGCGTTCAGTAGCGCCTCCCTTGCCCCCGAACGGAGTGCCTCGAGTCGGAGTCATCGGAGCGCCTACTGAACGGCAAAAAAACCCGCGGCTCCAAACCTGCTTCTACGAAACTTCCGCTTCCTCCACTGTGCCAGACGGTCTCCGAATAAACTGGAAGCAGACGATGGCGAGCACGATCGCTTTTATTTGACGCCGGTATTGAAGAAGTCTTTACAAGGTCGTTGAAGAAAAAGCGGGTGATTGTACACATCAGCGCTGCTGTTCGAAGCGATGCAACGCGATCGAGCCCTTCGCTTGGCGGTGCAAAGGCAGCTACTGTCATAAAAGCCGACAAAAATCGTCAGTACACGCAAAATACAGAGCTCAGCGAATCTACCCCGCCGGTTGCGATACTTTTATACGGCCATAAGTTTGTTCTGCCCTTCGTAACGAACTTCCTATAAAATGTATTTGTATACACACGGGAAGTTCGGCCGCGCTCGGCGATCAAGGTTTTGTCGGCCGAAGCGAGCCTCAGCCAACGTGCACCCCGATTAAGCTACGCAAACAAAACATTAATCGGTATCATGCTCTGCGTGAGTGTCCAACCGGCTTCCAAAGTCGCGTTCATACCCTGTTTTTCTCTGTTGAGCGCGGACAGGACTATCGTCAATATTACCGAGTTTCCGTGCAACGGCGATCAAGACACGGCGCGTCAAATGAACGTTTGCGTTGTTTATTAGCATATTCAAACCAAACAAAATACGGTCCAATGCATTTTCCGAAAGAGCCTTACCTCAAAAAGATATTCGAACGCGTTATTCGTCTTACCTTGAGCACTTTTCATTAACAAAAGCGGGCAAACCGCGCACCCGCGACAGAACCGAAGCAGCTTATCCCGCCATATTGTTTTTTTCCTCTTTTAGCACCGGAAATCGTCACCAGTCAGGAAATGACGTCATTTTAGCTCCTTTGACTCTACGTGCACCGTCTCCGGACTCGGTGCTTCGGAGCTTGACTCCGAAGCCCCGGAGTTACGTGCACCGGAAGTGACTTTTGGCCGTCCAGTGGAAGGAGTCAGTGACTCCTTGACTCCGGGGCCGCTACTGAACGCGCCCATTGGAACAGCCTTTCTGCAAAAATTACGAGTGCCTCGTCCATTTAAGAATTTTCGATGGCGCATCAGTATTACTTTTTAAGTTCATTTTTAACAGCTGAGTTACTGTTTATTATATCATTCGTGTTTTTTTTTATTTTTTATTTATTGCGTACATTCTAGTGGCGCGTGCCCCCTTCTGCCTTGCCAGCTGGCTGGCTACACATACTACCAACTGGAAATATGGGTAAAAAAAAAAATAGTCGCACTTACCTCCGAGACCATCCTTGACGGAACTCACAACAACAAGTAACCGTAGGAACAAGTCGGAGAACACTTCCCAGCTACTAACGCGCACCTCAGGCAACATGTCACAGATGCATTCGATAGTCTCTATGACGAGAGCTTCTCTCCTGAAAAAAGACATACAAAAGGCACAGAACTCACAGGTGTCTCAAATTTACGCTGCACCGTAGATGATCACCTTCAAAACTTACCTCTTCGCATTTTGGAGGACCAGTGTCAGAGGAAACAAGACATATTCGTGCAGGTTCTGTAGCGAGTCGTTTTCGAGTTGCTCGAGTGCTCGGCGCAGAGCAACGACGTTCTCTCTTGACTGATCTTTGATCAGGCGCATGCAGAAGGGTTTCAACTTGACGAAGGCCGAGCTGCCTTCTCCTGCGCTGTCGTGCTGCATTTCGGTGCCTCGTCCAGCGTCAAGAAGTTATTACAATCACAGCCGCGAACGTACTTGATCGACAATGCGCGGGCACAAACCCAACAACAGCGCGTAGATTGGATTGGATTACATTGCATTTTAGTATAAATGAGTGAGTAATTAACTACGTTGGTAGACAATAAAAAAAAAAGACTAACAGCCATTGGTGCAAACATCTAAAACTTTATTTTACCCGTGGCTTTTTTAAAGAGAATTTTTAAAGGGAATGTGCTCTCTGTCTCTCTCCCTCTGAGCTCCCGGTGCTCTCTCGCTCCCTCTAGGCTCGTCCATCGGAACTGATCGGAACTCAGATGACTCGGAAGCGTACGGAAGGTACGGAAGCAGTGGAGGAAGCCGTCGAGGGCAGAGGTCGAGGGTAACAGCACCCTATGAATCGTTCGCTGCGATCACACAGTAATGCTGCTTTTCTACGCGGTTTCCCTTCTTATCTCGTGTGTGAACGTTCTGTGCGCCCTAGTGAACCCTTACGAAACTTTAGGAGTGCCCCGATCTGCAGACGCAGCGGAAATTAAAAGGGCCTACAAGCGGTTAGTCAGGGAATGGTAAGTGATGTCCGGCACACCGAAACTCGTCTCGGGTGCAGGGTTTGTTCTCCTTCTATGATGTCTGTTCTCCTTGTATTTCCTCTTACTCTCCCCGGCTCTCTGTTTTACGCACTTTCCTTCTTCCTTTACAGTGATCGTACTTCGTACACATGCGTTCGTTTTGTTTTGCTGTATAAGAATACACTCTGCCCTACCAATCGATTGCGAGCTATCATCTAATTATTTCCAAATCGCTCGTTGCCCATGACCAGTCTTAAGGAAACAAATGAAACAGAAGCAGAGAGAATCTATTCGCGCATCCCTGTTTCAAGAAACCAATAAGAAACAGACTGATTGTTTAAAATGCCATTGAAAGCGCGTATCTGATGAGTTCGATATCGACGAGTTCGCCGGTAGGTCAACATTTTTTTATGTTTGCTGCCATAACAGAGCGTGAATGAAACATGTTTCAGGCATCCTGACAAAAACAAGGATCCTGCGGCGTCGGAGAAATTTATTGAAGTGACTAAAGCTTACGAGGTAAGGCATCTTAAGGTTGACGGTTCCTTACTTAATTTGTCGGTCCAGTTAGGTGCATTACAGATGTTGTTGCAGATTACAAAGAATTCATATGCTCGAGGGAATTGGTCTGGTCACAAGTAAAGATGCTACATCAATTTATGGTTGCTCTATGGAGCGTGTGTTCAGAAAAGCCCGAAGAATTATTCGGTGCCAGTTTTTTCTCTGGTTAGCATTTAAAGGAGCTGTGCAACGATTTTAACATTGAAAGAATTTGCATCTTCTACTTTTGACATTGTTTATATTGTCACAAAGGGCAGAAAACGAATCTCTCTTCTTTGAAATGTTGTGATTCTGCTGCGTAATCGCGAGGCAAAAATTATAATATTTCCCGACCTGCAGTCGCGAGCGGTGGCCATAAAAACCACGTGGCGTGACGTCAATGGGGGACTTGTAAAATGATAGCGACTTGTGCAAATACCTGTTTTATAAAAGGTAATTTTTCTATAAATCTTGTCGTTCCAACAAAAGTATAAATGCGTCGAAAAACCTGGTATCATTCACAAAACTTTTATTATATGGAGTTTTAGTGGCGCCATCTATCCGAGGTCAACAAAACCGTTAGCTCTATCTGCTACCACGAATAGCTGCCAGAAGCCGAAGGGGGACACTAACAGAGCCGGACGAGCATGTTGGCACTTTCCTCCTTTCGCCATGTTGATCGTGCTGCGCAAGCATGTGGTCACGTGGTCGCGAGCGAGTGAGTTCTCACTGCTCACTGATGGCTCTAGAGAGAGAGCTTCACCGGAACCCCGCGTGTCCTCCTCTCCCGTCACAGCGCACATGACTCAGACGATGGTGAAGCACTTGAGAGGTGCCGAAAACCTCAATCTTTGTCAATTTTTAAAATAAAGACTAGGACATGCAGGCAAAAGCGTTCTTTTATTCTCAAGGTCAAGGCACCAACTCTCAAATTATTTAAGCAAAGCACTGAGATTGTTGCACAGCTCCTTTAAGCAAGACAGTGTCTATTCTACTGGCAGCTGGCAAAATAATTTTTCTGAAAGTACATGCCGCTTTGTGGGCTACAGTCTGGGGCGGCTCATTAGAGAAACAAGCTAATGTGAGCTGTCGATGGGCCAGTGGGAGGCGTCAGGCAGCCAATGGAATGGGGCTACCGGTAGAATTTCGGAAAAAATTATTCTGTTGGCTGTCGGTAGAATAGACACTACTTTTAAGCAACGCTGTGTCTAGAGTGCCGTTCGACGGTACTTTTGCGAAGCGTTTAAGTGCCGTCCGAAAGTGCCAAGGACAAATCACTCTTATTCTGACATGGTTCCATCAGCCCGCTCACCGACAATTTGTCTTAAAATAAAGCGCGAGCGAGACAGACGCTATAGGAGCGAGCAGCATGCTTTCTTATGTATGCTTATGCCTGCGCAATGCAGGTGTGCAACCTTTTCAAGTTTGCTGAAGTGGCACTCTTTTGAATGTTGCGATTGCGATTGAAAATAAATTTTAGTTTAAATCTCACATTCTCCAATGGCAGCAGCAGCCTCTGCTAAATACAAAAAAATAGAAAAAGTCACAATCTTTTCTAGGGCACGCATATTGAACCTATATATTTGCGAGACCTTAGAGTACTAGCCAGGCATGCTAACCATTACGATATTGAAACGAGTCGGAGAGGTCATTCTTGAATTTTCACATATTGTTCGTTATGAAGAAAGTTTTATGAAATCTGAGAATACACATAATTAGAAAATTGAATGCAAAAAACAAAGTACAGCAAAAGTAGGCATACTATCTTCGGCTACAAAGTGCCAAAAGCAAGACATTCCTCACCAAAGGACGGCATTTTCTCGGTAGGACAGCGCTCGATTGCGGGCGTAAAGCGCCGTCGGATGGCACTTGAACGATCCGCAAGAGCGCCGTCGGACGGCACTCTAGACACTGCATTTAAGCAAAGGTGTGGTGCTCTACTTCATTCACCCCTAAGCTGACAGTGCTGTGGAAAGTACATGCTCTTTGGACCCGTCGCACGTCTCCCATCCGCCACGTGATCATGGTCCTGCCCGTACCGATGTCCAGAGAGCGGGGTTAGGTGGTGAAAGGGAGAAAGTTGATTGGTCTGGCGAGTGCATAGATCCCACCGCACTGTCAGTTTAGGGGAGAATGGAGTATAGATTTGGGGTTCATTGCATCGATTGACCTTGCTAGAAAAAGTCGCCTCTTTTCTCATCTTTCAGCTCCTAACAGACCCGGAGCGCAAAGAAAGCTTCGACAGGTATGGACAGACGGAGGACACGCCAAACTTTAGGAGGCAGCCGGATTACAGCCAGTTTAACAGATTCGAGTTTGACCCCTTTGAAAGTATGTTTGCGAAAGGAAACATGAAATTCCAGTTTAAATTCGCCCAAGGCTCAGTGTTCCACAAGGCGACGATTACGCTCAAGTAAGTAGAAGGTTTTAATGCACAATGTGTCTTAATCAATCATGAAAGCAGCCGTGAAAGAGTGTCATGAACGATCAACATGGACAAGTGTCATGAACGGAGTTGTGTGGGAAACATTCTGGTTCTATCTGGTATCTGTCGGCACATTCAAGCCTGTTGCATTGCATTCTTTATCAAAGCTTGTTTCTGGTTTCAGTGTGGACGGGTGGTGTACCGCTATACATTTATGCGATTCTTATAGTGCATGATGTGCATTAAGAAAACCAGCTTAGCAGTGGTGCTTCACCAGCCAAGTAGCTGTCTGCAGCGGAAACGTGAGACGTCATATGTTGAGACAGTTCAAGATGGTCTGGCTGCAGTGGGCAACATTGGCTTTGTTGTGTTGATAAGGGACATTAGAAAAATTGGCCTTAATCAGGAAATAATTATCATGGGAGACATGAATGCCCACTTAGAAAGTTTGACAGGTTTACAGATACAACCGGAAAGTTGTTAGAAGATTTCTGTGATGCCCTGGACCTAGTGTTAGTTGATGCACAAGTAAAATGCGATGGAAGAATAATGTGGGAATGAAACAACTCACACTCAACAATAGATTACTGCCTCATGTCCCACAAACTGTATGACAGGTTAGGAAGTATGGAAATAGATGAGGAAAGTACAAAAAGCTTAGGGAGTGACCACAAAAGAATTAAGGTTACATTTGGCACATCTGAACCAGAACAACAAGCTCGGGAACAAGCGGGTAAGCCGAAACTAAGGGAAGCTCAAATACAAAAAGTATCTAAGAGTATTAAGTACATGGTATCGAAGCAACCAGAAAGAGAATGGACGTATGAGCATCTAATAAGAATCTTTAAAAGAGAATTAGAGAAGCATCAAATTAAACAAAGAGAAGCAAAAACGAAGAGAGAAACCAAAAAGCTGATGGGATATAAGGAGGTCAAAGCAGCCATATTGCGGCACCAAGACGCACCTACGGAGCATAGGCGGCCACAGAAAAGGGGAGTCTTGCCAGCTGAAGTAGCATCAAAATGGGAGAACTTCCAAGAGTGGAAAAGAGAGGCATCAGCTTTAATACAGGCCAAAATTGGGAGTGCAGGAGTGCAGTGGATGATGGGAATAAATAAAAAAAGATAGGAATGTGTCAAAAAGGTTTTGGGTGCACATTAAAGTGCAGGGGCGAAAGCCAGAGAGTTTGGAACACTTACTGACCACACAGGAGGGGAGAAGAGTAGACGGGGAAGAGGCACGGGAATATATTAAGCAGACAATCAAAGAGGCTTTCTTCCAGCTTGAACAGAGGGGGACAGTGGATAGCACTGACCGCAGCAGTGTAAAGGAGGAGCAGAATTGTGTAACATTGGAGACAACCACAAGTGAATGGGACAAGGCAGAAAGTAAGGTTCCAGCTGGTACAGCGACAGGCCCAGACGACATACCCATGGAACTCATAAAGACACTAGGAAAAACAAGCAAATTGAAGTTGCTGCATGTGATTAATCAAATAATTATGGGAGAAGAGGTGCCCAATTATTGGAAAGTAAGTAAAATGAGACATATATAAAGACAGAGAAAACAAAGACAACACTAAGTCATATTGCTCAATAATGGTAACTTCAGTTCTATACAGATTAGCTATGCAGATAGTAAAATGGAGAATGGAGGAATGGGATAAAAGATATGCAAATGCTGGACGAGCTCCAAAATGGATTCCGAAGAGATAGAAGACTGGAAGCTAACTTATTTGTCAACACACAATGTATAGAAATAGCAATGAAGAACTAAACTCCTTTAGGGTTGACTTATTTGGACACCAAGGGAGCGTACAATAATGTGAGACAGGAAAAACTCGGGGGTTAGCTAAAGGAGTATAATTTAGATGTAAATTTGGTTAGGTTTTTGCAGCAGGTGCACACAGACAATAAGGTAGTTATAACATGGGAAGCAGAAACTACACAACTCAAAGCAATAAAAAGAGGGCTCAGGCAGGGCTGTTCACTGTCACCTCTTCTCTTCATGATACACCTCAGTGAAGTGGAAAAGAAATTAGAGCAGAGCTAGCTTTTGATGTGAGTTAAATGGAAGGAGGGAGAAATGTAGTACAGGTAATACCAGGACTGATGTGTGCGGACAACATAGTGCTTATGGCAGATAACCAGGATACATTACAGGAACTAGCTGGAAAATGTGGAGAGGGAGGGAACACCTTGGGCATGAGTTTTAGTAGTGACAAGTCTGGAGTAATGGTGTTAAATGATGAGAAGAGGGAACCCCTGAGGATACAAGACATTGTAATAGACCACATAGGAAAATACAAACATCTGGTAGTCTGGCTCAATGAGGGAAGGAAATATCTAGAGGAACATGACGGTAATATAATTAGAAAAGGAAAAAGAAATTCATCTATTATGAAGCTCAAGTCACTGTGGTACTATAATAGATTTGAGGTGGCAGGGGTATATGGAAAAGAGATGGTATGAGGACTGTCTTTTGACAATGGGGCACTATGCTTGAAATCAGTGGTTCAATCAGTGTCAGAGATTGGACAAAGAGGCATAGGCAGATTGGCACTGGGAGCACATGGAAAGACACAAAATGAGGGAGTACAGGGAGATATGGGCTGGTCTTCTTTTGAGAGCAGGGAAGCAATTAGTAAGTTGAAATTTGAACAAAGGTTGACAGAAATGGGTGATACGCGGTGGGCACGGAAGGTATTCAAGTATTTATACGTGAAAAGTTTTAACACAAAATGGACAAACCGAAACTGAAAGCTTATAATTAAATACCTTCACACTAGTGATGGGGCTGAGAAGACTACTTCAGTAAAGAAAGGAGTGAAAGAGGCAGAAAGGAAAATGTGGGAGAGAAGAATGCAGGAAAAATCAGATCTAACAATTCACAGGTCACGAAAACAGGACATAAGAAAGGAAAATTTGTTTGACAATTCACTGGGAAGTTATTTACTGTTGGAGGCGAGAATGGGAGTTTTGAGGACAAGGGTGTATAGGGCTAAATTTCAGGAGACAGACTCATTATGTGCCGCCTGTCATAAGGAGAACGGCACACTAAAGCACTTGGTTTTGAAGTGCATGGAGCATCGCCCTTCCCTCCCTGGAATGGATTTGGCCGGGCCCCTGGGTTTTGCAGCCGACGATGGAAGACGGAAGAGAGAAGAATTACAGTAACAAAGAGTCGATTAGAATATTGGTCAAAATTATCTAGGGAGAACTGAATGATGCACAACTAACTAGCAGAGTTGGGGACAGGCGGTACAGTGGAAAATCGGGAACCCCTCTTGTGTGACTCCGGCCCAAATTCTCAACCCTGTCTCCCAGTGGGTCCGGTGCTGGGGTAATCCCGAGAAGGTTTGACCAGAGGAAAATTGGCAGCCCCCTCGCCGGCAAGAAGAGGCAGCTAGGGGGTGAAGTTTTTAGTTTTTATGCTTGATTCCCCAAAGGTTATTCTGGTGATATCCTACACTGCCTGGCGATAGTTGCTGAGGGTAAGTATATTGTCGAAGTAAAGAAATCATACTTTTGGTTTTTAATTTCTAGGCTAGGTGGCACAAGCTACCGCCCGATATAAAGGGTACAGCTGTTAGCATCAGAGCCGTATTTGTAGATAGTTTGGCCATCCGTTGGGAAGTATAGGAGACAAATGAGGAGGTGCCATTGGCTGAAAGCGGACTGGCCGTGCTCCAGGGCTTCTTCAGAAATTCGAATGTCACCAACCAGAAGCCGGAAATATTACCCTGCCGGTGGTCGCGAGAAACAAACCTGATAAGTGCATCGGAGTAACTCTGGGTGACCGAAAATATGGTACACGTGATGTTTCAATCGCGCTCATCCAAAATGATGGTGGAAGAGTGCGACTAGCGGAATGATCGACATAATCCTTACACCAAGCGCTGAGGGCCGGGAATCTGCTGTTTGAGCGGTCCCACTCTGTTTGAGCGAAACAGAGTTGAGCAGCGCATTCGTTTCTTACATCTTTTTGCATGATCATGATCGAAACATCACGTGCACCCTATTTTCAACCACAAAGAGTTACTACACTTCACTCTTACGCGCTTATTAAAACCATATACGAACATATGGGTTTGATCAGAACTGTTTCTCGCTACCACCGCTAGGGGATTCTTTTCGGCTTCTGGTTGGTCAAGAGAGCATGCCAAGCCCTCTTTCCGAGTCTCGTGCATGCCCTGGTTCTGCCCGCGCCTCCCATTGACCAAACTCTCTGTATACAGGGCTCTGGTTAGCATCCATCCATCCATCCATGACATCAACACCTACGTGGACAGGCCATTGATCTCACTAACAATTGCTGGATCGCGCATCCCCGCTTCGCGAGTGCGGCCGCCGGACGGCCATCTTGCATGCCTTTTTTTTTTCGTTTTGCTAGTGTTGCAGAGGCCGGTGGCAGCGTGCTAAAAACATGTTTTCTACTCGTTCGTCGTCACTCGCCGAAGACATTCTTTAAGATCCTGTGTGAGGTGTGATACTTGCCATTGAGAACACGTGGAAATTTTTACGAAAGTGCAATGCCGCAGGAAAAAGGCACAACTCGTTGAAAGCAAGTTTCACAGTCTTGCGGCGTTTTCAAAGCTTATTTGGCACGCTGAAGTGCTGTGTCTCTGTGCCTTCGCACGCTTGGATACCGACCAAGAATCGACGCCATGTGGATGTGTTTTGTGAGTGCAATATGCGTGAAGCCGTATGTAATGGTACAACTCGTCGAAAGCAAGTGTTGCCGGTCTCGCGGCGTGATCAAAGCTTCCTAACACCGAGTGCTGCATCTTTGTGCCTTCTCACGCTTGGATATCGATCAAGAATCGACGCCTCGCCAAAGTTTTGAAGGTGTGTTGCGTGTAGATGTCTTTAGATCATATATATAGATATCGGCCACAGAGTTCTGGATCGTCCAGGTGTTCCGGTGAGTTGCTATCAATATGGGGGGGGGAAATCTGTACATGCTCTTATGTGCTATTAACCATGGCTATGTTCAAAATCTACTCTAATGGATCACATGGGAGCACGAATAGAGCAATGCTGTGGAGCAAGGAGGGTTTTCGAAGGTACAAGACGGCGAGAATTAAAATCTTTGAAGCGCGGCCCATATGGTCGTGTGCAATCTGTTGACCAATCACAATAGGCGAACTGTGCTCAAGCGTCAAGTGCAATTAAGTTGGTTGATAATGAGCCAGCACTGATCAGTGATGATGAGCTGTTGCGCGCAGTATTCTGTAAATCGTCTAAGGACGAGAAAAAGACATACCTTCCCCCCCCCCCTCTTCCGTCGCTACTGAATGCTGAATTAAGCTCGTTTCTGGACCGCGAGTGCTGCAAGTATACAGTCGTCGGAGTAAAGTAAGACGCTGATCCAGAGGCACATACGGCTTCACGCACATTGCACTCGCAAAACACATTCACACGGCGTAGATTCTTGATCGGTATCCAAGCATGCGAAGGCACAGAGACACAGCACTTGGGCGTACCAAGGAAGCTTTGAACACGCCGCCAGGTTGCAAGTTGTGCCCGTAAGGCACAACTTTCAAGGCAAGTTGTGCCTTTTTCCTGTGGCATTGCGCTTTCGTAAAAATTTCCACGTGTTCTCAACGGCGAGTATCACGCTCACACAGGATCTTAAAGAACGTCTTTGGCAAATGATGACGAACGAGTAGAAAATGTGCCTTTAGCACGCTGCCGCCGGCCTTGGCAACGCTAGCAAAACGAAAAAAAAACGGCATGCAAGATGGCCGTCCAGTAGCCTAAATCGCGCTGCAGCGAACAAGTGGGGATGTGCGATGCAGCAATTGTCATAGAGATCAGTGGCACAGGGAGTCACGGGGTTCACGACACAAACAGGCTTAGTGCAAGTATTGTTTGGAAGCACAGCCAAAGTTTGTAAGCTAAACTTCGTTGCAGCAGAGGGCATCGGTATGCCGAAATGAACGGGATTAGCCTCTAGGAGACGGCAACTATGACACATTCACAATAATGCGTCCAGAACATGGGCACGCGTGTGTCCCGCGAAGCAGTTAGTTGTCGCAGGTCTTTGACGTGTGTGTACTGTGCATTACACGGCTGCAGGTGGTGATGTTTATGCAATATATTTGATGTTTTGCTCGCACATCTGCATAAAACCATCTATAGTAAGACCACTGGGCACTTTTAGAGCACTGAAGTAGTACAATTAGGACAGTTTCACTGTAGGTAAAATCAGACTCCAATCTTGATTTTTCTGTCAGTGTCTCCTGTGTGAGTTTGTTCTGCTTGTAAATTCCTCCAGTAATTGAGTACTTTCTCGCAGGGCTTACGAGAATCGGGTGGTGCCGGACAGCAACTACAAGCCATATTTCGTCCTTTTCTACGGCGACCTATGCTTCCCGTGCCTACACGTCGAGCCCATCTGGCAACGGATCGTCCAAGAGATGGAACCCCTCGGTAAGATTGCCTCATTCTGCTCTTTCTACTGGGAACCTTGCAGAGGGCCTTTCCTTCTTCGCTTATCATGGCTCAAGACCCATCTCGCACTCATTACAGAGAAGCAATTAAAAATGATTGCAGTTTTGTATCTGCTGTCAGAGAGTACCTGTAGCATTGGAACACTGTGTGACTATTTAGGCCAAATAAAAATGTGCTGTGAGTTTTTTCCTTTTAATTCATTGTATACTAATTTTTTTTTTCCATAACGTTTTTTTCATGAAGCAAAGTTTTATTTAAAACCAATTTGCACAAAACTGAAAGAGACGCTCAATTGGCCTCCAGATGCTGTGTGTGTCTGTCACTTTTAACTCCTGGCCATATGTTGTGTCCATTAAGTAGTTCAGCTGTTCTGTTATAATCGTTCAGGAGGGTGGAGAGCAGCCAACAACATCTGCAGGTCTGGTGAACGTGTCCTTTAATTTTCGTGCAAATTACTAATTTTAAATAAAGTTTCAGGGTCATCAAAGAGATGGTACAACTCATCATCGGAAATAGTAGAACACTCTTCACTTTCAGATAAAAGTTTCTGTACATCTTTGTCAGCTAAAGCGGACCTCCGCATTAAAATGTCGGGCCATGTCGCCTCTTTTTTTTTTTTAGAGCTTTCTTTTTGTCTTATTATTTTGTGCAAAATTAAGTTTCTTTAGTGAAAATTAAAAAAAAACAAAGTAACTGAAGGGGGCAGAGCAATATGGAGTAACTATATATGCTTTGCATGCAAAGCAGGGCATCGCAACGGTCTCAAATTTGGGCTTCCAAGTATCGTTAAAGAAGCGACCTTCGCTCGTGCAGGAGGTGCGACATGTGTGGTGGCAATTCGCCGCAAATATGGCGGTGGCACCGCACATGCGCCATTGTGCTTCTCTCAAATCCTATGAACGTGCACGCGCTCTGCATCATCAGTCATTGTCTTGTCTGTTTCTTTATAGCCGCTTTAAAACAGTGCTTGCATTATAAAAAGAACACATTTCTATATGTCTAAGTGGCACACAATATTTGAAGATTCACGAAGCTTCCTCCTCGTCACTTCAGCGTAAGATCTACATTCCACGAATGCAGAACAGCAAGTATGTCTCGCCCCATACCCGGTGCTACGCAAGGTCGTTTCCCCGCTGCCGCTTTAGACATATTTTGTGTGTGATCCCTTCTCCGCCACTGAAGAGTTGGCGTGAGAGAGAAAGGAGGGCGATACTCTGACTCTGCCATTTTGTTATAGTAGTAGCACTGCCATCTGCCGGAGAGTGTACAAGACAAGCTTCGAGACCAAAACATGAGCCAGACTTGTGGCCGTGCTTTCTGGTCTGTAATGGAGGGCACGAGTGACACTCGTGATTAGTAGCCAAGGGGTTAAGTGAGACATTATTTAGGTAATTCTTGGTTACCAAACCCGCAGAATATCATCAAGATTACTTTGAAAGCTTACTCATTTTGTATGGCTTTGCAATCTAGACATGAGCACAGGACTACACATGAGCACAAGACTCACATGAGCGCAACCTACGGCGCAGTTAGACAAAATGCAGGCTTAACATAGTATCTTTTTTCAATTTGTAAAACTTACTGCAGTACCTCGTGATTGATGTATTCCTCAAAATGATTCGTCCAGAGGCCAGCTGGTGAAAAGTTTACTTAATTTAAATTAACCTGAGACAGGGAAGAAAAACAAAGCCATATAAAAGGAAGGGACAACATTCAATGTTAGAAACACAGCTGTGTTCGGAGGCAATATGTTGTCCTTTCCTTCTATCTGTCCTTTGCAGCCCTTCCTTTCTTTAAAAGGTCCAAACAAAGTTTTAATAAAACAGAAAAAATGAACACAAAAAGGACAAGAACACAGACTAGTACGTGTTTTTTAAGTCTCTACCTACACGCTCCTTATGTTTTAATCCAAACGAAGCCGCAGAGAAGCGGACACGGCCGCTCAACTGTACTGCAGTTTTGCACCTTCCCTTTTTCCCACCCATTTGTGCGTGCACCTTACAGTGTCTCTCGGTACTAGATCCTGACAGAACTTTGGTCGATCTCTTGAGCCTGCGCTAGGTTGTACCGACGGAATGCAGACGTGGTGCACCGACACGCAGTGGTAGACGATGTGCGAGCATGATGTGGCAAAGTGGCGATCGAGCGGTTGTGCAAGCTGCGCAGCACGGAAGTTCGTGTTAGAGCGTGGGCCCCTTGCGACCGCAGGTGTGGGGTTTGCGACGATTCACGCCCAGCACGAGGCCCCCCTGGCGCAGCGCATCGGGGTCGGGGGCCTGCCCTACTTGGTGGCTCTGGTGGAGGGGCGGCCCATCCACTACCGCCAGGACCAGCTCAGCCTTGTCAACGCGGTGGACTTCTGCAGGCAGCTGTTTCCCCGGGACACCGTCACAATAGTTGACGATGTCGCCGCCCTCGACGACTTCCTCTCTGGATGGTGGGTGGGGCACCCTTACTTCCATGTGCAGTGGCATTTCTAGGGCCACCAAACTCTCAGATTGTGCGCGTCCGTCAGTTGTGGCTCGATAGCTATAGATAGCAGGAAAACCTGAATCTGTGCACAGCTTCTTGTTTCAGGGTTTCTCGTTAAATGTGACGGGAAGCCTGAATCAAGAGAGGCAGGCGTTCCTTTAAATCGAAAATCTTGAGAGTTCCCGCTATACAGGGTGTGCGGAGGTAAACAAAAACAAATAATAGCCTAACTTCTGGGGGAAGACTGTTACTTTTATTTATTTATTTCAGGTATCTCACAGCGCCCATGAAAGCATTAAAATGGGGGAGGGGAAAAAAAAAAAAAAAAGAGAAACGCAAATGATGTTACAGCATATCATGTAAAAAGCATGTGCTGCCTGCAGCAAAGCACAGATCAGTAAAAACCAGCGCAACAAGAAAAGTAACACAGTGAAACGCGCACATTGTCACACAAGCTTCCGGTTGGCTATTGTTTTTGCTTGTTTTTGAGGACCCTCGGCGAGTAGCGCATACTTTAAAGGTCTCATCACCGAGGAGTAACTGTGGTACCTCCCGAAAGTTACTTATACGGGATCGACATGCCTTCCTGATCCCTTGGGTGAAAAGAAAGAGCGCTTGTTCCTCAAAGAAATGACAAATCTGCCGAAGCTATCAGGGGGCATCTTCAGGGCTAACTGTTCGACTAGCCTGGTTCATATACCTGGAAACGACTTAAAACCTACAAATCCCTAGACGCGTTCAGCTGCTTCGTGAACGGCAAGGCATCAGGGGGGCACCTACCTCCCCCTGGTGTCGAAGATATGTGCCAAGCTTCCCCTCAGGGGTCGTCGAGCCTGGTATTGGTTTTAGCAGACAATCATCCGAAAGTTGTTATTACGCTTCTTTTAGCACAACGTGAGTCTGTAATGCACAATTTTTTAGTGTTTTGGCTCGCTTGCCTTGTCAGTCAAGGTTTTTTTCCCAGATCATTGTGCACATTGCATTTTTATGTGCAGTAATGGCCTATCATTGTACGGAAATGGGTCGGTTGAGGCACCGTGGCAACGCATTATCGCACTTGTCGCGTTGCGCTATTTGTCGGCAGCACATCGAAGCAGACTAGCACTGTCTGCCAATGCCGTCGTCCTGTGATTACCCAGGCTCGGCAGCGTCCCTCGTCTCGAGATAATCGAAATAACTTCACCTGTGACATTCTTTTCGTGCCAGTATCTATCGGCAACTTACCAGCATGACACTGGGGCATTTCTAGAGCCTAGCTCTCACGGAATTGCTTGCTGAAGAGCTAAGACTCGTTGCGCACCCTCCCATCAAAACGCAAAGTGAACATAGGAGGATCGGAAGTATTTCTATATCCCTGTCATGGCGGCCGGAAATGGGGCACACACCCTGTATACGCAATGTATGGCTGAAGAAATTGCCTAACCGAAGTGGTCAATTACACTTTTGATTAATTCTGCTCTGCCCGACGGTGGCCCTCTCGCCCAGGTCGGACAACCGTGTTCGGGCGGTGGTGTTCAGCCCGTCGGCGTCGGTGCGGTTGCGCTACCTGCTGGCTGCGTTCCAGTTCCGGGAGCGGGTGCGCTTTGGCTACGTGCGCCTGGGACGCCCAGAGTCGGAGTCCCTGCGGCGCCGCTATGCCGGCGTGGGACCCCGGCAGGAGTCGCTCCTGGTGTTCAACGAGCACACGGCCGGACCCGTGGCCTTGCTCAGCATGGCCGAGCTGGACCCTCAGGCGCTCAGGGACGTGCTCAGTGCGAATCGGTGAGTGACCACACTGCTTCTGGCCCTCGGCCGTGGTGGCTTCTGGCCCAAGCTGCTGTGCCGCCGCACTTAATACTATGTGCACAAAGTAGTCCTTTGCAAGATTTGGCTATCAATATTCTCCAAAAGAGTGGAGTGGGCAATGACTCGGTGATGAGCTACAAGTCGGGATATTGCGGTAGTTGCTTGCTGTGTTGTTTCTTGACTGTGTGCTTAGTCGGCCTAAAATTACAGAGTAACACACATTTCTAAGAAGCCGGGCACGTGGGCTGCTTTGCACATCAACATGAATCACCTGTAGCAGAACAAAGTTTGTGACATGCCCTTGTTCCCTCCTCGTCCAGGTTTCTGATTTTGCCGCGGCTGTCCTCCCAGCTGCTCTTCGATGAGCTGTGCCCACCGGAAGCGCTGAGGTCCCGTCGCCGTTTGTGCGTCGTGCTCGTGACCGCCAACACCGCGAAGCACGACCCCCACCGGGCACAGCTCAGGGACTACGTCCAGCAGAAGGGCTTCCCCACCGAGCGAGTCAGGTGCGCACCTCACCACCCTTTCTTTTCATGCCACAGATTCGCCTTTCCCTATCTCTTTGTGTGGCATTGGCAGCGCCAACAAAGGCTATGGATGCCCTGCTTTCGCTTGTCGCTTCCCTACCTGCACGGGACAACTGCTTACCCTCTGCTGTTGATTCTCAATGAGACAGTGTTGAGGGAAGCGCACAAGTATCATATTCACTCGAATATAGGTCGTCTTGGAACATAGGTCAATGCATATAGCACTAAAAAACTCGCCAAGATTTATAATAGATAAAAATATATTTTAATGTAGGCCGACCTTGATTTTTGCAGAACTGGAGGAAAATAAATCTGTACAAACATTTATATTGCAGCATCCCTCGTGACCCTAGCCAAAACTTTACTTCTCACTTGCATTGGCCGTGTCACTCTTAAAATTTCTAGAACAGTCAACCGTGTGTCTGTCGTCCCGCTGCTCTTAGCATCAAGCCTCACTGCTTGGAACGGCGCATGTGTGTCAGGCTTCACCGTTTTAGACCGGCACACTCCATGAAGCGGTTGATACAGAGAAGCATATTGGTTAGTTCGACAATATCGGAAACCCTACTTTGTGTAGGCCAACCCTTTAAGGCGAAAGCATTAGTTGTCCCATTGAGTGAAAAAGCAGCGTATATGGCCATAAAAATACGATTGAGCGGCATGCGACGCTCAATTGTATGCTCAAGGACGGCATTGTACTTGACTGTACTTGACGTCATCCTTGAGGTCGTCCTAGAGGTTCTCCTAGACCTCTAGGACAACTTTACTTGTTTCATAACACGAAAAAGCAGCATTGTTCTTCCCGAAAGGTGGCCATAAAAATATGTCATCAAGCACGCGTTGCTCAAGCCCAGGTGCAGGAGCGTGATGTCAGCGCCGGTGTGCCATGAGCAAAAGGTGCGCTTCATACTACTTCTGTGCTCGTTGTGTGTTTAAAAATTAAAACAGCACAAGGACACATACAAGAACAAGAAGCTAGACGAACAGGGTGCTGACTTGCAGTTGAAGTTTATTTGTGCTAACGTCTGTTAGCACGAATATACTTCAGTTGTAAGTCAGCACCTTGTCCGTCTACCTTCTTGTTCTTGTCTGTGTCCCTATGCTGTTTCAATTTTTAATCATGAGATACCAAGTAGCCCAAACTTCTACATTAGTCAAGTCGTTGTGTGCTTCATGCGATGGACTGTGAGGCGATGGTATCTACATCTACGGCCTTAACATCGGCAGTAGCGTCATCTACAGCGGCTTCCGCAGGCAAATGTCCACGCAAATATACCACAACCTCCTTAAGTGTCCTCTTCTAGGCATCATTCTCTACGTCGCCCTAGACGTTGTTCTTAAGGTCGTCCTAGATGTTGTTCTTGACGTCGTTCTAGACACCATTCTTGACGTCCTAGATGTTGTCCTTGAGACCGTTTAAAAGATCGTTCTCGGCGTCGTCCTAGACGCTGTCCTTGACGTCATCCTCTACGTTGTCCTAGATGTCGTCCTAGGTGCCGTACTTGGCGTCAATCTCTAAGACGTCGTCCCCAATGTCATCCCGTACGTCGTCCTAAACTTTAATACATAAAGAAACATTACTCTAAAACATTTCTCCCGCGGGGCTACAATGCTTTCGCCTTCCTACTCGTAAGCTGTCTTGAGTGTCCTCCTGTAATTTTTTTTAATGCGCATTTCTTTTAGCCCCTCATTCCCCCCCAGAAATATTAAAATATTCAACACGAAGAAGAATGGGCACATGCGGGGGAGTGATAAGTGGATAAATTGAGAAGAGTAGACAATGCTATACCAAACCCCCAAGAGGGGAATAGAATCCTGGATTATGAGATTGTGAGCCTGACTCTGAACCACTGCACTGAGGGTGAGACTTTCGAAGCGACGGTCATTAAATGTGATAACCTTTCTTCCACTGGCCCACACCACAGGGCGTGCAAGTTCGACGTCTGCTTCCGCTTCCCGGGGGCTCGCGCAGCAGAGGTGCAATCAAATGCAACGAGCTGGCGCTTGTGTACGCCCTTGTGCAGGGACTCCACAGCTGCCAACAAGGGGCACATTTTTGAAAGGGGTCTGCGCTAGAAGTCGTTGAAAGGGGTCTACGCCTGCCAAAAGCACTCCAGTCGTCTTCACAATGCCTCTCAAGAGAAAGGACTGAAGAGCACATCGATGCACGGAAGCGGCGGCCCACTAAGCCCCAGTGTGTTCGTCATGTCAATGAGATGCCGGAATAGAGAAAACAGAGTTTGGCTAAAGACAGAGAAGCAATGTGGGCTCCTTCTGCTGCGACCAAGGGCTGAGTGAACGAACGAGGTCCGTCTCAGTTTAATCCACAAAATATGACTTGTATAAAAAAAATGTCTAAATGCTGTTGCGTTCTTGCTCCACAAAAACGCAGCCCCATATTTTTCTTTTGGGGAGCGTTCATTTGGTGACACATGTTCTGTAGTGGCAATTCTTTGCAGTCGAGTGTTTAGGCGTCCACCCTTAGGGAGACGCCACAGTGGGCCCCCAAAGCGCCTTTGTGTCATGCACCCGTGCAGGTTCACCTTTGTGTACAAGGAGAAGCAGGCGGAGTTTGTGAACACCTTGAGCTCCGGGGAGGAGTCCCCCAAGGACCCGATGCTGCACCTGGTCATCATCTGGCGGAGGAACCAGAACATGGTCCAGTACCAGTGGATCGACTCCCCCTGGGAAGACGACCTCCACAGGGTAAGAATAAGGATAACGATACTTTATTTTTTGACGATTGCCCTCAAACATCTATAGTCTGTTGCAACCTAAGAGCGAGGGGCCAGTGTAAGACGGGCCGGGGAGGAGGAGGCAGACGGAACGCTTGAGAAGAGAGGGGGAAACCTCCTTCTCTCTTTAGCGTTCCGTCTGCTTCCTCCTCCCCGGCCCGTTTTACCATGCCCTTTGTTCTTAGGTAGCAACGGACTATAGAAGCCTTATGTATGGTGCATGGAAATTTCTCTTCGTCACGTGAACACCGCATGTTCCAAGAAAACGCATTACGAAACCATGATGTTACACCTATAGCATTTGCTAGGCACCCTGGCCTTCGCTGATCTGTAAGATCAAAGTGGGCAGGGCGAAAGGAAAAAGAGGCGACCAAAAAACTAAACAATTAACTGTGCAGCGAGCGACTGGGCAAGGAGCAAAGTGGCGTAAGACGGGAAAAGGCAAGTCGGTGAGTGCATTCGGAAGGAATGTCGGGTGCCTCGTCAGTTGCAAGGTGCAGGCTCTTGCGCAACCTTCTTGTTTCGTGCGTGCAGCACACAAAGACAAGTGGTAGCTGCACTGTCGTTTGGCATGGATCACGCCACTGTGACACGGAACTCGAAACTGGAATGCTTCACGAAGTTTGTGCACTGTGCATAGAAGACGCTTTCCGAAGCCACAGACTCTTAGCTTATGGCGAATTTGCGTGGCCGTCTCTCTCCTCTGACCTTGATTCAACAAAGCGCCCCCTCCTCGCTGCCAGAGCTACTCGGGATCCTTTTCAGCCAATCACAACTGCTGGGCTCAAAGCACTCCGACATCCTCGGGCCAGCCACGGAAGTAAAACTTCTTGACATTGGTAATGGATAAAAAAAAAACGATTTTACTGCGTAGAATGGATGATTAAGCGGCATTTACGCTCACAACAAAATAAAATAATAGCATGTTAGAAAAAAAAGAGAAATCAGCAGCATGCTCATTGATCTTCGCAGAACGGAAGGAACACCGATGTTAGGAAATAGTTGTCAACTCATAACGTCTTTGACAGTGAATGCGATGTGACAGCGTACGGCAGCGATGCGACAGCGATGTGACAGCAGTCATGCGTACGGCAGAACAGGCAAATATCAAATTAATAAACCACATTTTTCTCACGGCAGAGTATCGTGCAAGCATCACCCACAAGACATAGCATGTATCGCCATGTGACACAAATCACAGTGCATTATTGTCGGCTCTTCCTTTATTTTAGAATAGAAAACTTTGAACACACTTTTACCTAGCCTGAAAAGTTTTTGGAGCGACCACGAAAGCAGGTAAAACAGCGGCGAGCTGTGCGAGCTGTTTCTTCTTTGGTTAGGCCGAGATGCAGGTTCACCGCCATGAGATATACAATCTCATAAAAGCACTAGGAATACTTGTCATGTCGAGTTTTCCTGTCACGGTCACAAGTGAATGTCCCGTCCGTTGTAATCCTTGCACCGTAGAATGCACATGCACTTTGTAGAACCAGATATCCATCGCCATCATCCCGTGCACCGCAGTCCACCGCAGACCACTGCTGCTGCCATCGTCAATAAAACCACGTGATAACAGTCCACACACTACATACTGTTGAGACCGGTTACAACGAAGTCAACGGGGATCGGAAATCACTTTGCTATATCTGCTATTTCTTTATAATGGACTTCGGTTAACGAAGAGCAAAAGGGAATGGGAAATCGTGATTGCTTCGCTGTAGCCTCAATTTCATTATAACCGACTTCTCTATAACCGGTCTCGACAGAACCATCAGAGTGCGCCGCTCTGCACTTCGATGACTACTGTAGAATACCGCACGTCTGCCCCATTCCACACTAAGTGCCCATTCCCAAATTTGTGAGATCTAAAAAATATGCACGGTACATTTATATGTGAAATTGATGACCGGACAGGCACTCATCCCCCATTTTTTCGTGATTATCTTAAAATTTTGAGTGGGTGCTTGCCTTATATTTTAGGGTGGAGGAGTGATAGGAAGCTCTCTGAGAGGGAGGGGCGCCCTCGGAAAGAACTAACCGATGAGGCCACCACGCTCCCTTTCCACCAACTGTTCTCGAGTGCTGTGGAAAGGGTGCTCAAGACTACGCTGAAAGAACCATGCGAATTCGCCATTGGTCGGCACTGCAGACTTTTGCGAGGTGGAGCATTTGAGTCTCCGTTTAAACACGATCGCATCGATGCAAATGACCCTATAGTGTTGGTGTTCACCTTGTAACTGTGCATTGTACGATCAGTAATACACACTGCTACTGCTGGGACCCTAGCAGTCCTCGGAGCTTATGAAACCCCGAAAACGTACATTCATATGTTTTGTCGAGAAAAGGAGTGTCCAAATGCACACGGAGACGCAATGCGCCTACTGGTTGTGAGTTGCTGCCACTATACTCAATGCCAACTATTTTATGCTATACATTGTCAAGGTTAACAAAGCTTTTGCGGTGCTGCAAGAGCATGTAACATAGTCTTACATCTCATTGCATGCACCATGATGTGAAAAGAACGTCAAACGAGACATGTGCTTGTGCACGCAGCCTTGACAGCGTTAAAGCACTCTAAATCAATAGCTTCTATACCTCTTCTGTGGCATCGTCGCATCACATGATGTGACCGTGTCATGCGACATCACTGTGTCATGTGATGTCACATGACCATGTGTCACACGATGGCCACATTACCAGTGTCACACAATGACTGTCACTTAAACACTGCGACGTCATCACAGTGTTCACATAGAGACGTTACGACAAACTTTTTAGAACGCCGATGCTAGCACGGGAACACTGTGATGTCGTCGACGTAGCTTTGTCATCCGGGCTACGTGTCAGGCTCGGACACAGAAGCACTAAGAGCTGGTGCTCTAAATGGTACGCATTTAATATTTGACGCTGAGCACAAACACTTCTTCTCCTGTGCAGCTGAATGAGACGAAGCAGGAGCTGGAGAATGCGCTGTCGCGGCTGCTGCAGTCCTCGGATGCGCTTCCCCACGACGCGCGCCTCGGGGTGCTGGCAGACGAGCATGCCCGGGGCCTGCTGGGGCGCCTGCTACGGCGCCTGGTGCTCATGGGTGACGTGCTGAGGGACCACCTGACCCGCTACGAGGTGCTGCCTGCCCTCTCCGTGGCCCTCTCCTTCGGCTTCATCGTCCTCGTCGGATACTTCATGTCCTACCTTGTGTGAGCACACCCGGCGCTTCAGCTCCCTTCGCGGTTTCGGTTGGGTGGCGGGTTGCCTCGCCGACGACTTATTCCGTTGCGTTTCGTCTTTCGTTAGCTCGCGATAAATAGCAGCTGGGTGGGGTGTGTCGAAAGGCTAATAATAACAACAATGCAGAAGTGTAAATAGCAAAGGATAAGGGATTGAAGATAGTTCTGAGGATTTCGACTGTCTCATCAACACTAGTAATGTCTGAAAATAATTTTATTATAAAAGACTCGACGAAATGGGGAAAAGCGAAAAAAGAGAAAGAATGAACATGTTAAACGAGGGATGATGCGAGTAGTATGTTGAAGGTACACTGCTATTTTTCTTTGTTTGCATGTTCATTGTCTTTTTTTCTCTGCTGACTTCATCCAGCATGCTCATCAGTTCATTTTTGATGGAACACATGCTCGTTTAGGGAGCTTAAAACATAATTTCTACCAATTCTTCCGAGATTAGACTCGGGCTGAACTATAGAAACGAGCTAGGTGCAAACAGATGCAGTGTATTTATTCAGGTTTCAGTGTATACCGGTCTTAAGTCTTTTTGAGCTTGCTCGTTTCCTAGCTACATTGTGGAAAGATTTTCATGTTATGATAAGTGCTTTCATTTTTTGGCACATCCCTTGAAAGGGACACTGATAGGGCATTTATAGTTCTTATTTGTACACGACATATGACAACACAACTACCCAGAACACAATTTGCGGCTCGAAATTCATTTTCTCTTTACCTGAAAACCGCTGATCGAGAACTGGCTGGTTTGAGTTGCGCTCCGTCTCTTCTCCGTAGTCATGTGCTGTTTTCTGTGGTTTACGCACAACAACCAGAGATAATCAAAGTCGTGGGTCATCGAAGGTGCACACACAATATTAAAAATAGAAAATAAATATGATGCCCATTTTTTTGTGGCTTCTAAAAAGCTGCAAATACGTTGATTGTTAAAAAAAAAAAGAATCACAGTCGCGTGACTTCTGGCACCTATTTTCTTTGTTTCTTCTTCCTCCCCAGTCCAGTTTCAATTTTGGTTTCGAGCAGTTGCGTTTTTTTACTTTATTAAAAATATATGTGATGCTGTAGCAGAAAATTGATTGGGTAGTCTTCTGAGACCATAATAAATTGCGTGGCAAAAAATAAAAAATAAATTTTGGGGGGTGTGAGTGTTTTTTTAATGGCTCAACGTTTGAATCTGATACCAAAATTGATTTCATTTGTTGTTCAATGTTGCAATTGTGAGGCATCCATAAAAAAGGAGCATAACTTGGGTTAGTGCGTGACAGCTGCTGTACTAGAAAACACGTGTGGACCATCCTACAACGTTACAGCTGTAGCTTTTTTTTGCTTTAGCTGATGAAGCAGAACCAAACTGCAATTTTTTCTGTTGTGCTGGGTGTGTGGCAAATGGTGTGGCATGGCTTTATTGGACTTATATTAAGATACTTTACCTTATATACCAAGTTTTCAATTGGATCGCTTTGATGTGTGGAGATTTCAAGTTGCAGTAAGTAGAATATAAATGTTGCAGAAGTATGCATGTGACGAGCCGGATGGTATTCACATAAATAACACTCAACAGAAAATTGAGCTAGTGGTACTGAATCTGTTTAAATTCTGCTAAAGGCTGGGGTTGCGTGGCTGTGCACTTAATTATTTTAGAAAACCCCAATTGGTGCTCGTGGTATTTATATGCTCGTTTATTTATTAGGGATGCTGTGGGGGTGGAGGGGGGGCATTCTCATGTGCTTGTGGGGTGCGTGCGGGGAACAATCGAATCAGAAATAGCCAATTTGAATTTTAACTTCTTGTGCGAGCAGTAACAATTCTTTGTCTTGTGTACAGGCAAATGGAAGAGAAGAGCATCCAGGAGAGGTACAGACGCGAGGGAAGAGTGCCTCCCTCTGCGGCCAAGCCCAAGTGAGTGTCCCAAAGGGCTCACAAGCGTTTTCCCTAATATCGGCCTTCTCCTCCAAGCTCCGGGTTGCGATCATTGCGATGCTACACCGTTTTCAGATGCATGCACCTGTCTCTTATACACTGGTGCATTTAGCTCTCTAACGAAGCAGTCAGAATACTGACAATCTATATCACTGACAGAGTACTCTTCCGTGCGCTTTGCTAGTTATTCTGGAATTTTGCTTTACCCGGTTTTGCTGGTTTCATAATCTTGTTATTTTTTAAAGATTTAGGCAAGCAATTTATTTGATGACAGGGTGGGGTTGATGGAAGTGGTGTGTAAAAAATAAAAGTTTGGGGCTTATAGGATTTTAAAAACCGTGGCACTACACGCCATACCTCGGCAAACCTCACTCATGAGGGCCTTCACTCACCCTCGCTCGCCCTCATCTTCACAGGTGAGGTGAGGGTCAGTGAGTTTCTGAACCAAGAAAATTCATGAGTGAGGGTGAGTGAGGACTGTGAGGGTGTGAGGGCCGTGAGGGCTGTGAGGACCGTGTGTGTGTGAGGGGTATGAGTGCGTGAGGGCGGTGAGTGCGTGAGGGGCGTGAAGGCCATGAGTGCGTGAGCGGCGTGAGGGTGGTCAGTGCTTGAGCGGTGTGAAGGCTATGAGTGCGTGAGGGCTATGAGTGCGTGAGAAGCGTGAGGGCGATGAGTGCATGAGGGCCATGAGTGCGTGAGTGGCACGAGGGCAGTGGGTGCATGAGGGGCCTGAGGGGCGCAAGGTCCATGAGGGCGGTGAGTGCGTGAGGGCGGTGAGTGTGTGAGGGCCATGAGTGTGTGAGCGGCGTGAGGGTGGTGAGTGTATGAGGGGCGTGAGGGCCATGATTGCGTGAGCGGCGTGAGGGCGGTGAGTGCATGAGGTGCGTGGGGGTGGTGAGGGGCGTGAGGGTGGTGAGTGCATGAGGGCGGTGAGGGGCGTGACGGCGGTGAGTGCATGAGGGCGGTGAGGGGCGTGACGGCGGTGAGTGCATGAGGGCGGTGAGGGGCGTGACGGCGGTGAGGGGCGTGACAGCAGTGAGGGTGGTGAGTGCGTGAGGGCTGTGAGGTTTAATGAGGGTGAGTGAAGGGCTGAAGGTGAGTAGTGTGACTGTGATGATGAGGGTGAGTGTAGCTGTGAGGGTGAGGGTCAGTGGAGGGGCTGAGGTGAGTGTGGCTGTGAAGGTGAGGGTGAGTGAGGGGCTGAGGTGAGTGTGGCTGTGAAGGTGAGGGTGAGTGAGGGGCTGAGGTGAGTGTGGCTTTGAGGTGAGGGTGAGTGAGGGCAACCTAAAATGCCGACCTCTGCTACACGCCTTCATGGTTCATCGTTTTGGGTGTCAACTTTACTTTTAGTGTGAAACATTCTTTGGCTATGGTGTTCGGCATTTCGTGAAGCCGAAAAGTGAAGCCTGGATAAAAGTGTGGCTGCGAGGCTTGACACTGATTGGTTGACAGGTGGGAGAAGAGGAGCGGGGTGCTCGACACTGATTGGTTAATGGTGAAGTCATGTGACCAGAGGGGTAGGCGAGGAGGAGCTCAGCCACCTGTGCGCACAGAGGGAGAGGAGCTCAAGAGTATGGAAGTCTCTGGAAGATCGCCAGGTTTATCGGCCCAATTAGCGGTAGTATCGCTTCAATCTAGGAACAGCTGTCAGGTGTACATATGGTACAGATTAAACTATCTGATGAAAAGTGTCGTGAACATAGGCGTCGGGCGTCTCGAAACTCTGAATATTGCTAAACTTTTGCGATGCTAGAATGTTTCATGTATGCAACACAATTGCCTAGCAGTTCGCCATAAATATTTTGTTTTGATTTCAAGTTGAAAATTGATGAACATCAGTAAATTCAAAGTTTAAATCACACACGTCGGTACATTTGGAAGTTTAAAGTGATTGGTGGGCATTATGGCAAGTCTTTTTTTGGTTTGGAACGAATTTGGCAGCTGTTACTGTTGGTTTTTAAACTTCATAAGCATAGAGGAGGAGGCACTGAGGGGATGGGTCTTTATTGGCACACAAAAAAGAGATTCTATAATTTAACTTTAATTTCTTTATAAAGTTAAATGGTTCTGTCGGGAGAGGAAAAAAATGATGCCGAAATCGCTGCCATCGTTACTCTGGTTCTTGACGAAATGCTGTGGCATTTAGCGTGAGAGTTCCGACTCGGTGAAGGATGGGAATTCCCACCTCGCATTGATCCTCCTACTGTTGTCTTTGGAGAGTCAGTCTGTTCTCTTGGGCATCGGTGGTTTCAGACGCACCTATCACAGCTTCCCTCAATCGCCGCCTCCGGTCCGCATATTGTTCGGTCTGCATTCATGAAATGTAGATTTTGCACTGAAGTATGATGAGCAGGAAACTTCTTGAACCCTCGGACATTCTGTGCGCCACTTAGATATGTGTAGTTGCATTAATTTTATAATGCGAGCGCAGTTTCAAAGTTGCCGTGAGCTGGAAGATGACGCAACAACCGCGAAAACCAAATCTGTGCGTGCGCTTTTCCAAATGATTTGGGAGATGCACGAAGGCACATGCGCAATGAACTGTGCCTCATGTCATCGTGCCCGTCGCGTCCTCTGCAAGAACAGTGGACGTAACGAGCAAACAAACAGAGCGAAAGAGCACGGCGGGAACCGTGTTGCGTTCTCACAAAACCAGTCCGGTCCAAATCACGACCTTCCAAATGAAAGACAGCTGCGTGCACCGGGGTATTGAATGCTAACGCATTTAAAACATTGCCCTATTTTTAGTGCAGAATTGCGGTCTTACGGAAGCTAACTCATACTTTGCAAGCATCCCGTGGCACAGTGAGAGGTACAGACTGCGGCAATGTGAGCTGGCCCGGCAGCATTTGGGCCGAGGAGGCACGAAAGCCATGCAGGGAACGTCTGGCGTTTTAGGCTGTTAAAAAAAGAGTAAATTGGAATAGACTCCCGCATTTTCTGTTGTCACAATGTGGCAGTCAGTTTTACGGCTTAGCTCACCGGAGGCACCCCACGTGGCAATTTACCTGTTCCGGCTAGCACTAGTCCAGGCCAGCACATGTACCAGCGTACCCTAATAGAGTTGGCCGACCACCGAAAACGTTCGGAAACAACGAGAAAAGCCAATACGGTATTTAGGCGGCGACACTCTGAAAAGACACGGCAATGCGTGCCAGGGAGGCTAAGGCCGGATGTTGGCGTCTGCTCCGTTCCTCATAAGATGCAGTTCTGCACATGATAATTTGATCAGTGCTACATTTGCAGATAAAAAAAAAAAAAAAAAAAATAAGAGGCACTTTTTGTAGTTGCTGAGAAGGTGAGGACGGCAGGGAGGAGCTCCAGTTGTCCCACCTTGAGCTTTCTACCTTGGGCAACGCTCGGGCGTCTCTTGCACCTCGAGCGCGGGTGCGCAGCTGAAGCGCGGCGGAAGGCGTGGAGTGTGTGCTGGAGGCCGGGTTTTCGAAGGACACGCCCCGCTGTTCCCAGTCCGTCGGATAGTATAGACCAAACTTTCTGTCCATTCTTTGCCAGGCCCGAATGCAAGCTGACCATCCACGAGCTAAGGGGTGAGACGTACAACGGCCTGGTGCGTCTGCTCAAGCCGGGCTGCCGCACGGTCGTTCTTCTGGTCGACCAAGAGTCCAAGCCCAAGCTGCTGCCCCAGTTCTTCCGAGCCGTCTTCCCCTACCGCAAGTGAGCCGCTCGGTCTGCACGGTCGTCCGTTTGCGGTACACGCGCTTCGGCATTGGGTCTTGTTGGCCCGCGAGAAGGCCCTTGTGGAAGCTGACTTAGATTTATACAAAACCTGCTGTCACAGGTTTGGGCGGAAAAGATCCCATAAACAAACAAATTTGTACTTTGAATTGGACCGCCGTCCAGGTGCGCCACATTTTAGCGATGGACTTCCTGAGAGGCGGTAGGAATTGAGAGTAAGTTGTACCTGGCGTTACGAACACTATTTAGTAGCGATGGAATTCAAAAGTAAAGGTTCACAAAGTGCACACACAGTCGTTAAAACTTTCAGGAGTACACTTAAGACTGCTTACGTATAGGATTGCGAAAGCATTCCTACACGCAGCATATTCCCACAAGCAGCGCGCCCCGCTGTTCATGGCGCGGAGGACAGCGGGCAGCGCGCCCGTTCCTCTGCGGGTGAGGACAGCGGCAGTGCGCCCCGCTCCTTCGCGGTGCGACATGGCTGAAAGCAGAGCGTAGAATGCGTTAGGAGCCCCCTCTCCATGCCTCCAGCCACACCACACAGCGTGACCCAAGAAGGGAAAGAGAGGGGCTGCCGAGCGCGCGCACCCTCTCCTTAGTTGCTCTTCAGTTGCTCGTTCGCCAGCACCCTTTCTTTTAATGCGAAATAGTTGCTAATTTTTTGGGGTCACAGCCAACGCTGGCAGCGCTCCATAAAACAATTATTGCTTTCGCATAACAAAAAAAAAAAAAAAAAAAAAAAGAACATATTAATTAAGAGCGTTCCGCACTTCGTAACCGGGAAAGAAAAATACAAAAGTTTTGAAAGCGTAACAAAAAAGAACAGAAGTCAAATGAAAGCCAACATAAAATTCAGAGGAGGAGAGGAGTCGAATCAGGGTCCCAAATCAGGGTCGGTGGTGGTCCGGTTCCTTGTGCCGCCAGTTGGGGTCGAGAAGTCGTGGTGGCTTGGGTGTTTGCAGTGCCAAACAGCGCTCCCTCCAAGCACACACACACACACCGTTGAAGACTTGCTCGGGGCCAACCAACCAGACTGCCGAAGCCTTGCTCGGGGTTCGACCATCCACACCACCGAAGACTTGCTCAGGGCCGACCAGTTACACCGCTGAAGCCTTGCTCGGGGTTCGATCAACCACACCTTGCGTGACTTCCACCTTTTTACAGCGGAGCTGTTAAGGGCTAGGTTCTCGAGGATTGTGTTTGGTACAAAACTCTTGTCGACAAAAACGCCTCTAGACAGCTACCGCCATCTATAAGCGACGGCGGCAAGCACATAACCAGTATGGTTGCCGTCGTCGCTGGAACATGGCGCCAACCTTTCCAGCTATCATAGAAGAATGGATAGTTGGGCGGCACGTTGGTGGGAATTCATTGTAGGAAACAGCGCGAAAAACAGACGACGACAAAGAAGAAGCACACGTAACGAGCGCAGCGCTCGTCACGTGTGTTTCTTCGTCCCCGTCTGTTTTGCGCACCGTTTCCTACGCTCTTATCAGTTTCGGTTTGGACTCAGGATGGGTCAGCCGCGTGCCCTTTCGGGGAAAGAAGACTGACTGCGAAAGGAGTGGCGACGTACGCAGCAGCGCGAATGGGTCCGTAACCGCCGCAAAGCCGCTGTCGCCTCGACTTCCACTGCGTCGAGCGCTTCAGATTCCCTTGCCAAAGAAGAGCACATCGCTCGCCTGGAAAGCCGCTGCCGAGAACAGAACCAGCGATGTAAAGAGCACCGGCGGGCCAGCGCCACGGAGGACGATCGTGCCACCGAGGCCAAATGCAAGCGCGAGGCCCGGCGACGACTGCACTCCACGCTGGCTGAACAGTTCCCGGGCACGACGGCGATGTTCTGGAAGGAGTTCGTGGATTACCCGTTTGGCATCACGTGTGCCGTGTGCGACCGACTCTGGGTCGCCGGAGACGTATCCACGATCGGCGGCGTGTCGGACGAGAAGAAGCGGGAAACGGGCGCGTGCGCGTTACGGCAGTGTATCGAGTACAGCTCCGCTGGTCTTCCTTCTTCACGGGAGTGGAAAGGCTGAACGTTTTTTTCTTTTTCTTTCTTCGTCTGAGCTCGCCCGGAAAAATTCTAAAGTTTGCGCTCGTGTCCTTAGCACTCATGCACCCCAGTCAAAATGGAAACCAACAAAAAAAAAGATATACAAGGGCAGAAAACCCTTGAATTCTGTGACACTTGCCCTAGTTATTGTAATGACAACCTTAAGACACCGAGCCAGACTCTTGTGATGATGATTGACAAAGTTTGAGCTGACTGGTAGCTCCTGTGTTTACTTTCTACCCTGTTTCTGATGTTCATGAGGGCACGTTTACTTGCGTGGATGCGTGCTTGGTATTTCACAATAATTTCTTTCTTCCATCCTGTCTTTCCTGATGCCTCTTTCATTTTGTCACGCAATGTAACGGCAACTGAAAAAGTGACCCCTTGTCGTCTCTTTGGACCAGGAACAAGACTCTCATGTTTTCCATGCTGCTTCTGGAGAAGAACCTGGAGTGGTACCGCAAGATCCTGTCGCAGACACTGTCAGAGCGTAGGACCCTCAACATCAACCCCAAGAACTGCATCGGGACGGTGCTGTCCCTTAACGGGCACCGCAAATACTTCTGCGTCTACCACGCCAAGCACCTGGAGCCTGCTGTGCTCAAAAAGGTCAGTAAGCCGAAAACTGCGACCAGCGAGATGAAGAATATACTACAGAATGCGATTCTCCCGAAGCTAGAGTTACACTAAAATTTGTGATTGTATGAGTTATTTGAGGGTCCCGAGAAGATTGAACGACACCTGGCCTACCCTTCAGCCTGTAGACCTTGTGGCACTTCAGAGATTGGCAGAGTACCTCATAGGAACAATGGAGCAGCCTAGTAAGCAGTGCTTGACAAGTTTGGTCTTTTTGGTGCAAATATTAGGCTCTGATCGAAACTTGTTTCCACACGCTCTGGTCAAGTAAATATGTAGCTTTCTACTTCCGTGCTGCAAAAATAAAAATAAATGAAAAGGGCTGTAGTGCTGTACGCTGTTGGGGATGCGAAGAGAAATAGTTAACCACGATTTAATCTTTTGGCGAGAAAAACCAAACGTTGTAGAATTCATTGCTCAATCAGCAGCCTTACTTTGCCTCTCTGCTATTGCGTGACGGTCTAGTTTAGTTGTGCATGCAAAATATCAGTTCGATTACCGGTTTCACCAAGTACAAACTGCTTAACTGGTTCGTAACTCAGCCTTAGCCACCTTTGTGTTTACTGGACTAAACATAACAAAGACTTTGTAGCCCCCATTTGCAATAAAAAAATAAGTGTTAAACTCAATGTTGTCTGCATTAAAAATAGTACAGAAGTTAAACCTCTTGCCGGTGTCTCCCCTTGAACGAGGTTTGCAGGAAAACTATCTAACTTTTCGGAAAACGAATATAACATAGAACTGCTTATATTAACAGTTTTGACACAAGAATTGCCCGTAATCCCAGAATTTTCGGAATTGACCAAAGTTGCCCTTCAAAAGCGGCGCTGCCCTGCGGCAGTATGGCGGCAAGCTCCATTCTCTTCTGGCCTATTCGACTTTTGCGGGGAGCGGGGATGGGCAACTAAAAACGACCAGGTTGTAATGCATTGATGACGCTGACTGGCAGAGCTCGTAACCATGCCAAGCGGCTTTGGCAGAGCTGGTAACCCAAGCGGCTTTGCTGGTGCTGTACCGAGTGACATCAATTGATATGGCTCCCGCGATGCATTGCGCTCTTTGATTGCCGATCTTCGAGTGCTGTCTGGAATCGGTCCTTTCTAACCAAAAAATATAGCCATTCATTCAAAATACGAGCATGTGATTGTCGTTAGCAGATTGAGTTAAAGGAGCTGTGCAACGATATTCAATTGCAATGTTTTTCTCTCTACACGAGCTTACTGGCACACCTGGGACTCAAGGATACTCACACGCAACGCCATTGGCCAAGAAACTCCTTTGTTGCGGTGTAATTTTAAGGACAAAAGCGATCATTTTCATTCAATCTCTCCTTTGCAAAATTTGATGACGTAACTCGGGGATCGCAGTACACCCAAATGATGACGATATTTGAATGCGGTTCATAGATTGGACCCGAGCATTGCGGGGGCACTCGACTTGGGCTCGTGATAATTGCTAGCTCGAGAAGCATTCGGGTTGTGACCCGTGTCCAATCGCTGCAACGACGAAAACAGCCGAGCCATAACAATGTCTGGAACTCAGCGCGTGTCCAGCGCTTTGCCAACCCCAGCGCGTGGCTATGATCAACACTGGCGGCATATAATCGGCTCCAGATCACGTGGCCGCTTGTTCTGGCTGCGAGTTGAGGGGGTGAACGCTGCTCGTTTTTCTTTAATTTTTTTCTGGGACTTCTATTGCGTGGGGTGAAAAACGAACGCGTGTTTCATAGGTCATTAACGTTAGGGATCCGTTTTAAGCGGTATTTGTGCACAGTACAAAAATTGTTGCATCGCTCCTTTAATCATGTTTACAGTAAGTGTTTTTTTGACAACAGTTTTTCTCGAGAAGCTTGAAAAAGAGTATTTGAGATAGAGTTTCATGATTCCGGAAGAAACTGTTCTGCAGAGACGTGAGCTGTTTTCTGTCAGTTGCCACTGCACATTATTGTTGGGTTTGTTTATTTCGTTGATGACTCGGGCAACAGCCCTCTCCCATAAGCACTTTAAAGGGCACACAATATTTCAGCATGGAATGTGTTTTTTATCAGCCAAATTTCATGAAAATATTGAACGTTCCAGCGTCAGATTCTGGTGTTACATCTTACGCAAAGTTTAAAGTTGTAAATAAAGTACACAAGCTCATGGCACCCATTTAACATAAGAAAGACATATCAATGGGAATCGAATTCGCGACTGAGCAATTCTTAGCTGGATATCGTACCCACTGAGCTAGGCGATGCAGATGCTCAAAGAGCAACTGCGGAAAGAGCAGCTGCATGCAGAACAGCTGTGCCTTGACCAGAAGGTAAGATGTGCCGGTGGGGAAACGACCACTGAAACCTGCGACCGGATTGCGTCCTCCCAGCAGCTTCCGCTCGTCAGGTACCTCTGCCTTACGATAGATGATGCGGCAGCATACGGAAAGTGATGGACACGGCTTTGCATGGACCTCTGCGAGAGAACACATTGCATCAGCGATAATCTTTATTCTAACCCCTGCCCATTTCGATTTGGATGAGCATCGTACCGGCGTGCAGCCGTGTATCACTACTGCGTGATGCACGTTAAAGACCCCAGGCTAGCGGTTGTACTGCACTGGCTAAATTTCTCATCTACAGCTGGGAGACTCGTCGCCCGTTGAGGCAGACCAAGTTCTAGGCTGTATAAACATACACACAACCCAATTTTTTGTTTTTTCTTTATTTTAGAGTAGCATTCACTAAATCCTGGAGAAATAAAATCACCACACGATTACCAACATTTTTCTTAACTTTGATGCATTTTCCAGACCGTGTCTGTGAAGTCGTCTGCAAAATGACTTCACGGAACATGCAGTCTGTCAAATGTATATTGGACAGGCTGCATATTCCCTTGTCTGGTTATTGATGCACCAAAAACTTTAATAAAAGATTACAGGACACTCTCCTCATTTGCATTAGACAGAACGACGGCAGCACCATAAACCAACCCTGGTGTGGTTGACAGAGTCGCGGATGTGAAGACGGCACCGCTGCCGCCGTCATGCGTGTATCCTCAGATCTTCATTTCGTCTTTTCCTATGTATTCTTATGGAGTGTCCCGTACTCACCTAGTAAAGTATTTGGACGCACCTTCCAGGCCATGTGTGGTCAATGATACATTGGACAGACTGGAAGGTGCATCAATAATTGGACGAGGGAACATGCTGCTTCAGTGAAGGCCATCGCAGCAGGAGTTATCTACCTACCTGCCCATTGTCGTGTGTGTCAGTGTCCACCAGAGTTTTCTAGCCTAAACATCCTGGCAAGAAACTGCAACAAGTTTGCTCTAGAAATCCTGGAGGCCCTTGCTAATGACGCAAAAACAGACAGTTATGCGAGTGCGCCTTCCATCGCGCAACGGTACTAGAAAATTGTTGACACAGCAGGAGTTAAGTCAGCAAGGACATTGTTACTTATTGTTGATGAGCAATTTAGCCAGTGCAGTACGACTGCTAGATTGGGGTCTTTAATGTGCACCACGCAGTAGTGATACGTGACCACAGGCCGGTACAATGCTCATTCAAATCGAAATGGGCAGGGGCGGGGAACACAGGATCACTGGGTTCTGTAGCCTGAGCTTTCGCTTCACGTGCTCCTAGCTGGTGCGCGCTAGCCCACTCGGCCACACGATGCCCCTGGAAATTGTCTGTCTTAGAGGGGCTGCACCCATAACGGACAAATGAAAGACGAGGAAAATGGCTCGGTTGTAAGAGTAGAAGAGGAGGAAGATGTAAAAAAAAAAGAGGAACTGAAAAACAATATAGGCAGATGAAGAAAAAAAAGTCTTATTAAACAGCTGCTAGTCCAGCGGTGTTGTATGCCTTTCTAGAGTGCAGCTCTTAGGTGCCTGTTTCCGGCTTGAGCAGCGTCGGCGTCGCCGTAACTGTGAGGTCACGTGACCCCCCCCCCCCCCCCCCCCCTCCCTCCCCCCGAGGCCACATGACCCCCCCCCGAGGCCACGTGACCCCCCCTGAGGCCACGTGACCCCCCCCGAGGCCACGTGACCCCCCCGACGTCACACGACCCCCCCTGAGGTCACGTGATCTCAAGGAGTCGCCTATCCCTCGGTACCCTTCCATCCTCCTCAAGAGCTGAGCTCTAATCCGGCATTACAGGGAATTGTAAACGGCTTTCATTTTTTTATTTTTTCTCTCTCTCAAATCCTTCCTTCGTGTTCAACTGGCACTATATTATTGGAGAGGGCATTTTGAAAATGGGGAAAGAACAAACGTTTTGCACTTTAGCCCAACTTCTCTCGAGCCTGGTCTTTCTTTCTCGCACCAGAAAAAAGAAACTGGCGGAGATTTCATCGGGTTCGAGGACTCGAGCAGCGGGTCGGAGGCAAGCGACGTGGAGTCTGGCCGTCTGCTCGGCCGGCAGGAAGAGGTCGACTCGGACGTGTACGGCAGCATCCTTTTCGAAGAGCACCTCCTCGACGGACTGCCCAACTGGCTGGACCGGCTGTTCGAAGGCACCACCAAGCGCTACTACATCCAGTACTGGCCGGAGTGCATGAAGTAGCCGTTTCCCCTCTCCTCTACGACGGGGCGCCGTCCTCTCTTCGACATCCGGCCACCCCACTGCGTTGGGGGTGTGGAGTGGGCTGCGCCGACCTCTTTTACGTTTTCCTGCATTTGTTTGATGTCGTTTCCAAGTTATACCAACCGCTTCCTTGGAAACCTCGGGCTGTCGTACAAGGAAAACGCCAGCGACGGTCTTGTCGTCGTCTCTTTTTAGATCCTTCTCATGGGTGTGTTCAAGCTGCAAAAACAGAATTTATAAGAGAACACCTTGCTATACTCCGTCCACCTCTAAGCCGAGATTGCAGCCAATGCCACAGCAGGCACTCGCACGCTAGAGATGCACGTCTCAAAGCTAGGAGCACGGGTTAGCTCGCGCTTGTAGCTGAACGGAGTATATCAATGAGCGTAAGAACTGGTCAGATGGCTGGGGGCACTTGCAAGCTGTGTGATTCTATGAATGTGTCCATTAGGAACAGGCAAGTTGTTCGTTGTCCGTTTGATCGGACATAACGAAGCCATACTGTCCAGAATTTGGGCCTAGCACTCCCATAAATCCGACGTCCGTCTTTCAGGTATGAACCGCCAGTAGCCTAGTCTCGGGAGAAGGGACAGAGCGACCTTGTTTGCCTTGCTGTTGCCAGGAAAGTTGAGCGTCGCGTCGTTTCTGCAGCTTGTTGCACGACTCGGTGCTCCGACGTGTGGCAGTTGTTCGACCCCCTCCGACATTGATCTTTATTGTGCCAGTGTTTGTGCGAGGTTGTGTCACTTTGTGTTTGCGTGGCCACGTGGTGGGACATTTTATTTAAAAGATGCGAGGACTACTCTCCAGTGTGGGAGAGTGCAGAGGGCGACGAAATACTCACGTGGAGGGGGGGGGGACCACGAACACCGTTTCTGCACTCCCTTTCTGCCTCCCCTGGTTGTCAAATTGTAAATAGGGGCGGCCGAAAGCGCAGTCTTAATTACTTAATGCAAGTTGTGATAACCAGATTGTTTCGAAGTGTCTCGAAAGTCTCTCTGCCTAAGAGCGAACTACCTGAATGCTGTTTTGTTTCTCCTTGTCATGAAGGGTGGTATTGGTTAATGTCCTAATGCGATTGGGGATTACGTCGGTTGTCCCAGTTTCGTGAAGTACGCCGTCATTTACGCGTGTTCACAGGTCATCACACATACGGTACTGTTCAAAGGCTGGTAGTTCCCAGTCCTAGTCATAGGCAATTTCCCGGCGGACATTCTCTTGCAAGTGCATCGACAAAGGATCACAACTGCTGTGGCGCAGTATCATCTTTGCACTAGTGATGTAGCGTGGCATTGTTTTAGTATACATTTTAGAACTTTGCATTAAAAAACATAGATTTTACTATATATGCTCTCAGGTCACGCACTTATAGTCTTGTATCCTGCAGAGTGTGAGCATTATTTATTATGCGCCGTTGTTGAGCGGGGGTGTCGTATCTGCGTCTGCGTTCGCAGAGCGCAAGCGCATCTATGCGACAGTTGACGAAAGACCAGCCCTGCTGGTTTGATCCATGTAGATCATCTCTTAGAGTTGATCGGTTCCTGTTTAGGACAACCAATAAAAGAAAATATTGTACAGCCTGTCTGTTTACCGAGTTCAACAACTTTTATTCAGCAATGTGGAGGTACAGTTCCTAAATGTGTGTCAAGGCACGCCAAATGAATGCGAGAAAAGGCGCTTACTGCCCTGTTCTTTTTACAGCATTTCTTGTTTTTTTATGAAATGGCATGTCAGCAAAAGTTCAGAATGAGTTTAGCGCTTCCTTATCAACAACTCTGAATGATGCTACTGTTTGCTTACACCTAACCTGACAGTACAGCAAAAGCTACAAGCGCTTGTTAACATAGAATGACCACTCCGAGAAAAACTAATAATGTAAAATGCATTGTTTGTATCATCCTGTTCGGATCTGTTTCACTTGTTTTGCCCGGTTGGCTTTTAGAATACCGACATCAACACCTGACACATCCTGCATCAGTCAGTACAGAGCCGCATATTGGGAGAGTCTGGCGACGAAGGCGCTAGAGAGGAGAAAAAAAAAGGAAGGAGAGGGAGGAGAGCACCGAAGGAGCGAGAGAGGAAGGAGGGAGCAAAGGGGAGACGACCGCCGTTTTGACGCAACACGCTTTCCGTACAGAGCACTGTTGAAGCTACACGTCGTCTGCTACGAGCCGATTTCTTTTAGAGCGCAGCTCTTAGGCGCCCGTTTCCGGCTTGAGCGGCGTCGCCGTCGGCGTAATGGCGCGGTGCATTATGGGTAAATTTCCCCGCTAAATCTAGCGGAAAAATGTCCCCGCTAAATTTAGCGGAAAAATTTCCCTGCTAAATCTAGGGGAAAAATTTCCCCGCTAAATCTATCGGGAAAATGTCCCCGCTAAATTTAGCGGAAAAATTCCCCCGCTAAATCTAGCGGAAAAATTTCCCCGCTAAATCTAGCAGAAAACATTTCCCCGGTAAATCTAGAGGAAAAAATTCTCTGGGGGGTCGCGTGACCCCCCCCCCCCCCCCCCCCCCAAGTCACGTGACCTTGGGGAGGGGTCATGTGACCCCACCAAGGTCACATGATTGCACCCCAGGTCACGTGACCCCCCCGAGAATTTGTGAACCTCAGTACCCTTCCCTCCTCCTCAAGAGCTGCGCTCTAATTCGACGTTACAGGGAGTTGTATACGGCTTTCATTTTTTTTCCATTGAAGAAAAGTTTTCGGTCAGATGCCGAGAAAACTTAATTTCTTAGCTTTTTAACCCACCGTGGAATAACAGTGTATACTATTCTTGCCAGAACCACCGACATAAAAGGAAATAACTGAAATTTCGATGCTGATCTCATGCATTCCATTGAGTGAATGAATGAAAATGGTGGACCTCGCCGCTCAGTTGGGAGCAGCCGGGAATTCACGCGCATGCACTCACGCATCTCACTCTGTGCCGTGGGCTGACTGGCTCACTCGACAGGGGGGGCGTTATGGTGGCGAGATCATAAACTTGCCAAACTCTCCCAATATACGGCTCCGAGTCATTATTATGCGAATCACCAAGGTAGGTTAAAAGTTTTTACGCCTGAACTTAAGAATATGTCACGTGACCCCTCCCGACATTGAGGCGACAAATATATTGTGGAAACACAAGCACATAGGGGCAGAACTTGCACAATGGAAGAAAAGATTCCAAGTTCGATTCTGGGTGAGGAACTGTCTTGCAAATGGCACTTGGCAGGCACCGAGGTAGACTTCGTTTTGTTATCGTATTGGTAACAAATTTTCCTGATGCTCTATACTTGAAAATTGGCCCACAAACACATCCGCATTAAAACTCAACTACCACAAAAGCGTGAAAGTGTTAATACCTTGTGCTTGTACTCATTGTCTTGATGTCAGGTTAAACGGTCTTGACATACGAAACAATTTTTTTCTGGCATGAAATACCACTAGTATATATGGATTCATGACACCAACTAATTTATTTATTTGCCTAAAGAAACAAAAGTCGAATCAAAACTACACGGAACAATGTGATTTCAGAGACTCCAGAGGTTACTTGTGTTGTTTCACACCCCTACAAATACATGTCTAAATTACGTTCAAATCGGAATATTTCATATGTTTCGGTGGTCATAAAGATTAGTATGTTTTACAATGACCCCAGAGGGCATATCTCGGGAGCCATTCTACTTCACAAATGTTGCGAGTTAGGTATTGTCGCGGCATGCGGCCGAGGATGGAAGAGCGAGGGAAGCCCCAAGCAGACTGTTGTGACGGCAGCCTTGGCGTGGAAAGAGCAAGACAAAGCAAGACTTTTAATGTCTTGAAAACCTGAGACTTGGGCACAACACATAGGCTTGTGTGTCTCTGTTGTCCCTCTTTGTTTGCATGTCTCGGGTTTTTAAGATGTTGAAAGTTTACCAGTCTCCCTGCATGTTTTCTGTTATATTTATCGAGACGTTGAGCCCTAAATACTTGTTTTTCTCTTGACAGCTAAGCCTTTGTAGGTCACATTTCCCGCGATAATCAAGTCACACATAAGCATGTTGTGAAGAAAACAATTATATGCAAGAAAGTGCAATAAATTACAAAAACATTTAAGGGGTCTAAATTAGGAAATTGACACACAAGCTTCAAGGTAACATAAATGTGGCAAAGGCAGTGATGTGAATGAAAATGTTGCAAACTTGTTCGGGCCCTAATATTTGGCCTTTCCAACAACTTTTTGCTTAAAGGCTGATGATGTACAGTTTCCACTTCTGCTTGCTTGCTTCCTCTCCCACATCCTTTCCCACCTTCAGCACTATTGCCTTTTGGGGTGGAAGACCTGTCTTGCAGAGAAGTGGAAGTTACGTACAACAGGCCCTAAGCGATTCTCAGTGAAGCCTTGTTAACGACACTCGCGGAAGTTCAACAGTGTTGTCGTGAAATGTAAGAAACGGCAAACATGTATAAGCATACAAAGTAACATACTACATTATGTATAAAAGAAATATGGAAAAACTTGATCGCTTATAGAGAGGAGATAGCAATGGTGCTCACCTTGCACCACAGCATGCGACGGCATTTTTTTTTATGCATAGGTGAAAGTGTTGGTTGTCTACAAAAGCTAGATCTAAGCACACTCCATACTAGTCATTTTCTAAGCTTACTTATGAGACTTGGGAAATCTTGACTAAGCACGTGCAACTGCCTCTAATGCTTAGTGTGTGAAAAGTGGAAAAATATAAATAATACAAAACTACAGCTATGCCAAAGACATTTTGGTGTTTGCAGTTGATATGGCAAGGCTAATGTAGCTCTTCTGCACACTGTGTACTTCAGTCTAAACACAATGAGACTCTCCTGTGGCTTCATATTCACAGGCATTTCTTGTTCGCTTCAGCGTTAAAGAAAAAAAAAGGCAAATAAACTAACACAAAGCAGCTGAACAAACAAAATAAACTTTGAATGCAATAATCACAAACATTTTCTCACTGATTAACACTTCCCCCAAGCGCAAATACATTTCCCCCAAGCGCAAATAAACAATAACAAAAAACATGACCGGTGTGGAGATTCGAGCAGGCACCTTTGGTTAGTTATGACAACATAGAATCAGCAGCCCAAACATAAATTAGGATGACCTTCCAAAATATCATACCTTTCACATATCACAGACATATTGCCCTTATTAAAAAGTTTGGCCGTGCATCTGACTCTAGAGATGGCAAGAAACCGGATGTGTCTGTCGGAGCCTAGAACTCGTCGTGAATGTTCCTGGCCGTGTTGACCATCTTGCTACCGAGGAAGATGTCCTTCTTGGCCAGCACTTCGTCCAAGCTCAGTTTGTTGTCTCCATTCGTGTCGGCCTGGGCGACTAACTCTCGGGCTTCGCTTCTGGCATGCACTGGATTTTCAGGATCGTTGTACATCTGTAAACAAAGATTACATAGATTTTTTTTTTATATGAAAGTTCCAACATGCAATGGAGGTCTTTAGATTTGCTAGTTGACTAACGGGATGGCAAAGAAAAACATACTGATGTGCTATTTTGTCTGAACCTAGTAAGCGAGGTCCGGTAACAAAAGCAAAAGTGCAGGACATAGTCATACATTTTGACAATTCTATAAACTTCACTTACAACAGGCTCTGCCAGTGACTGATAAGACTATGTAACAAACTGTAATGCATGTTCTGTCAAATATAAAATATGTTTAACTTCCAGATGCTGCATGCACTTGATGATAGGACAATAGGTATTTGATCCAAATGTAGCACACTTTTGAGCCACCTGATTGACAGTTCTTAATCGTTTGGTTGCCAGGACAGCTTTATGATGACCATTTCTGAGCATCATGCTCGAACAACAAAAGGTTCGAGGTACAATTAAGCACTTCTTATGAGTTGTGAATGGAAAAGCACGCTCGCCGCTCTTTGCTCCCTTCGTTAATCTGCGCGTACAATGCGGTCCTTGGGCCTTGTGGCACGAGAAGGCCCAAGGTCTGCGCGTACAATGCGCAGACCTTGGGCCTTGGGCATGGAACGGCAGAGCCACTGCCTCGCGGACACGCAGCGCCATCACGTGAGCGATCGTTCAAACTGTCGTGTGCCTTGTGGCACGAGGAGGGAACAGACAGCAACATAGTTCCCAGCAGAACAAACCCCTTGGTTTATTACATGCACTGTATATATTGCCACGCGCCGTACAACCGATAATAGGCAAGCGAACGCAGTGATCACTGATAACACAACAGTGTGATAACACAGTCAGGTTGACACCACACAAACTGACGCGCAGCGGCCAATGGGAGCCTCGTCGACGTGCGCCAGCTAATGAGACTGAAGTATAAAAGGTGTTGCTGGCTAGCTTTGCGCGTGGTTTCATTAAGGTGCCGTTTTGCATGGTTTCAAAGCTGATGATGTCGGCTCGCTCCATGAGAGAGTTAATGCTTTCGCATTAAAAAAGGAATGTTTTAGAGACACCGACAGACCGGCAACTCCTCGTGTCCTTCGTCTATTTTAGCGCTGCTTTACCTTTTCTAGCTTAGATGCCCGTGCTGCCAGTATTATGAACTCGTTCTTAGCCACTTAGTTCCAAAACGTTCCGACGTGCGAGAACGTGCCCATGCTCTGGGCAGTCACGTCTGGCCAGGACCCCACTGACCAGCAGCTCTTGGCGGCTGGCCCGGCCGTCGCCGTTCTGGTCGATGCTCTGTCGGAACTCGAGGATGCGCTCCTTCTTCCACTCCTCCTTGCTCTGCCGGGTTGTCTCGTCTGGGGTCAGCTGCGCAAACTCCTCCTCCGACAGGTGCTCGTCCCCATTCTCGTCTGCAAAGGTACTCACAGTTCTGAGGCTTGGTTGCACAACAAGCATGGGCCTTCTACAATTCATATGGTAACCAACCATCAACAGACCTTTTGCAAAAACACCCAAAGGCAGTGAAAAGTGCACAGCTAATTGCTAGAACATTTTATTCACTCCGATTTGCCCCTGCACCGTCTGCCATGTAACGCAAGGGGGGAGGCAGGGGGCCATGGTGCAGTTGCTTGCCTGCATTTTCTCTGTTGCCTCCAAGATCGCCTCTGTTGTCTGCTACGGTTTGTTCTACAGAGGCTGTTCTGAGCATTCCTCTCGGTGTCCCAGACGACACTGCGCGCTTTGCAAAAGGTCTACTAGAATAATATGCCATAACTGTTAGCAGCATAACTGTTAGCAGCAGTATGGCTATGAACATGGATAGTTTGCAACACAACATTCACAGTTGGCAAACATTCAGAGTTTATGGCTGGGAAAAAGAAACTGCAAGGACACCGTAATCAATGACAACAATGAAGAGAGCACAACTTACGGTGTCTTCAGAAAAGTGAGGTAAAGGTGGGACATTGGGAACTTTAAAGTTTGTCAATTTCGCCACTCTGGCTAACAATTTTTTGGTAATGTTTCAAAAAAGTGAAAGCCGTTTACAGCTCCCTGTAACACCGAATTAGAGCGCAGCTCTTGAGGAGGAGGAGGGAAGGGTACTGGTGGGGGGTGAAGTGACCTGGGGGGGTCACGTGACCTTGGGGGGTCACGTGACGATGCCGAGATGTCATCAGTGACGTCACTGATGACGTCATCAGTGACGATGACGATGCGGAGTTTGATGACGTCATCAGCGATGATGACGATGACGATGAGGATGTCGGTGACATCATCAGTGACGTCACTGATGACGTCATCTGTGATGATGACGATAACGATGCGGATGCCGGTGACGTCATCAGTGACGTCACTGATGTCGTCATAACTGATGTTGACGATGACGATGCGAATGCCGGTTTACGTCGTCAGTGACAATGACGTCATCGGGGAGGTCACGTGACCTCGGGGGGGGGGGGGGGGGGGGTGTCACGTGACCCTGGGGGTGGTCACGTGACTTTGGGGGGGGGGGGGGGGGGGAGGGTCGCGTGACTTTGGGTGTCACGTGACCTTGGGGGTCACGTGACCCTAGAGGAGGGGTCACGTGACCTCTGGGGGTCACGTGACCTTGGGATGACCTTGGTTACGCCGACGCCGCTCAAGCCAGGAACGGGCCCCTAAGAGCTGCGCTCTAAAATATACTGGTCCAACTCCAGAGCAAAAGTTTACCCACGTTTAGTGTTTCTCCATTTGTGTTGTCACATGGTATGATCTGCTGGAGTAACTTGGGTCTACTAGAGCGAGATATAGAACACAGCTAGCCATCTAAGTAGTGAGATCACAAGTGAAACAACGAAAATGGTTTAGAATGCAACAAAGCCTACTGTAGATTAAAAAAATGACCGCATCTCCACGTGGTGAATGATGTTGATTGGGGCGAAGCTCTGGTGGTGCTGATGATGCTGATTTTGTTCATAGGTAGTGCTGAGTTCCGGATTGCATTTCGACTTCATTATTACTGCTTTATGGTCCGTGAAATGCAGAGCCAGTGGTTCTAGCGGATCAGCTTGGATCACCTAGAAGCCGTGGGAATGCATCTCCACTGCTTAAGCCAACGGTCCATGTCAGAAAGAGAATCTGTGGTATGGATCGTGGTTATATACGCATTTGAGCATTTGACCGCAGCGCCCTCTCGTCTATAAACGTTAAGCCAATGCATGCAAAGTTTAATGCGATTATATATGCATTTGACCGCAGCGCCCTCTCCTGTATAGACGTTGAGCGGCTGCATGCAACGTTCCATCCATGATATCCCCAGCTCTTGAGTTACTACCACATCTCAGAGTCCGCTACTCGTCCCGCAGTCGTGGCCGAGTGGTTAAGGCAATGGACTAGAAATCTATTGGCACAGGTTCGAATCCTGTCGACTGCGTAAACATTTTTTCTTTTTTTAAGAAGACAGATGGGATGGCAATCGATGAGAGCACGGACGCCGGACAGACAAAGCTAGACACTAAGGAGCTTTGCCCCTAAAAAAACATGCATAGCAAATTGCTAGGTAATTGCATTTCATACGTGAAATGTTCGAGCATCACAAACGTTTACATCATTGTTTGGCAGGACGTCTAGCCCGTTGAGCCAGATGCCTACGTTCATGGCGCTTTTCATGAGATAATTTAACGCATGGCATGTGTAAACTTAAAACAATAAACCTGGAAATCTTTCAGAACCTTCTAACCCACCTTGCCTCTTCATCTACCTCTCCTCCTCACTTCACCCCTGGTCAAATGACCTTGCCGTTAACCAATCAGCGTCGAGCACCTCACTCCTCTCTCACCCGCCAACCAATCAATGTCGAGCCTCGCGGCCACACCTTTGTCCGGGCTTCACTTTTTGGGCTTCACGAAATGACAAACACGTAGCCAAAAAATGTTTCACGTTAAAATTTTTAGGCTCTAGTAAGTGTTTCATTTACAGTGGAAAGACCATGCTTTTGCCGATCTGAGTCATCAAAAATTTGTCTTATAATGCCAAATAAAAATAGCAGCTGCATCTCTGCAGTTTGCTTCAAGACATACAAATACTGCAGCTATAGTCACTGACAAAATGGCAGGGTGTGTCTTTCGAACACCCGACCTCCAGCACACACTCCTCCTCCCATGCTTTGGCTGCGCACTCACCCTCCAAGTACGAGAGACACCGAAGCGTTGTCCAAGGTAGAAAGCTTGCGCTGGATGCGGGACAACCGAAGCTCCTTCCCGCCGTTCTCACCTTCTCAATATCTATAGTATGAGCCTGTTACGAACAAAGTCAATGCATCCTCACGGGACACCTGGAGATCCAATCGTCGCAGTTTATGAAAAAAAGCAGGTGCTAGCGAATGATGACTGACCATCGACGTTTGAACTAAGACAGAGGGTCTGCGTTGGAACAATACTGAGCGCCATACTACCGTGTCGTTTGTGGGCGTCCGGAGGGGGGTGCAAGGGAGGGCACCTGCCCCCCTCGGCATTTTGGGAATTATTAACAACGAGTTGCTTCGGTGGTGTACGATGTGGCCACGCTGGTAATAAGTGTTACAAAAGACGGTCTGCAGTTGCCGTCCGAGGCGTGTTTCTTTCTTGTACAATGGCCCCGCCCCGTTGGTTGTACAAAAACGGTCCGCAGTTTTGTTCCTATGTTTCTTTTGTATGATGGATCAGCAGTGTGACTGCGTGAGTAGGATTATCCAATGTGAACCACGTGCACTATGGTATGTGTAACGAGCACAGCGAAAGCCCGAAGCTATCCTCTTCTTAAAACCAATATCGTCAAAGTTGACAGTCCAAAGTTGTTCTCCTTCCCGTCGATAAAAGCAGAATAACACGACTAAAGGACTCCCATCGTAGTAAAACATTATGTAGTGCTTGTTTGGCCAATGTTGGCTTGCCACAACAACGCTTTTGCCACATAATTCCAAAACTGCTCCAGTCTAAAAAAGAAATATAAAATATTTCCCCTTTTGGAAAAATAAGGTTTGCCCCCCTGGAAAGAGTTCTGCAGATGGTCACAATGATGTTTATAAACTTGGAATCCCGGCGCTGGGCGCACGTTGTGGAGTTTTGATGTTAACAAACTTTGCGGTAAGATGCAAAGTTTCAAACTTGGCGACTTTGACTCCTAGGAATTGAATGAAACAGTGATGACGAGGTTGTGTCAATGCTCACCAAGATTGCTGATGATGTCATTCACCATCTTGAGCAGCGAGACGTGGCTGTGCTCGGGGTGACGAAATGTCAGGAATTCGTCGATGTTCAAGGCGTCGGGGTCCGAATTTGCTGCCTCGAACCAGCTCGCTTTGTCGAGCAAGATTTTCTCTTTCACTGGAATTCAACAAAAAAAAGATAAACCTTTTCAGATTGTACACAGAGCAAGTTTCTACATGTTAATATAATTTGTATAACACGTAAAAAAAAATTTGGAGGACGCTTAAGCTTCGCCTTTAAGAGTGGAATGCGATAGCATTGTCGGGCTCCGTTTGCATTACCTTCTCATTCGCATCTCATGCTCTTCCTGCCAGTGAGCAGGAAGTGTGGCGGACATGCCTAGTCGGTAGCGTGTCTGGCTCGCAACCGAAGGCTTGTGCTGTGTCTCTTACTTTGTCCTCATCTTGTAGTGCTTTTGTCAAAAGGAACAACGTACCAACAAGCCCATCTCTCACTATTGATGCAACTGAAGGGTCGTGGGATCGAATCCCACCTAAAATTCTTCAAATCTTTCTTTAAGGCAAATTACTTTATAAAGTGAAATCATTTGGGACATGCAGCAACCTTTAATTCACATTACCTACATGTAATGTTTTTTAATCACTTTCATTTGTGGGGATTCATGTGGTCTCCCTTCCCCGATGGCTGTGATAACGGCCGCGGGTCGGAACGCTCAGCCGCCTGGCTTGGGGGGCCCTCCTCTCACTCTCTCTTGGGGGGACCGATTACCGTTCCCCTGCTCGGATACGGATCACTGCTGACAGGCGAGGAGGTTTCGCCTCTTGTTTTCCCGCTTTCAAGAGAGGGACTCGTCCGGCGACCGCGAAAGAGAAAGGACGTGTGTCGGCGACTTCTCCGATGCTTCCCTGTTTTGGCTCTCCGGAACCCCGCGTCTGGCCGGTAAGGACCTTTTCTTACCTTGCCGCCGTGGGGGGCATTTTGGATGGGGACATGGTAGTTCATTATAAGAGTGTTGTAATAAATGCTCTTGGACTTTGTCCTTACTCTGGTATGTGTGTCTTCTTTTCCCCTATATTCGAGAGAGTGAGACAAGGTAGTCGATCATTGGCCCCGACGGATGTAACTAATCGAACCGACCCATGGTGATGTAGCCCTAAACGTCGTCTACATTGCCGCGGAGATGTGGGGACCGCGCTACTAGGTTGAACGGCTCCTTTGAGATCGCCACTGCTGTTGAGACAACCCTTTGGTTACTCTATCGGTACCTGTGTTGGTAGCAATATCCCACATAAAATGATTTTATAGCCATACTATTGATGTTGGGGTTGTCAGTGGCCCTTTAAAACCATCGACTCCATCTTGATTGGTGAACTCAAGTGCGGTGGAGACTTCGCATGCACTCTAAGAAAGTGCATGCATCTGTTGGGGAATTTACTCTAGACCGGTTGTTCTCAACCACTGATGTTTCAGGAACCTTCTCTGAATCGGCAGAAGTGATGGAAGCCATACCCTACCATTCACCGATGGTGAGAGGGGATATTGGATGATTACTACAATGACAAAATTCGACATTGAGGCAACTTTGAAGTCCTGAGACGGAGAATAATCAGCCCTACTCACCTGGCACACACGGTTTAGTCTACCATTTAGCTTTGTGAGACAGCCAGCACCAATACTAATACTTGTTTTTATTGCTCGGCTCGACTGGCGGTTGAGGGCTTCGAGGACCCTAAGAAGGCCTCCAGGGACCTCAAAAAGTCCGCAGAGCCCCGCTTGAGAACCACTGCCCTAGATTATAGGTGACCAGACAGCATATGCTAGTTCACTGTTCACCAGGCAACTAGAGTACACAAGTTACACTCCAATATGTGGTGAAGTATCAATTTTCCTATCAAATCTACTTTCCCCTGGAATTTCTTTTCCCCAAAAAATATTTACTCAAACATGCTTCGATTGAACTCTTATCTTCGACAAAAGCCTGCTTACCGCTTCTCTCCAACCCCTTGTGGTCCTCAGGGTGGTGCTTGGCATAGTTATCGTCGAAGCCCTTTTCCAACATGAAGTTGACATGGTACTCGTCCCAGGATACACGGCCTGAAATGAAGACAGAAGGTGACAAAGCATGAGCAAAAGCAAGCTGGGATTAAAGAGGTCTATACCCTGTTTCACCCTGAGTATGAACGAAAAAATAAAACTGCATATGTATATATCAGTTTGCTATCTTCATCTGGAGTGTCCCTGTGCTTCTCTACGATCTCCGTCGGCCAAGGCTCAATCTAGGGTTGCCATCATTCCATCTGCGGCAACCACCCAGCAACAAGAACTTAACTACCAGAAGAGCTTGTGCAGTGCTTTGAGCAGCGCTCCTTTGCATGCAGGCTCGTGAAACAACAGTGTCATTCAAAACAACCGCTCATGTTTGTAGTATCAGCTTCGCTCGCATTTATGATGAGACAGAGTATAGATACCACTCTGTAAAAAGGTTGTATCCCGGAAGCAAAGAAGGAGTTGGAAAAAAACTATCAAATGCTTCAAAGACACATTTTCAAAGCTTTGAAAGCAACTAAAACTGTTTTTGAAAGACACATTTTTTATTTTTACACATGTCTAGATTGATTGACTGCCCCAAACTAACCTTATCTGTTTTTAATACAACTCTTCACTCCCCGTGTATTCGGTTAATTCGAGCCAAAAAATACACAATCCCCTGAACATATCCAGTAAACTTTTAATGAGATGAATGTAGCAGACATGTCTGAAGTAGATATATTTTTAAGGATTAAAGGGATGCTGAACCGAAATCTGGCTTCCACAAAACATAGCAGCAAAAGCGTGCAACAGGATGCTACAAACACCAAAATATCACTCATACAGCAATATGTCGAACAGATGACCGTATTTTTCAAAAAAAGGAGGCGCATTGTATAGATATGTTTGCGTCTTGTTTTTCCCGAGAAAGAGAGGGAACGGCTTTGCGTCTTTTCCGCCTCGCCACCTTGAGGGGGCAAAGCGAAAGGGAGGAAACGAGGTACCATGACGTCACGCGCCTTGTCAGCATCGTTCAATCTCGACCTCTTTTTCCAAAAATACGTCCGTCCATACAAGATATCACCTTACGAGTAGTGTTGTAGGGATTGTAGCGTCTCGCCTATAGCTCCTGCATTGTTTTCTGAAATCCGAATTTCGGTTCACCATCCCTTTAAAGTATGCATACACTGCTCATGATTTTTGAGTGGATGCTTTTCATGCATTTATACTTTTGTACTTTTTAGCCAATAAAGTGGTTCAGATTTCCTTGTGTGTATTTATTTTGCAATGTCACAGACCATATTTTTTCTGATATTACATATTTATATTTGATATTTTTAATCTTGGACTATTCTTACGCAGCATTTTCATTTTATCACAACATGCATACTTTACATGCTTTTTTGTGTTTTTACGTTCATGCCACAGCGCACTTAGGTGCACCCTCTCTAAACAGGCCCACGGGCTGTCTAGAGGCACCGCAAAAGTTCAATGCACTAATAAATGATTTGAGACGAAAAGATAGACTGAGAGAAGTATAGGGTATGTCTAACAAGAAGCTCCATCTGTTGCCCTTGGATGTGACCACCTTTATGTAGTTTACATTCAAGCTTCCAATCTTTTACACCAGTCAGGTTGTCATGTTTTGAACCTTTTACACCCCCATGATCACTGTTAGCTAACATATGTGCAACATACCATTACGAAAAGGAAATCTTTTTTTTTTTTTTTTCTCGACAGATGTTGCCTTACCATCATGATTTTTGTCCAGTGCCGAAAATATCCAGAAGTTATCCCGGACAGCTTGGCTGTAGTGCTCTTTCACCTTCGCAGCTATCCATTTCTCCAGTTCTTTGATGCTCAGTTGGCCGTCTTGATTTTCGTCAGCCCTGAAAATGAATGCAGAAGTTTACCAGGTCTGACAAAATTCTTTCTGTACACGACGAGGAGGTTAGATGTACATGAATATGACTTTGGAAAAATCCCCCAGCTGGAGTAGATTCTCAATAGGATAAATGGATCCTTCCACCTAAGATGGAGTGCAACTTGCACGCTTTAGGCGACACGTGCGCAGCTGAAAACATTCAAAATAACCAGCGGAATGTAGCTCGTTGAGTTTGTTAGTTAGAGGTACCAGAATCGAAGCCAGGGATCAGGCACATTTTCTCAGTCTGCACCTGCAGTTGCCTGGAGACTGCAAGCTGTGCTTTATCTTAGGTGGAAGTATCCATTTATCCTGTCACAATGAAGAGAAGTACAAATGTGGAAACAGCTTTAAAGCTAGTAATACTAGTTTCCAACTCAAAAACCATAGTAAAAAAAAAGAAAAAAAAAAAAAAGAAACAAAAGGCTTGTTTCTATATGTGGAACATTACCAATGTCCTCCTTTATGTGGTGGATTAAGATATACTTGTATGTGCATTTGAGAAGACGTATTTGTAATTGACCGTAAAATACCGCAGAAGTACCCGCTTCGTTCAAGTGCCCACCCTTAATATTTCTAAAAATTAGAAAGTCTGCAAATTATACATTAAGCACCTGATTTGACTGGACAAGCACCCATGTCTAGAGTAACCCAGTTTTCAGTGAAAGTGGGGTAAGTGCTCCGGTATTTTACGGTAGTGAAACCATATTATTTTTTTTAATACAAAATAGATTACTATAAAATTTTAAGCAAGCGCCCTCTCAAAATTTGGGGATAGTCATATAAAACTGGGGGATTGAACCTCCTTAGGTCAACAATATGTTAAGATGTGTCCTTTGTGTATATTCCAAAGGTCATAAAATTGAGGGGTGGGTGCTTATTCTGGAATGAGTGAATTCTCAATATTTGATGGTAGTCTTTTTGTGACAAATAATTTTGTAAGAATTACATGGTACAGCATATAAACTCCGAGTGAAATTTGTTCTCTTATTTTAGATGACAATGAATGTAGTGTGTATTCTGTGTGTGCAGCTGTTTAGAGATCTGTGACAGATCTTTCCTTCATAAAGCAAGTGTACACTCGCAAACCCTATGGGTTTGTGAGCGTACACTTGCTTTCCCCTCAGTAGATAAAGAAGTTGTCACTCGGTATAAGAATGCAGCAATACAAATTAAAGGTGCGACTTGCGTGGTGAAAATAAATACACCAGCGACCTAAATAAAAACAGGATATTAAAAAGGCACGTCAAACTTCGTCAAGAAGTATATTCAGAATTTCTATTGCCAAACTTCTGCCACATGTTATCATGTGAGAAAATATATATTTATATTTGATTTTTTTTTTTTAAGTTTATTGGTCACACTTTTTTAAAGCGATTTGGGGAAAGAGCTCTCTCCTGCAGTCCTGTGACAAAGGAACAAGTTTTTAAAAATAAATATAAATTAACAAGCTAGTGCCTTGGAACTGCCAGAAAAAAGCTTCTGGAAATAGTGATTTGATCCGATTCAATAAAGAGGGATGTATTAGGCAGCACAAGGAAAGGTTTAAAATATGTAGTAGACGAGGAGGAATTGATACCTAGTTCTCTCTTTTAGCCCATAAAATTTATTTAATATAACTGAGCCTAATTATGGCAAACTGAAAGGGTGCAGATAACTGTTTTTGCTATTTATGCATTCTATCCTTTTCTCTCTTAGCTGGAATATTTTCAAGAAGTGTCAAAAATGAGATGCCCCACCTCCAAAAGAAAGCCCACCCCTATACTTTTGGCAGTCTTTGCTATTTTTCAGAAACACGGAAAGATAGCCCACTTCTGGTAATTGCATGCAGGGCCCTGGCCAATGGTGACCTCGGCAGAAATGGTGTTTTTTAGCCACGGCGAGAGATAAGCGAACATTGCTGACTGGAAAAAACAGTTGTCTTTGGTTCATCGACCCTCCCTGCAATCACAAGTTTCGCAGTCACAAAATCTAAAAATAGTGTTTTTTTACTTTTTTTGATTGCACATTGCAAGTTAGCCCACTTCATAATTTCAGCCGACTTGCTTTATCTTTTAGGTGGGTTATCTTTCAGGATATCATGATATAGAAGAAAAAAGAGTACAGTAAAGATGTGCACAGAGCACAAACAAGTTATTGTTAGTTGTCTAAATTTGTCTTTCACTTCTGGAATGAAAACTGAGTGAAATATGTACCTACGAAGGTTACCAACATGTGCATACCATAATATCCAGAGAGATAGCCCACCAAAAATCGAAAGCAAATCAGTGTACAATAAAAAAAAAGTTGAAAAAGAATGCTAGTTTTAGATTTTTTGACCTGCGAAATTTGTGATCACAGAGAGCGGGGATGAACCAAAGACTACTGTCCTTTTTAGTCAGTCTGTTGTAACACACCTTGTGTTGCAATATACTTGTGCTTACAATTCAGTGCATGTGCAGCCAAACACAATGGAAGGCAATGAGCACACGCTCACAGCTTGTCCAACAGATTGTATGTTGAAACTACTGCAGTCAGTAGAATTTGGTGTTAAGCGGCAAAAACAAAATGCAAAACATCATGTTCGCGCCAACTGTACGGTGCACGTAAATCACCAAATCATTGTTAATGAAACGAGGTTTCTGCTGCCGTAAGTGAATTGCGCAGACGTCATGGAAGCTGCAAACATGGCAGCTTGGTTTGCCATTGCAGGATGCAGTGGCATGCATCTTGCAATGTTTTCACAGAACTTAATTGGTATTCGATTCACGGCGCACAAATAATTATGGATAACTTGAGGCAATTTCGGCACAGACGAAATAAACACGTGAAGGTATAATACGACGGATGGAACACGAGGTTCTGAGAATGCCCAAAAGATATTTACAAAAGATTAGCATATACTATGGCCATTCAACGTGGATGACCAGTCTACGTCAATAACATACGTTGTTTTCTCACTTAGAATAAACGCTGCGCAACAAGGCGTCGTCTTGATCTTCCGCCGACGCTTGAGCGCCAAGCAAGACTTCTTTTCTGTACTTGGGATTCAGTTGTCCATCTCTCTCCATGGGAAGCCCTTCAAGGTGATCTGGCGGCTTGATGACACTGGCGTTCAACTGATCCAGTTTGACGTTTGCGAACCTACTCCGGTTGAAGTCGGTGACTTTGTCGCGAACGTTCCGCTCCGTCAACGATCTAAAAGACCGCGTTGCGTTCGGTTGTAGCGGCACGCTCCAACAAGACACCACGACCGAAACGAAACAGGCCACTGCCAAGTTCGACGACGCAGCACCGAGGACCGGCTGCTGTATCGCTGTGACCATGACGAAGGGTGATGGTCCAGGAACTGCTTACGGAAAGGATCTGTAGGCGGGTTGGATGAACTCCTGCGCTAATGTAGCACTGTAAAAACACTACAAGCGCATCGCATCATGTCATGTTTTCAAGTTGAGCTCGGATGTTTTTGTACAAACGGGAACAGGAAAAGGACTGCTTCCGCGGCGGCCATCGCATGCCACATCATTTGTTGATAGATTGCTGCTCAATGGCTAAATGCTAGTGAGCCGAAACCGAAACCGTTGCTATGGTTGCTATGACAAACATAAGAAACCGTTACGAAAACAACAAGAATAAGAGAAAGAAATTTGTGTATTTTACGCTGAAAATGCTCGTAAGTGGTCTTATTTTATTTATGCATGTGTTTATAAACAAGGTTATTTAACTGCTACATTTTTGTGTGTTGTCTGAAATTCAAAACATAAAAAAAACAAAAAAAAAACCTGGGTTCTATTTTTATAAAACACGTTATACAATTGAAAAGAAAATAAAGAAAACATAATAATTTTGAGTGATGAAGCAAATATTTTCAAAGTTTGATTTGAATTCGGTGTGTCTCTAATTTTTTCTCCTTCATGTTTCTCCTCTCTCAAACGCTTCGGAAACGTTTCTTCTGCGTTGTCGTTCGGTCAAGCGCTCGAAAAAATAGTTCCTGTGTTTTAGGGCCATAAAATATTAATATACCAGGTGATATACCTAATATTTAACATTTTAAGTTTTAAAACTTTATTTGTAGTTGAGTTCACGTGTTTTAGGTGTAATAAAGCTCGTCCACAAAATAGCCTTCATCAGTGAAGGGATACATTTGCGTCAGTGCTTCTTCGTCGAAGAAAGAAGATGGCCGTCGTGAACGTGCAAAACAATGCCGACGCTGTAAAAGTTAAGCAAGGAAAGGTTATTTTGCTATTAGAGAACTGTATTCTACCGCCGGAAAAATTGGTTTCTACTCCTTCGACCGTGGACGGCCTAGACAACGAGACAGAGACAGACCTCAGGATATTAGGATGCGAGCTCATTCAAACGTCCGGCATACTCTTACGGCTACCACAGGTATTTGACGCCCTATTCCTTTGTGACTACACATGTAATCGCTAACTGTAGGGTTGGGAGAGTTGTGCACGATGCGTTCAACTGCGAAACCCAACTTGAAAATCGTGTTTTCGAAAGTTACGGTTAAGCCTAACGGGTGAGACCTTCGGCACTCGGAGAAACGCCATGCAGCTCGTTTCGTCATGCGTGCGCTGCAAGTGCCGCACTGTTCCCTGCAGAATTGAACTTTAGAGAAACGGTTCCCGATCAGTAATCTTTGTTGTGTGAAACGGCTGGGGAAGCTTACGGGTTAACCAAGCACGAAAGGAGTTTCATAAGATTTGCCTGCCATACGTAGTGGCTAGTGACCCTTGTTCAGGCAGCTTATGAAACGGCTGGAAAAACCTCCGAGTGGTCACGTACTGGTCATCCCACATCTTTCTGTTTCCGCGTTCTTTGCGGCGTTTCGAGTCCGGCATGCTTCTTCTGTTGCCCGCTTGGTCAATGGTTTTGCGGTGTCCGTTGCTTGTGCCATGATCTCTAGTTTCCTCATACGTGCGGTCAGAAAATCAGTGGCAACTGCGATGCTTTTCACTAATCGTTTTGTTGTGTTAAAAAAAAAAAAAAAAAAAAAAAAAAAAAAAAAAAAAAAAAACCGTGCGCGCAACTGCGCAGCGGTTTGGAGACTTGTCTTATGTGTGATCGGAGTTTATTGCTCGCCCTTGACGTCTCAACAAGAGATATTTAATTTTTATATATATATATTTTTTTCCAGGTTGCTATGGCAACGGGACAGGTGCTGTTTCATAGGTTTTATTTTTCAAAGTCCTTTGTCAGGCACAGCATGGAGGTGAGCTCCACTTTTGCATACCCTTTTTCCAAACACAATTTGTCAAAAAATAAAACAGTCGGCAAAAAAAAAAGAAAAAAAAAAACAGGCGGCAGAAAAAAAAAAAGGCAGTACAAATATGAGTTGTTAGTCGTACATTCACGAAGCACTGGTTTGTGTGTCGTATGTTGGGGTGCTTTTGTGCCCGGCTTTGCCCGCGAGATAAGATAGCATAATCTACTGACAGGTACGATGACCTTCAAGTGTGAGACCTCTTCCACGGGGAAGTTTAATGATCCTGTTTATGCAAATGGCATAATTGATGAATGGCTGCGTTTTCTTGTGATGGTAGTAGCTCCTGTCACCAATGTACAATTTTTGAGACTCTTTTAATGATACCCTGATTTGATTTCTCATTAGCACAAAACTGTCAATGAACAGAGAAAACCTACTTCCGAGACAATTTTAGGGTTATGAAACAAACAAAAAAGGTATTTAAAAAAAGCTTCAAGAAAAAAGAAAGCAATTCTACACCAAATGGTGTGAAACAAGCTGAGTGTTGAGGCAGAAGATTACGGAGCCTGGAGTGCATAGCTGAAATTCTTCTAGTTTTCGTTTGCTAAAGCTGAACTGAAGTTCAGTCAATCTGTAGGGCACCTTGTTTGCATGTCTAACCTCTAGCTTTTTAAAAGCTGCTGGGAGTGATTACTATAGTCCGTTGCAACCTAAGAACGAAGGGCGAGGGTAAGACGGGCCGGGGAGGAGGAAGCAGAGGGAACGCCGGAGAAGAGAGGGGGACCTCCTTCTCTCTTTAGCGTTCCGTCTGCTTCTTCCTCCCTGGCCCGTCTTACCCTCGCCCTTCGTTCTTAGGTTGCAACGGACTATAGTGTGCTTGCACTGCCTAACAACCCCATAGACTGCTTCGTTGGAATGTGCAAGTGTACTAAAGTCGAGGTGTGTCAAGCTAGCTCGTCGAAAGCCGAGATTGGTCCAAGCAACTTTTCAAGCTTTTGTAATGATGAGAGCAGTGCTACAAGTGGTTTTCTTTCTGACCGCACAGACTGTAGCTATGGCCTGCATCACCCTGGCATCAAAAATCGAGGAGGCACCGAGACGGATCAGAGATGTAATCAACGTGTTTCACCACATCAAGCAAGTGAGAGGAGGAAAGTGAGTGCGCCCATTTGACAGTATCTAACTTACTTCGACACACGGGGCACTTCGCTCGCCTTTTCCGTGCCTCTTGCAATCTTTTTTTTAAATACTGAATGCATATTGGTGTAGGTTTCCATAATTTCAGAAGGTTTCTCACCCTCTCGGACACGACAGACCACCCCGAAATCTCGGAGTAACAACCTTAATTTGGATGAACCACGTGGCTAGGGTCAAAAGGGAGAGCGCAAACAAATACTTATTGTTCCTAGTCTCGGGGATTTGGCAATTATTTTCGGTTTACACCAGCTTCTTCGTGCACTTTTTATTTATGGACCATAACCTTACTGAGCAAAGTTCATTTATTTCTGTTGTGCGCTCATAATGACACTTCAGAGGGGCAATGGATATTTACAATCTGTCATTGGTGCTTGCCATAAACTTATGTCAGTTTCTCTTGTTTTTTTTCTTGCTGTCTTTTGAAGGACGATGCAGCCTCTAATCCTGGATCAAAATTACATTAACCTCAAGAACCAAGTGATTAAGGCCGAGAGGCGGGTGCTGAAAGAACTTGGTTTCTGCGTTCACGTCAAGCATCCGCACAAGGTGAGTGTTTTTCTTTTGGAAAAACTGCCTAGGTTTTTTTGAACCTGGGTGGTTTTTCCATCAACTTTTTTTTTTTTTATTTTCTCTCGCCATCTCGCAGCAGTTTTGTCGCGTTCGTTACCTTGAAGCGCAGCAACACCAATTTCGGTTGATAGGATGCGTTTGTATGTTTCTGTGCTGCCGTGTTTGAAGTGGAAACAGATACTAGTGCGACGGTGGTGTGACAGGCTTCAGACGGGGCATTTTTTCTGCAATGCTGGGGCTACTGCCGAATCGTTGATCATAGCGAGACGAATCGCTACGGTTGGTCAGGATTGAAACCGGCAACTCGATTCCTGCAACTCGCCGACGTTTCAGGCTGCAGCAACCTCTCAGGGTGGCAGTATTTTCGGGCGAACCTTTCGGGGTACGATTTTGGTCAAGGCGAGAGCAAGAGCGTTGTCGGCTGCTGATTGGACGTGACGCTACAGCCGACGCATAGTCAACTGATGAGACACTTTTCACCCATTACGCAATTTCGCAATTAAGCAATATTTTGGTGAGACCAACCAACATACAAATAGCGAGAGAGTCCTCACGGCCTCTGATGTGCTTTTTTTTAGTACTCTTTCAGCCACTGGTCGATGTCAGCTTTTGTACGGTACCAGAACTTGAGATTTGCAAACGAAGTGCAGGTTGTCAACAACTCTAAAAGTAAATTAGCAGACGGTCACAATTTCAGCCTGTGTCCGGTCTCTCTTCGCCGCAGCGCAACAGTAATCTTTTTCTGGTCTTTTAGGAGATGACATACAGTGTTTTCTTGTTTTGAAGTGCATCCTTTGCTTGCGTTAGCAGGCGAACCATCTACAAACACCATCTTCGCTCTCTCCGCTAGAGGCATAGATCTTGCTGTGACCAAAATCATACCACTGGGCTGTGATGATAATGATAACTGAAGGCAGGGTTTGACTTCATTCCTGCTTGTCAGAGATTGTGCTACCGAATTCTTATCCTGTCACCAGCCATAGTGAAAAACATGGTAGGGTTTGAATTATAAGTTTGCTGGGCATCATTGAAAATGACTAAATAAGCAACTTTTACAGGGTTGGGGAATTTTAAGGCCCCCAGAAAAAAAGAACACCAAATTTGAATGCGCTGCCGTAGTTTCAGTGTCCTATTGACTGTTGGCAGAAAGATGCCGCCAATAAATAAGAAACCGAAACCTCGGTGGATTCGAATTGGGCATTGTTTTTTTTGTCAGGGAGCATTAAACTGTATAAGTTTCTAACGGAAACCTACTTGGGGGTTTTCGGTGATGCCAAGCTAGTTTCCGATTGCTACTATACCTTCATTTCTACTAAGCAAACAATTAATTACTCCGTAATAATTAAGTCCATACACTGCACCTTTTTCAATCGATTTTTCGGTGGCATCCGCTCCATGTCAGCCCGTTCTCATGCAGCGCATAGTTGGCTGGCGTTTCAGAAACACCCTGTAGATACGAGAATCAAGGGTAGGCATCGTTGTCCAGAAACAACTCTAAATCAAACTCATCGTGGCAACACGCCCGTCTCGTTTGCTCGTGATATTATTCAGTACTCGTGCGTTTGCTTTTGAAGAACTGCACGTGTCACTCTTCTCACAATGTCCCACTTTAAGCACAGAGATAATGAAAAGTTGGCAGATTTGGAGACCCGTCAACCATTTCAAAATTGTGTTAGGTGCACGTAATGCAAGTTGTCGTTGGACGGGCATCCGTCTTGCCCCGTTAGGTGATGAAGGCGATCCTCGCCGAGCGCCGCTCTTGTCGTCGACAGAGTGAGAACGGCAGGGCGTGTCTTTGCCTCGTGGACTGAACGAGGATTTCAGAAGGCAACTGGGCAGCACGCGCTCGTCCCCTCCCGTCGCACATTGGCTGCACGAGTCGTCAAAGCGTTATCGAGGGTAGGAAGCTCACGCTGGAAGCGGGACAACTAAAGCTGCTCCCTGCCTTTCTTGCTCTGCCAGTGACGGTAGAGACAAATTCGTAATGCTGCAGTTACAGCTTGGGAGGCATGTTTGTAACAGAAGGCATCGTGCTCTAAATTTGGACATCTCACCAGGAATGTGGTTGTATGCCGGAAAATATTTTGCGCAGTTACGGCCAACTGGCCTCACTCGATCGGTTGTTAACTTGGCAGTCTTAACTTTGTTGCAGCCAACGACGGAGTAAATGTTTCCGAAGTGGTGCCAGAAGAAATTGCTCTAGCTTAGGCAGAGAGAAGCCTGCCGGCTCGCGGAGGAACGGGGCTCGGTTGTACGTCGACCTTGCAGCTTAATCCACTCTCTTGGCAAGCCGAGGTTCTCTCCGCTTGCTGCACGTTGTTTCACCTCTCTAGCTTCACTCTTCCTCAAATGTACCGTGGCAGGCGTTCCCCAGAGAAGCTTGGGTCAGCGGCCGTGAAACGAAAAACAAACAAAAAGCTTGGTCCTAGCTCAGCATCGCCCCGACTGTGTCTCTAGAACTGGCGTGTTTGGGGTGTTTCAGATTATTGTGACATTGTTGCAAGTGTTGGACTGTGAGAAGAACACGAAACTGATGCAGTCCTCATGGTAAGTCGTCTCTACTCACTCGTCAGCCCCATCCCCCTATCCCCCTCTCTCCCGACCCTTGCCCGTGGGCGAACCCCACGAGAGAGAGAGAAGCTGTGAAATGTAGTCTTGTCCATCCCGACACCTGCTAAGGCGAGAATCGGAGGCAGCCAAAATGTGCTGACTGGAGCGTTCCAAAAAACTTGGGAGGGTGCCCGCAGTAGCGGCACCCTCGTCCCTGTACATTTCACGGCTTCGAGGTGTACTGAGAAGGTACTTCGCCACTGTCCGAGTTCTCACTTGCGTGCGCCATGCGCTCTCTCCTATCGAGAGCCGTCCCTCCCCGCTATGTTCGGTAAGCTCGACGTGACCCAGGCTCATGTCGTTTTCTTTGTCAGATTTGCTCTTCTCTGGCCACCTCTTTTTTTTTTCTTTTTTTTAAGGGTATTTGCACATATTTTGTTGAGCCACAATTGGTGTCCTCTAATCCTGCGGGACTGTTACTGTACATTCATTAATATCGGCTGTGGTCGATTCACTTTCATCAGGTCATGTTTCATTGCATTGTGTCATTGAAAAATATGTGCAGTGACTCGCTTGTGGGACTGTTACTGTGAGTTGTTGAACTGAGAGACTGGTCTAACAGTGTTCAGTCACATGATTTTTTCTTGTGAAGTGTTAGGTTGAGAGACTGGTCTAACAGTGTTCAGTCACATGTTTATTTTTCTATTACAAATGTTAACGGACTATTGCTGTAGGTCATACCTGACTGCCTCGGTTATGCGGAGAGAGTCATTTAGTGTGCCGTCCCTTAGGTTGTATGTGCTTTTTTCTGGACTGAGTGCACCATAATTTTTCCACAAAGTTGCAGCTGGGTGGTGAGAGAAAAACAATAGTTGTCGCCTTTGTACAGGTGTATGTGATTTGTGTAAAAAATACGACACTCCTCACTGCCTCGGATTTTATTTTAATTTTGTAAGACAAGAAAGCTGGTTGGTGTCATTGGTTCTTTCAGCACCTGTGATTCAGATTCAGAAGAATAAATGCCTTGGGATCCTCAAACTATTATGTATTGGGAATATTTAATTTATATTTTAGGCCAAGGTAGTTGAGTACAGTGGAATTTTGAACCTGGTCAGTCGTTACCTGAAACCAAATTTACTCGAGAATAGGTCGGCTTTAACGAACAGCACCCAAGCGCATGTTCCAGGTGTTGTCCATGGAAAGCCATTCATTGCGACTTGCGCAGAGTTTAGTGAAGTTGTATGGGCTCAGATGTCCATACGATTGGTCGTCGTGGGCCCTCCAGAAAAGCAGATGCACGGGCTCATTTGCAAAAAAGGTCGACCTATCTTCGAGTAGATACGGTAGTTGTGTCTTTTAGGAAGTAGCAACACGCAGAGTCGAGAAACTGATTTGCGCGCCGTCCAATAAAGTGACAGTATGTTGCAAATGACTTGTCCTGTACTAGCTTGTTTTATACCGTTGCTACCGCTAGTATGGTGCTTAGAGGGACCGCAGAGTCGGGTGACCTTCCGTTTTCCCTGGGTCGCATAGAAGAGAATAAGCCCAGTTTTAGCACCATTTCGGGTCGTTGGCGCTCGTGCGCAGCTGTAGGACGGGAGAAAATGTAAGGCACGTGGTCACCGAATGCAATAGCCATCCTGTGTTCCTTGTTGGCCATCGAGCTCGGCTACTTACTGGCTTGCTCACCAAGAACCGGCCTTTCTAGGCACCATCTTGACTAGGAACGTACAGGGACGGGTGATGTCACTTACTGCCACATGACCAGTGCGTCACTTCATCGTTTCAACATGCAGTTTCGATTCACATAGGCCTTGGGTACAGAGTTACTCATTGTACAGTCGAGGCACGTCTATCCTCGTCGTCTGCTTCGTTGCTATTTCGAAGGGAAGGTCGCTTATTTGGTTCGCCATTGTTGTTTGCACTCCTCCCATTTCACGATCACATACTCCGGTGTATGTCGCGCTCCTGTTGCGCTTGCGGGGAGGGTTGCGAGTGGCGCGCGTGCTAGAGGGAGAGAGAGAGGTTTTGTGGCCGGCTGTCCCTGACTGCTCCGATTAATGCGGTGACTTCTGGGTTTTCACCTAACAGAGCTTAGGTGAGCAGACAGAGCTGGTAAGTAGGTGCGATACCCCAGCCATGAGACTGCCACCCACACCGCCAGCCCGCCCCGGGGCTTGGAAGAAGCCGGCCGGTCCTCGTCTGCTTGCAACGCACGGGGCCCCTTCTCCCCCTCTCCCCCTCGAGGCAGGAATGGCGGCCTCCCAGGCTCCTGCTGGCGCCCCCTCGAGGGTGCGGTGTGCATTGTGTCTGAGCCTCTTTTTTTTTTTTTTTCCAATTTCATTAAGAAGTTTGGAAAGTTCTTGGCAATTATCGCTGTTTTTGATGGTAGAATGTGCTTTGGGGAAGGTTGAGGGTCTTTCGGGTGGAGTTGGGGTTTTTGTTTTTGTTCTAAGGGCAGTCTCGAGGGTTGGCTACATTGGATTAGTTTCTCTGGGTCTTTTGCGAAAGGCGCATAATGAACCTCTTGATACAGAGATTTTCGGGACTCGCAAGAGGCATTGCATAAGGGGGCAGGGGACATGCAGCTAAAGGTGTTGTACCACAAGCATGTATCGTATAAGGAGAAATTTCTCTATTCAAGAAGTAAAATTGTTGTCGTCTTTACCACAAGCGCCGACTAGATGGTTTGTGGCAAAGCTGGTAAATGGTTGGTGCCTCTAAGGCACTGCTCTTGTGGATGGGTATTGTCGTACATGGCTCTGTTGGACAGAGTTGGGGCGTGGCAGCTTAGTGCAGTCTGGTCACGAGCGAGGTAGAGAACCTTTTGGCCTTCCTTGAACTTCTGTGCTTGTTTAGTGTTGTGCTTTTGGCAGTAGAACTGTGCATGGGGAAAGAGGCTGTTGGTCCGTGTTCCCCACCGAGGAGGCCTCTGCAGAATAGCGAGCTCGGAAGGACTGTGCTCTGGACGAAGCGAGCGGCGGCACTGTGCACCCCATCTTTGGGGGAAGCGTTTCTTCTGGAGAGGCCTCCCATCTTTTGAGTGCTCCCCCCTCGGGTTTCTTTGTTTGCCCCCCTTGCCTTCGGCCATCCCGGTGAACTCAAGCGCAAAGTGGTTGACGGACGGAGAAAGCGGCGCAACCCCCCAGGTTGCATAGGAAGGGGGTCGTGCGTTACGTGGTGCCGCCCTTTCTCTCCCGTGCCCCCTCTTCGAGAAGAGAGACGTCCCGGACGCTCGTCTCGCAACGCGTTCTGCTCTCGACTGTGGTGTTGTGTTTGGTGGAGGCTGCCGCAAAGCGACCGTTGCCACCGAGTCACGGAGAAAGTGCAGTCCCCGCCGTCTCGGAGAGGCCGCATCGGGGAGGGTGCCACCCAAGCTTGCTCGAGGTATGCAACCCCGGTCTTTCTCCTTCACACGCGCGTTGAGAGAGAGAGAGAGAAAAGAGCGAAACGGGCAGAGCCCTGAAAAGCAGCTCGGTGCACCCTCGTGTACGGGGGTCGGCTCTCCGAGTGACGGGAGTTGGGTGTTGCAGCTCGCACCTTGACGAGACAGACTGTGCTTGTGTTGAACTGCCCCTGCCACCACGGAAGGACGATTGCGGACGACTGGATCGACTTCTTCGGCGCGAGGAGCAGCCATTCTCTCCGCCGCCTTGCGGGCGACGTGACGGACCCCCGCCGGGGACGACGTCGACCTTGCTCTCGGTGTGTGTGGTGTGGTGTGTTGACTGCCACTCTAAAGGTGGGTGACCATCCGACAGGACCCTTTCTTTTTTTCCTTCGTGCGCTCGGTGCTACGGGACCCCACAGGGGGAAGAGTGAGCCCTGTAAGTGGCGTCTGTTTTGCGAAAAGTGAGACACTCCGACAGTCGTAGAGGTTCCTTCTCGGCGCGTTGGCTTCTCTCGGGCAAGGTGGTGGGGCGGCGAGGCCGTGGGGGGTACGGTCTTTTGTTCTTTTAAAGAAAGGACGGTTAGACCTTCGGTGCTGAGGACGTTGTTTCTCCGGCTCCGCTCGCAGGAACTACATGAACGACAGCCTGCGCACGGACATCTTCGTGCGGTACAGCCCGGAGACGATAGCCTGCTCGTGTATATACCTCAGCGCCAGGCTGCTTCAGGTAGGGCTTCCTCTCGGCCGTCCTTGTGCTTTCCGACTCGGGAGTTGCGGCACGGCTCGTATGACGGGAGGTGTCCTTCCGTTCGCAGATACCGCTGCCCAACAACCCGGCCTGGTATTCCATCTTCGGGGTCTCTGAGGGTGACATGCAAGACGGGTGCAAGCGGATCCTCGGCATCTATGCGAGGAAAAAGGTGGGCGGTTGTCGTGCTGGCTTCGCAAGGTGTGCGGTATCGAGTCGAAACCTTTCCTCACGCAGTCTCGTTTCGCTTGCGTTGCAGCCCGACTCCGAGGCGCTGGAGCGAAAGGTGGAAGAGCTCAAGAAGGCCCACTACGAAGCCAAGCTGCGGGCCAAGCTCATCTCGGGGACGACCACGCCGGTTGTCGGCAACGGGGCCAGCTTCTCTCCCAGCTCCAGGACAAGTAGGTGTCTCGCTTTTCTTTCCTTTTCGGTCTTTCCCTGCTCGCCCGAGGAGACCGCGGCATTATCGTACGCCTGGTTGCATGCCACGCAATTGAAAAAAAAAAAAAAAAATAGATTTGAGCGCGTTTCTAGGTTTTGGTTTTTTGTCGGAGTGTATCTCAGCGCCAGCAATCCCGCCCCCCCGTGGCCGAAATGTGCAACGTACGTGCGCTGCCATGCATTGCACATAGAAGAGGATGGATGAGAAGGCCTCTGGACCGCCGCTGGAGTTTTGCCTCTTTTGATGTCGGTGCCAGTGCAGTGATGCGATTGCTGCACAAAACTGCGCCTTCTGCTACATTTCGCCAAAATATGAGGGATTTGCGGCAACATTGTGCGAAATCTTAATTTTACTCTACTGATACTCAAAATGTAATGGCTCGGGCCCCACTACATGACCGGATTGTCAGGGTAGGCTTGTGAAAATTTTTGGAACGCTTGATTATCGCCTTTAATAACATACTATTTGATTTGAACTTTGTATGAAACGCTGACAGTACTCGGAAGTTTTGCAGTATTTCTAATGTTCATAGTTGTTGAATGACAGCAGCTTAGCAGGCGTCCCGATTTTTCACATCTTGCTTCGCTGCAGTGCACCCGCATACCAAAGGAAAAATTATCCTCCAGAGTGTCCCGCTACTAATGCTAGCATTGGGTTTATTACAAAAAGAGAAAAAATTAAAAGGAGCTTGTTGAGTGCCGACCTTGCAGTCAAGATTTCTCAATAAAACTGGGGCTATTTACATATATGACAGACTGCAGTATTTTGATATATTTTTTAAATGCAGCATTTAGCTGGGACACCTGGGTGTTGCCAGATGGAGTGCTCTATGGATTTATTTTTACGTAAACTTCCCTGGTTATCTGTGACCTTTATGTATGTTTGATATGTTTAACTGAACAGACAATAAAATAAATTAAAACTGAATTCGATAGGCCAGTGGTGGAAACTTGGGAGTAACCTTAACGAGGTCGACCACATTGTTTTAAAACGGCATATTTATCGTTCACATGCAGATTTTTGCTACGAAGTTCGACATTTAGACCGTGATTGATGTTCAATACGAAACGATGAAAGTTTAGTTTTTACCTTTGTTAGGACTGAGTTTTATTACAAGCTTTAAACTCGAACAAAACAAAATTTTGGGAGCTCGAAATTATTCTATATTCTAACATTATTTCAGTGGAATATACCATTTGGTTTCCCTTTGATTCTGTGCCTAAAATAACCATTCACAGCAGTTCAAACTGTCCTTCATAGAAAGCCTCTTGGTGCCCGGTGCTTTTACGTGCAACCAGACAGCTAGTTTTGTGTTTGAGGGAGTCGAACCTTTTATGCAGTTGATGCCAACAAGTTTGGACAGAAGTGGAAGGGCAAAGGAAGCATAGTCTTCTATACTTGTATTCACCTCAAGAAAAAAGAAAGTTTTGCACATTGTTTGTATGCGGTGCGAAGTAGATCTGACCAGATTCATTTGTTGTAGGAAGAAACGGTGCTTTTGGCATTTGAAACCTGTACGTCTTGATAAAATAACACATGTCTAATCTAGAATGCACACAATTATATTCTTCACAAAAGGGGGGGAAATTAATCAGGCTCCATGAGGAATCTGACCTTTTTTTTTTACTTTGGTTCGAGAGGTGAAGACTAGTATAGTTGGACAGGGCAACGCAGGAATTTTAACATCATGTTTGCACTCGTATGAATAAAATCTAAGGGTGTGCTTATGCTCGAAAAGGTTTTTTTGCCACTCCAAAGTGGACTTTTCGCTGTGCCCCAAAAGGTGTTCCGAAATGACTCGGATCTATCGCACCACCGCAGTCTGAAGGTGCGCAGGGGTGGAACGGCTGCGCCATTTGCGCCATTTTGCACCAGACGCATCTGCCTGCGCCATGTTGCGCCATGTTGCGGAAACTGCGCCACAGTCAATACCCCGCGCCATTATGCACCAAATTGCAGAACGTGCGGCAAAAAAAATTGTATTTTGTCTTGGTATCGGTTTCTATCGACTCGATTGGCAACAATGAGTGCGTTTAGCTTGGTCGGTCTTGCAATCTTTTGTTCTGTTTATTCTCCCTGTGTATCTCGAGTCGGAAGTGCGTGGAAAAACTTGGGGGTTGGATTCCAAGCGCTAAACCACCTGCGACCGGATTGTTATTCTTCAACCGTAAGCTGCTAAGCAAGTCGTCCGAGGTGAGGTCGAGTCGTTAAGCGTCAGGTTGCCTGAGGCTCTGTGGCCCGGGATCCGGACGTCAGCCAGTTGAAAACAAATGAGCAAAAGCTTTCTTTTAGTACTTCATCGTTAGAAGTTAGAAAAGCATTCCCGCAAAATAAATCGTGATTTGGTAGAACTGAAACGCGGTCCAATCCGAAATCTTGCTCCTGCTTATCGCTTTGAATACGATAACTCCGTTCATCATAGTCTGCTGTTTCGATATTGAGTTTCACAATAGGATGAACTCGAAATTTGTTGCGATATTGAGTTGCACAATAGGATAAACTCAACATTTGTTGCCATGTTCCTCCGCGTAACTACCTGCGCGTTGCTTACGCACATCACATGGTTCGCACATATAATTACTATGTCGAGCACATGGGGGTTGTGCAACAAGCAGTGCTGGTTTGCATTTTGAGCACCTAAAAGTCACTCAGAAAATATCAAGGACACTATCTTCAGAAACATGTGCTACTTGCTTTTCGGATCTCATTAAGGCTCAAAAAGTTTCAAGTTTTCGCATCTGTTACACTGTTATCCCATCTGCCTAGGTCCCTAACCACTCATGTTCATATGTGCTGCTAAGCACAACTGAAATCGCTCCTGTACTTGTTCAAAACACAAGCTGAAGTGCAATGAAAACTGATTTGAGCTGCTCCTAGCCTGCTCCAGAATATAGTTTTAGCTGCTCCCAACCTGCTCCAAAAACAGCTGTTTTAGCTGCTCCCGTGGCTGCTCCCAAGTACATTTCACGAGTTCCACTCCTGGATGCGCCTTTACTTGCAATGTGTGGTGGCAAATGCACATTGCGCGTTTTGGCCACAAGATTGCCGGCGCGGAGTTTCAGTGAAAAATCAAAACCTAGAAATGCATCGAAATTGAGCAAATGTTTGGAACGCCGTGAAATGCTGCCCTTATATCATTGTAATATTTGTGGATTTAGAAGTTTTGGATGATTCGCATCAAGTGCCTAACCGTTAAAATTGGTAAAAAGTTAGAGTACTAAAAAGTAATTAGTTTTCCCATTATACTGAATGCTAATAATTTTCCTCAATGGGCCCTTTGGCACAGACCACTACGGCATCGACCTTCTTTCTGTGTGATGCCTAGTTTTCGCGATGCGTTGCAGCCTGATTATATCCATTAATTCGGACCTTTTTCATTTTGTCCTGCCTTTTAGATTCACCAAGGCAGTCTCCTGTTCTGGACTTGCTACCCAAAAAGAAAGAAGAAGCCAAGGCCATCATTGAACGCAGTCCCAGGTAATGTGTCATTCTTTGTTGGGGCACCATGTATTTGGGGTGGTAATCCTGGACATGGTGGTTTCAACTATACCATGCAGTTATTATGTTCTTGGTCTGTGTAAGGATCTCTAATTCTGGCAAGTTGAAGCATCAAGGCCGGGTTTTCTTTCTACTTCCTTCATACTAGTGCTTCGAACCCAGTTCAAAGAGTTGGCCAAACTCGACTTCTCAACGTATGTCGTTGTGATTTACTGCAAAGGTGCGCCTAAGTGTTGGAAGTTTGGGATGAAAATATTAACAGATTAAGTTGTTCCTTGGCAGCTAGTTGGCAGTGCGGTATAAGGGCGTGCCGGCCGCACGTACGAAGCACTCGAAGTGGTGATTTGATTCGCGACGTCAAAGCCCGTCGCACGAGCTCTCGTTTCACGTTCCGCCGAACGGGTTCTGTCGTAGCGCTCCCCGACGGGGACGTCGTCCAGGGAGTTTCTCGACAATTTGACGCTCCTCTCGCAGGGTGGACCGCACGGCATCCAACCACATCCCGAGCACGGGGGCTAAGCGCAAGCCGAGCCCGTCGTCTTCCTCCTCGCCCGCGGGAGGCCGGAGCCGCAAGGAGGCCCCCCGGGGGGGCCACGGGTCGAGCTCTTCGAGCAACGGCGCGGGCCCCAGCCCCCCTCCCCCAACGGCCCCCTCCGCCCTCCGGGGCGGACGAACGCCGCCCAGGGGCTACAAGGAGTCCGGCCTCGCTCTGCCCTCTTCTCCGGTCAGGTGAGCGTGCGTCTGAAATACAGGTGGCGAGGTTGAGGTGCCCAGAGCGTGTCTGTTGCATTCCTTGATTTCCAACTGAGGATGGCGCACTCGCGTCGTTTCGTTGCCCACTTCGATCTTGATAATGGCGCCGCAGCCGGGGAGGACGTGGCAGGTGCGTATTCTGCTGTAGGTCGCTCTCTGCCGTCGAACGCAGGGGTGGAACTACTGCGCCAATCGCGCCACTGTGCGCTTAATGGCTTTTCGTGTGGCGCACTAATACAAAAGTATAAATACGAACAAAATTGCACCAAGCTGCGCCCAACTGAAATTATGAACTAGCGTCGCCGAAACTAGCCGTCTCGCAGTTTCTGTTGGCAACATTGATACCGAAACTTTCCGGCCTACATGGGACGCCTGTGGATCCTAATCCGAAAATATGTATCTGAAGGTTGCTGCCGCCAACGTTAGCTGCCATTGGTCCATGCTCACCGTGCTTTTCTGAAGTCCTGGAGTCACTTCCAGTGAAGGTCTGAATAGTGGGGCAAATGTGCACCGCGGCCCCATGCAGAAAACCTGGGCACAAAGGCGAGCGAGCAGTGAGGCACATGACAGTGCAAGATATGAGCTGCCAGATCGTGATTGCACTTTGAAGCGATTTGCCAGTGATGTCACGAGAGTGCCTTTAACGGCAGATTTGCCACAAGCTGTGAAGAACTCTCATGAAGTTTACACAGAAAGGTTAGAGGTTGAAAAGCAAGACGACGAGAGGCAGAAGAGGAAGAACAGTGGTGGCGAGGGAAGCGGGTACGAAGAGAGCTTGCCTTCAGGAAGGAGAGCGACAACTTGAACAGCGCATCAGTTCGCGGACTATGCTTGAGCATGCGCAGTCACTGGTTGAGTCGGATCCGAAAAAAAGGAGATGGAGAAGATTGGGTCTGGACAAGTGCTGTTTGGTGGAGGCTCAGTGAAGTGGGCTCAGAATCTCGAAAAGTGATGTGTGTCCGTGAGCAGTTGACAAAGTCCCAATGGATTTATATGTGTAAGGACATTTAATTTCTTATCCTAGTCTTTGAAAAATGAAAGAACATTTTTGTACCTGCATTTTTATTTTTCGGTGCACCTTACTAGTCAATGCTGACCAATGAAAGTTAATTTGTACCTGTTTATATTTACCTCCTTGCAAGTCTGTTTTATCACGTGTCACTGTCACGTGCAGTTTTGCTTCACGTGTTGTGTAATTTGTGCATAATTTTTGAAAAATATTTGCAGCTAAAATGTTTATTGAAACTACCGTTAAGTTCACATGGAGTTAAATGCGTGCCCTATTTTCTTTAGTTTTGAATGGCAGGTGACATTTAGCCTCTATTTTAACATTCTTGAAATTCGTATGCTGCTCCCAACTTGCTCCAAGACCTCGTTTTTGCTACTTCCAGCCTGCTCCAAACTGCAGTTTTGTTTTGCTCCCAAATTGCTCCAAAGCTGCTTTGCCCAGTTCCATCTCTGCGAGTGCAAGTTGAGACGTCTTCGTTGAGCGCAAGTTAAGATGCCATGATGACGACGACGCTTCCGTTAGCCGATCCTTTTTGTTATAGCTTTTACGAATGACCGCAGGGATTGCTACATTCGGCAGCGGGACACCCCGGATCGCGCGACGTAATTTGTTTTCACTTTGAGACCACTTCTGGTTCGTTGGCAGTATAGACCGTTCACTAGTAAGAGTGGAGAGAGAAAAAAAATCCGCCCTCGCCTCGTGCGTTGTCTGCTCTGCTGGGGGAACTGTACCTAACATCCGGCTGACGTTCGAACTCTGTTTAAAATCATACCATTTTGTAAATTTTGAGCGCAAGTGCGCGGATTTTGATATGCAAATTATTGTGTAATGCTATGCGCGATAAAAAGACTAACCGGTTCCAATTGCACTGTTCCCTGCGTGCAAATAAAAAGAAGAAACGGGAAAACTTTGTCAGAGTGGCCGGTTTCTCTGGCGAAAAGTAAATCCAGTTGCTGTAGCTTTTTTCCTATAAAAGTTTGTACTGGTGTTGACTTTTAGCGACAGTGAGTGGAAGTCTGGAATAATAAATAAAAACGTGCCCTCCTGGTGGAATAGACTCAGTGGTTGAGGGTAGTACTGCCAGCTGACTCCACTGCTATTGAAGTGACGGAATAAAGATACGCTAGTTGATCATTTACTGAAATAATCAACAGAGCGCTATAGGCTGATTTTGGAGTAGCCATAAATATTCCAAGAACGCAAACCACTTTGCAATGGCAGCCACGAGCGAGATTTCGATGTTCGGTACAACCCAAAGATGGAGAACAGCAACCCCCCGATTTGTCGTCTGCTAGCGGAATCGGGCGCGTGCCCTCCCTCTCATTTTACTCCGCTGAACTTGCTGAAGCTCTGCAGTGAAACAAAATGGCGCCACCCTGAGAGCGCTAAATGGAATGGTCTATAGACCTTTCCAGCGGCAGTCTCGAACGAAGCGATTTCCAGCGCGCGTCCCTGGTTTTGAGAGTGTACGTCAGTGTTGCCCGACTGCGCTGAGCTGTGGGTTTTCTCGTCAGTAGGCTGTGGAAGCCTGCGTAGGAGCAATTTTGAACGCTGGTGGCAGCAAAATCGCCTCGCTTTATTTTTTTGTTTTGTGTTTTATGGCTAAGAGAATTTTTCGAAGTTTTTAAGAAAGCGTTGAACTATTTTTGGGAACAGAAACAAACAAATGAAAGCTATTTTCGGCGAGCCCGTGCGCGACAGAACAATTGCAACTGGGATGTTTGTTTCATTTTATGCGGATCTTTTTAACGGCACCATGCATACACTCAGCCGTGTCAAACAACAAAGATCTTAGCTGCCTAACATATTTGACCACACCAGAGGATAGCCGAACTGCATGGGTATTGCCCGCTCACGATATGAAATTCAACGAGTCTCATCAATCGAACAACATATATTTACGTACCCCACGGTGCCGTGTTATCCGAACAGGATTTGAGGAAGGTCTCAAATAACACAGCATATCCAATATACAGTGTCGACGATAGTCACTTCACGACGATCGGACGGAATCCGGCTTGTCTTGGGGTACGTTTTGAAGAGAGGTGTTTTTTTACACAGCACTAAAGCAAATGAACGAACGTGTCTATTCAGTTCCCATACCCCGGACCCTATCAGCTACTTCTCGCCAAGACCGGGAACGTAGCCGGGAAGGCTTTTCGGAGATTATCTTAGCGGAAATAATCCTCGAAGAACGTCGAACGGCCCGCGTCGCGGGCTTCTTGGCGTTCGCTCTCTTCGCTCGCTCTTTTCGCTCGTTTCCTGCAAAGGTCGAGCAGGCTACGAGCAATGGTATTCCCTGGTTCTCACAGTGGAAGATTACAAAAACACGCAAGCATCCGGAACAGGCAAATAGAGTAAACACTTTCAAGGAAAGCCGGCGAACTTAGAACACACAATGCAGGTGGGGAGTCGCGCTGACCGGGTTTCCACAGCTCAGGCAGGTGGCAGAAAGTTTTGGCTGATAGGGGTCGCTCGAGTCGCAAAATGGCGGCGGCCAGCGAGCTGTTTTTGCAAAGGTCTATAGGACACGAAACACACTGGCAGAAGTCGCATTCCAGGCACGGTGGCGTCGGCGGTCGTCAAGAGCATTTTCTCCGGCGGCGGGGAAAGTCGAAGTTCCTTGTTGGCGAGCATTGAAGCGCGACACGAGCGGTTGTCTTTTTAGTTGAAAATGTTTCACCATCTATTGTACGAGACAAACGGTTCATGGGATCTAGGATCGAACATGGTTAAAATTGTGCACAAATAGAAGGGAACAGAGAAGAGAGAAGAGACAAGTACAAACTCACAACTTGATGTTCCTTTCTATTTGTGCGCAATTTCAACCATGTTCAATCATTACCAACTCGCCCAACTAAACACTTTACTACAGGATCTAGGATCTCCCCCTCCCCGAGCACCGAACGGGGTGCATTAAAAATGTTTCGTCTCTCTCTCCCTCCCCTAGGTCCAAGTCGGAGGAGAGGCGCAAGGAGAGCAGCTCCAAGCGGCACGGCTCGCACAAGCGCAAGCGGAGCGTGTCGTCCCGGTCGCGCTCGCGGTCTCCCTCGCACCGGCACGGGGCCAAGAAGCGTTCGGGAAGCGGCGGCCACCGGGGCTCCCGCCACAAGTCCTCCCCGTCGGGCCACGGGGAGCACAACCACCACCACCACCGCCACCGCTCCTCCTCCACCAAGGCCTCCAAGAAGGAGCGCTCCCGGGAGACCCGCAACCACAGGACCACCGCGGCGGCCCGCAGGTGAAACGAGGTGAGGGGCCCTCCGGCGCAGTCCAGTTCTCTTACTAGTTTCTGGCTCTTTCCGGGGCAGTTTCGGAACGAGAGTGCTAGAGAGCCTAGATTCTAAAGAGGGTTCATCCAAAACCACGGCGTGCGTTCGCAGTTTCATGGCAAAGATTGGTTGCAATGCCACTCAAAAACGCGCCGTGTTTTGAGTGGCAAGGAAGAAAGCGGGCAGAAAGGCAGAGACGTTCCTAGATGACCGATGCGTTCGTCGCCTCCTAGCCATTCGTATTGCAACTGTGGCCCGTGAATCGGGTGGCCTTGACCAAGCATTTTGAAACTCTCTGTAATGTAGGCTCTCTAGAGAGCACTTGCCCCGCCTTAAAGCAACACCTTGTATCGGGAGCATCCGACACCTGTAGAGGGCGTGCCGCCGTGCCTCGGCAGCTGGTTGGCTGCACCCAACCTGGGCAACTGGGGTTCACATTACGTTAACACCGAGGCGCCGCCCGCTCCGGTCTCTTTTGATGCACCTGCAGTGTCTTGGCCAGGTCTGCAGCCTTTTGCAGCTGCATTCCTCGCTCCGGAGAAAGAGTTTGGCACCCAAACATTTCAAAACCTATCCACATCCAGTGTTGCTCTGGATGTGTCTTATGTCGTTGGAACTGGGGGAGTTGCTCTCACCTCTGGTTCGGTCGTCCGTCCTGCAGTTGTAGGCGGAAACGCACTGCCTTGTTTTTCGTTTATCTGCGCCGGAATATGCACATACAAACGTTTGTGTGTTCAACAGTCCGCAAAGCGAGTAATTAATAAAATCCGTGCGAGGAGTATTTTTCGTACCTCTCGTTATCAGATTGCTCTTTGCCTGCCGGAGGATCGTGTAGACGTACCAGGATTGAGATGACCATGGTGCTTCTCTACGGCGCCTGGAGGGGATCTGTATTCTCGATGACTGGGTCTCGCTTAAAAAAAAGTCGGCGCCGACCATGGCTGCTACATGGGATGTCTATGCCAGTCTGGCCGTAGTCCATCTGCCTCCAGTGGAAGTCGCACCGTGGCGCCTCTCTCGTCGCGGGCTTTCGCTACCGTCAAGAATGGCAGGGAGGTGACGACACTTGGGGGCGTGTCGTGCGCCTCGATCACATTGTCGAAGCACTTCAGAAGACATGCTGCTGATTACAACTGGCGCGCTGCTACCAGTTGTATTCATGAACCAACTTGCCCACATTGCCACATTGATTCATAATTAACCTTCAGTCGAACCCGGATATGTCGAATTCAAAGTGGATCGTAAAATAGTTGGATATATCGATAATTTGATATACAAAAATATGTTAACTTAAGCTCCAGTTGGAATTTCCGCGCGTCTTTGCTAGTACCGAAGGCCGCGACAAACGGAACCTTACCAAATAGAGCCACTAAGAGCCGCTAAATAGAGTAGAGCCTAGTTGGTGAAGATCACAAACACCTCCGCGTTTACGCGACGGTGTTTGCGATCGCGCGCGCGACCTCCGCACACCACTAGCGACAAAACACGAATTAAAAAAAAAAAATGAAAGAACGGAAAAAGCGAGCCGCATAAAAACAAACAAAAAACGCTCGATCCATAGAATGAAGTTAAGCAAGCGACAAAAAAGAAACCTCCCTAAATTCAGGTAAAAAAAAAAAAAAAAAAAAAAAAATAAAATAAACGCGCAAAGCAGGAACGGTGAAAGGAAAAGGTTAACAAAGATAAGGGTTCAAAGTGCAATTGCTCAACCGTTGTCGACACACTTGAATTAACATAGACCTTTTTTTTTTTTTCCTTAGTTTATTTTGGGGCTAAAGAGCACACTCTGCCCTCTCTACGCGCGCGCGCGGGTGCTTTTCCATTTGCTTTTGCCATCCTCCACTTTTTTTTTAAAAAATTGCTTCCCTTATGCCCGTATGCTGGCTTGGCGGTCTGCCAGCACCGCAATGCGAGCTATGTTGCTCGGCGGGAGCAATCTGACCGCGGGAGACGCGAAGGGCCGCTGTGCTTCGCTATATCCAGTGTCCCCGCCATGGGAGTCCATGGGAGTTCGATACAAAAAGACAACGCTCCTATACTATTACATGCGATTTTCAAGGGGATGTTTAAACTGTTTGATATAAGCAATAATTCGAAATACCCGGATGTGATATAACCGGGTTCGACTGTATAGCTTTCCCTTCCTCTCACCACGAACAGGGTCCTCCAACATCTCCGCTGATCCACAAGGGGTCCGCGAAACATCAATGGTTGAGAACCACTGGTCTAGCAGTTGGGTTTGTTCGAGGAGTAGATAAGGGTCCGAATTTTCGTTTTCTCAACGTACGATTGTCTCGTACGTTGTACAACGTACCGGGTGCAATGTTTGTTGTGCGCGAACAGGAGTTATGTGTTCATAAACCAAAATCTCCTCTATCATCGTCTACTGTGCTAGGAACCCCTCGGGAGCGTGGTGTGGGAGACCGACACGGCATGACGCCATGTTGGTCAGGAACACAGTTGACACGGTGTTCAGAATCGCAGGAGGACCAAAAATCAGAAGTCACAGGGCCCATCTGGGGGCAACATGATCACCCAGATATGTCGCTGCGCATGTGACTCTGAAGTATTTTGTCGCCGATTCACGAGCTGAAAGGCGCCGAAAACTTGCTCTTTGCCATTTTTTTAAATAAAAACTAGAGCACAGAAGCAGACATTGTTTTCTGTTCTTGGATCTAGAAATGAAACTCCCACAATTATTTGTTGGAAGTTCAAGAATCATTGCACCGCTATTTAAGAGGTGATTGGTTGTTTTAGGAAATCTCCAATGGGTCTGTCGCTAACCGATACTTCACGGACACGTCGGGGAGCTGTCGTGGTGATTGTTTTTCATCTCATGGCGGGGACGAAAAATGCAATGGCATGGTCCTGTGGCACTTTTTTTGAAGAGGGTCTGTGGAATGCGGGACGCAAAGCTGCGAAAGAGTACGAGACATTTTGCCGGGGTTCTTATTAGCCCATTCACGAGGTTTTGGTCTTGGAGTGCTTGCCTTTCTCCGTAGCGTGGCCTGCTTTTTGAGCCAGGAGTTTAATGGCTGCTCTTACGTCCTTAGGTGCTTTCGACATGTGCCAAATTGAGGCTGCTGTCGCGACCTCTTGTGTCACACAGAGCTGCAAATGAAAACTGCTACCAGTGATAAGGGGCTTGCACAAAGGATGCATTCTTGATGAGAATGTCAGACTTCTTGCATGACCATTGCAGTGAAGTCAGGGCGTCTAGCAACCGAGAGTTGTCAGGGAAATTTTAATTACCGGGAAAAATCTAAGAATTGTCAGGGATGTTGTCAAAAAGCGAGCGCAGTCAGGAAAAACGAGCCGGAAACGCCATTGCATACCTGCCAACTCTTCCGAATTTTTCGTAAAATGTATGAATTGGGACTAATTTTACGATTTTACGAATCTTGCTGCAAATTTTACAAAAAAAAACTGTAAATTATTTTTTAATTTTTTTTTTTTTGAGATTGTTGTTGGCGGTAATTTGCATTGCCACAAGAGGGCGATAGGTACGGCCACGGCAGCGTCGTGGTTTTTACTATACGTCTATCCGGTGGCCACGGATCCCAAATCAGCCCAAAGCCTTTGTTCGTGTCAACGTTGGTTCGTGAGTTCGGCGGCGCAGGTTGGTTCATTGTGTTCAGACGTGGTTGGGCCTGTCTGTTTCGGCCACTTTCTAGGCGAGAAGTCCGGCATCTGTGTTCGTTGCACGCAGTGGTTGCACATGTAATCGTAGAATTCTCCTAGTCGCGGTGGCTTAGCGGCGTAATGGCGAACTTTACACCTCAACAGAGGTACTTTCAAGTGTTTCTGAAGTCCTACACGTCGTAATTCCCGTGCTTCGTGCCGTCCAAAAAGGGAGAGAAGTGGATTCTGTCGCACGTGCACATGTGATGTAAGCGTTTCGCACGGTGGCAAAGCGGACATTGAGCTATATTCTAGTTCACTCTAATTAAGCTGCACATCTCTTCGCGTAAACCCCCCCCCCCTTTGGGCCGCGGGAGTTTTACGAATTTGAAAGACCACAGGTTGGCAGGTATGCCATTGAGTGCTCTTGGCAAAACCTTGAGGGCTTGGGAGCAGAAAAAAGGCAATAAATTCTGCTTAGAGCGGGCTATGCTCACTCGATGTAGAGTGTGATGCACGACGCAAAGGGAACAGCCGACCAATCCAGTTCAAGCCTTGGATTGGGTTGGATTGAGGGCACGACACTAGGCTACATCCAGTTAGAGATACTAGAGTTAGTAACAAAAGGAAAGCTGCAGACCCTAATCTAAATCAAGCCTTAAGCCAAAAGTATCCGAAAGCATGCATCTGGTGGCCATGCTGCCATTCGGTTATTGATTGTGTAATTGAGCGTTGTGTTTTTATTGCGTTTTCTTTCCGAAAGTGGCCTCTTTACTGACAATGTCGGTGGCAAGAAAGTGCTCATTTAATCTGGACTGGACAAACCCAAATATTTAGGAATAAGGAAGTTGGATTAAGCCCGTGCAAAATGATCCCCACAGTGCTCAATGCCTGGTGTTGTAATGGCCTTATATATTTAACCGCCTCTAAAGTGGTCAGGGTATTCCGAAATAATAATTTGCTAGACGCTCTGGAAGTGAAGGGACCGTGTCGTAAAAGGAAACAAAGAAAAAGAAGGCACCAAATTTGACGTCTACTGCCAAACCATGAGAAGCTCACAACACACCTACGACCGTTGCTGCTTTTTTTTTTTTTTTTTTTTTTTCCCCTTGTGTAATGAATGCACTTCCAATTTTCGGCTCTGCGAGTCTTGAATTGCGTCCAACTTAGCTAGTCACCAAGCCCACCGAGCCAATTTCCTTTTGCCGCCAAGCGGTCAGGCCAAGTCCAGCTAAGCCGCTCTCGTAAAGGCTGCAAGTGCATAGTTATGGGAGTGATCAGCCGTGCAACCGAGTCGCACGCACACTTGATGAAGCTTGGGTCAAGGAATTGCCCCGCCCCTGGCAGTTTTCGCCTATCGAATGCATTGATGTCAAGAAACACGTGTTGTCTGTGGTCCGCTTTCGGACAGTGAAATTGTGAAAGTGGTTAGGCCCAAGAACGGTCACGTTGCTGTCCGTGTTGAGTGAGCATTGTAGGTCGTTTCTCTTTCGGCAAGAGGCACGCCAAAAGTGCCCAAAAAGGTTTGCAATTTACAAAGCATGGCTACTGTGGCGCGCCCCCGACCAGCCGTGGGTGCGCCTCCGGCAGTGGAGACTTGCCACAGTACTTTGCCGTGCCATATTGGCACCTAATATGACATTTGCACGAAGTGTTTAAATGCAAAAATTTTACCCTGTGTAATGAATGCAAATACGCGTACATTTTTCGGGAAAAAAAGTATGTTCATTATGCGAGTTAATATGGTACCGTAGCGTAGTATTAAAAAAAATGTTTTGCATGCCCCATTAGTTTAGTTGTAGCAGGATTCCACTGTACCTCAATATTTTCACCAAACAAATGCACCACCTAGCCATACTTTCGTGGTAAGTTAATATCTGAGCTTGTAAAACTAAGACTTGTTTTTACGAAGTAACAGAGTGCCTTTCCTGAAAACGCTCTTCTTATCTCATTGCAGGAGCCATCCGACCAAAAGTTGGCAGCCCGCAAGCATCCTGCCATTCTGTATATACTGTATGAGACAGCCCATTGGAGTTCCATTTTTCGTTATGTGAATGAGTGTACATAAAACATTGAAAGAATGAAAGTGACGAAATAATTAAAACAATTATTTGGTACAATCTTTTTGCCTCTTTATTTTCGAGAACGGGACGAAAAAGAAAGTCGTTTAAAAACTGCATGCTACTATGTACAGGTTCAGAACAAATGCATTCATCATAAACTCTCCCAAAGGCAAGAACAGTGCTGCAGTCAATGTTGTCCTACCTAAAAAGAAAAAAAAGATTTGTGCCACCATTCCGCTTGCAGTATAATTACAACCTGGCAGTTTAATTTGAAAATTATATCGAGTGACAACAAATGGTCTTTTGTACAGATGAGTTGAGGGAAGGGGGGACTCCCCTCCGCCATTGTTGATGCTTGTGGTGATGGGGCCAATCACTTCTTGGTTATCCTCTTGCTGCGAGGGCGGGCCAATGTCCGCTCACTGTGGGAGGCAGCTGTTCCTATTGAGAAGAGGCTGCTGTTTGCTACCTGGGCACCTGCAAGGACCGAGAAAAGCAGCATTACCAACAAGGATTTAAGCGTCTCCCGAGTTAGCGTAAACTGGCATAATTAAATCCGAAAAATGCTTGCCATTAAAAGTTTCGGAAATTCGGATTTCACAAGTTTTATCAGAGCACGGGGCCAGTAATCTCGCCAAGGTTCCTTAAAAATTTATTGCTGTCCTTTCGGGTCATTACAAGGCACTGTTCCGATTACCAGTATAGATCACACTACTGCCATTAAAAGTTCCGGAAATTCGGATTTCACAAGTTTTATCAGGGCACGGGGCCAGTAATCTCGCCAAGGTTCCTTAAAAATTTATTGCTGTCCTTTCGGGTCATTACAAGGCACTGTTCTGATTACCAGTATGGATAACACTACTGTTGCTTAGAGCAAAAAAGGGCTGTGTTTATATAACATTAATATAAAGGCCCGTTCACACTCTTACGACCGAGTACGACAGAGAGACGAGGATCTCTTAAAACTTCTTAAATGTTTTTAGAATGAGGGAACACACTGGTATTGTGGCGCCGTCTATGCGGTGACCCTGGAACTGCATTTCACAAGAGCGAAGGTTTTGCGGGATATCCGAGGTCAAATGTGCGTAATAACCATAGAAAGGCTCGTTTATAACATTGACAAAAGTTTTTTGAGCCAAAAAAGAAAAGATAATGCGCGAGAAATAAAAAAAAAAATATGCCGGACCGCCGAGTTTACACTGCTTCCCAATAGATGGCGCCAGTGTGTTCTCTGGTTTAAGAGGTTTTAAGGAACCTAGGTTTAAGAGGTCGCAAGAGTGTGAACGGGCCTTAACAGTAAAAGCTATGCTGAAGCTGAAAAAAGTTGCTTCCACTTTCTGAGGGGCCTGTAACTGTTTTGCAGGAATTGCGGTCAATCATTGGTCCCGATCCCGTCAATCTTTCGGAAAGTTGTGCATATTCTGCTGCGCAATGCCACTTTTGGATGCAGGACCTGTGAGGCAGCTCTTCGCGCAACATCATGGGAGTATTCTTTTCGGAGCCGATCATGGGAATTCACCACGGGCGGTCACTACTCATTTCCAACTCTTATGTACAAAACAACTCATCTTGAAGTGCAGAACAGCGAGCGAAACAAACATAACTGCAAAGGAACTGCACGGCAAATGGTTCCCGCAATGCATGTCGACTGCTGCGTGCAGCGAAAAAAGAACAAAGAAACAACAAGAAAAAAGGACACGTGACTTCCGGCACTCACTCTCCTCTACATTTCTCCGACCTCCGTGCGCCGGTTTCGGTTTCAAGCAGCTGCGTTTTCTGGCTTTATTAAAAATATGCGCGATCCTGTAGCAAAACATTAATTGGGTAGTCTTCCGACACCATAATGAATAGCCTGGCAAAAAATGAAACATTTTTGGGGGGTGTCAGTGTCATCCCCTTAAGAGTGGAATGTGATAGCGTTATCGGGCCCTGTTCGCATCGCTTTCCCATTCGCTTCTCATGCTTTTCCTGCCAGCGAGCAGAAAGTACGGCAAACATGGCCTTGTCAGTAGCCTGTCTGGCTCGCAACCGAAGGGTCGTGGGTTCGGATCCCGCCTAAAAATCTTTAAATCTTTCTTTAAAGGGCAACTCTGCTCGATTTCGGAAATTTTGAGATAGTGGGTGATATAAACGTGAAAAGTACTTCAAAACAACCCTAGACTGTTTGTCTCATTAAAAGCAAAATATTTTTCGTGCAATCTTGTTATTTACCATATTCGCAAACCGAAACTGAAACTTCGGCACAGCCGGGCAACATTGTACCTTCACCGTCAGTTGCATACGCACCCACGTGGAATACAAGGGGTCGCGTGATCTACCAGCGGTAACCCAAGAAAGACGCGGATGCGAGGGGAATGGTGAGGAGGGAGGAGGGAGGGCGGGCCTAGCCGCTGCGGCGAACAGGAACGCAAGCAGCGACGAAGCAGGCTATGTAGGCGGCAACCCAGGCGGCTAGTCTGATCCCGTACAACTCTCTCTCCCTCTTTTTGTTTCTCTTGTTTGCGTTCATTTTTTTTTTTTTTTCTCTTTGTCTGTCTCGCCTCTTTGCTTGCTCAGACCTGTTTTCTTGGTATTTTCTTTTCCAGCTCTCCCTGGAAAAGAAAATACCAAGAAAAAAAAAACTGCGTATGCAACAGACGTCGGCCACAACGGAAATACAATGTTGGCTGCGCCGCACGTCGCCCGCTAAATTAGCGGATTTTGGTGACTTCGCACATCTCAGTTTTTGTCGGCCGGTTTAGCGATCTTTTAGGTGGTATTACGTTATAAAATTTGACATTCGGTCTCTCCAGATGACACTAAAGAGAGTCGCAGTGTTTTCTAGCAACCGAGAATGAAGCGGAGTTTCCCTTTAAAGCAAATCGGTTGCTTTATAAAGTGAAATCATTTGAGACATGTGGCGACCTTTAATTCGCATTACATCTCGTGTTTTTTATTCTCTCCAAGCATGACGTCACGTTTTATGTGAGCATTGTTTGAAATCCCCGCACGAGGTCATGTGGCTGCGACGTGACCCTATCGACCAATCGGGATTTTTGCGTCACGCCACCAACGCCGGCTTTTCTGCCACGCCACCGAGGTAGGCTTTTCTGCGACACGAGCTCCTTAACGGTCGGGCTTCTTATATATTACAGAGCATTGCTGCATTCTACAAGCAACGGCATGCTCCAGGCTACCTTAGCCCTAAAATTGGAAAACAAGTGGGGACACTGACAGAAGTATTGCCCTCTTGCCTGAGAAAATTTGCATGATTATTTCGAATCAAAGTTGTAGAGCCACACGAAAATTCGAGAACTTTTCATTCTATAGACCCTTTCTCCAAGGGAGCCGCCATCTTGAAACATCGTCACTTCCAGTATGGGTGAAAACATTGTTTTGCCGTCGCCACGCCAATAGAATGAATTTAGGAGATAAGCGTAACCGTCGCCCATTCTCGTTTTGTCCTCCCCTCTATTTTTTTTACTATACTCCGTGACAATTTTTCTTGGCACTGCAGTGGAAGGTACAGGCCCGCGTCCCCTCTCCCATTTTAAGTGTACGCAGGCTCTCCTCCTCCCCCATTTCCGGGGAGAGAAGGGGACGCGGGCCTGTACCTTCCACTGCATTGCCAAGAAAAGTTGTCGCGGAGTATAGTTGCAGGTTGAAACACTTTAATATTTTTTCGTCGCCCATACCGGATATGCCTACTTCGCGGTCGGGGGCGAGAGTAAGCGGAAAAGGTCTATTGGAGGAAGTAGCTAGACTTGACATGCTATGAGAATGTTGCAATTCATGTCTCAGTACCGTTCTTCTCAAGTAATTTTGAATGTGATGACCGACTACGGCAACGTTTACGATGCACAGTTGCATGAAGTACGTCGCCAAACGCCCGTGGATATATCTTCTTTTTGCACCGGAATCTTTTAAAGTGGAATCTGTGAACACAATCAACTGCTCTAAGCTAGGTAGGCCTCTTATACTGTTGTTGACGAGTAGTTCTCGTGAGTGTTGAACCTAATCCCATGAACATGCTGGTGTGCACAGTGCATTTTGCCGCTAAAGTTCCGTCGTCCACAAATAGAGGTCATTTTTGTACATGGGCTGCATTCCTTTTTTTAAGGAATGCATAAAGTTACATACACACATAAAGTTAAATTAAGTCCACCATAACAAAGCAATCTGGCTTTTAAACCATTGAGGTGTCAAGTGGCTTGCAAGCTGCATTATTAAAAAAAATGGCAGGTAGGTTTTGAAAAAAAGGAATGATGACCTCTATTGCTGGCAACGAAGTGCATCTCTGTAAAGCAATCATATCGCTTCAGGTGTGTTTGCCCCTCGCGATACTATCTCGGAGGATACGGCGTAGGAAATAATGTTTTTTTTTTTTCTCTTCGTGTCACCCCGGCAGGGCTCCGCACTTCCCCAAAGACGAGAAGGTGCCGGCTTCTTTGTTTCTGAATTTGCCGCAAAACAACTGCTGTACCTCGGAAAACTACGAGTTAATTAAGATTATTCACCGTTGGCTACGGAGCCTCAACGCCAGGGCAGGGCACGGGGCCACAGTCGCCCGAGCCCAAGCCGGCCCTGCCCGTCTTCGTACATAAAAAAGCTGAAATGCGATGGCAAAGCACTGCAGAAACGCAGCCCCGTCTTTTTTTTGTCGGAGGTTCGTGTCAGCAGCCACGAACCTCCGATGTGTAAGCAAATGCAACGAGACGTGAATAAGCAATGGGGGAAAAGATTGCTGGCACTCCGGGCGTAGTTATTAAGCGACTCTAGCCCAACCGGGCCACACTACCGTGCCTTGCTTAGGCGTCGAGCTCGAGCGCCAGCACTCACCGAAATTGAAGGCCGGGTTCGAAGCGAGGCTGGGGCCGCACTGTGAAGCCACGAAGTTGAACGACGGCGGTGCACCGACCGGGGGGGCGACGCTTCCGCCAAACTTGAACACGCCCGTCGACTGTGATTTGGCGCCGCTCGAGGAGACTCCGTTTGCGAGTCCGTTTGTAGCAGCGAAGCCGAAGCCCGGCTGCTGCGCCCCAAACTGGAATCCGCCTTGGGATGTCGCCGTGGTGGCGCCGCTCAGAGGTTGGCTCGGAGTCGACGCGTGTGTCCCGAACTGGAAACCGCCTTGGGACCGCGCTAAGCCGGCGGCGCCACCCGAAGGTTGGTTCGCGCGTGTCGCGTGCGTCCCGAACTGGAAGCCGCCTTGGGAACCTGGCACGGTGGCACCACTCGAAGGTTGGCTAGCGCTCGTTGCTTGCGTCCCGAACTGGAAGCCGCTCTGGGAAGCTGTCGTGGTGGCGCCACTGGAAGCTTGGCTAGCGCTCGTTGCTTGCGTCCCGAAGTGAAAGCCACTTTGGGAAGCTGTCGTGGTGGTGCCACTCGAAGGTTGGCTGGCACTCGTAGCTCGCGTCCCAAACTGGAAGCCGACCTGCGACACTGTTGCGGCGGTGCCACCGGACGGTTGGCTGGCGCTCGTTGATTGCGTTCCGAACTGAAAGCAGACTTGAGATGCCGTCGTGGTGGCGCCACTCGAAGGCTGGCTCGCCACAGGTGCCCCAAATTGGATGCCACTTTGGGAAGCCGTTGGGGCGGTACTGTCCGAAGGCCGGCTCACACTCGACGCACTTGGAAAGAGCGGTGTCGGCGGCGGCGGCTGGAACGAAGTGAGGCTCGACCCCAGCACAAACGAGGCCGCGGTGGGCACGCCGAAGGACGGCCGAGTATTTGCCGGAGACGACGCAGATGACTTCCCGAACGCAAACAGTGCCGCAATGGGCTCGGCTTTTGTAGTCGTGGGTGGAGTTCCAAAAGCGAACGGCGACGAAGCAGACGGTGCAGTTGCGGTGCTAAGGGTAGGCACTGGCGGCTGCCGGGTCGCACCGGGCACGGACTGGGTCGGTGGGGCCCCAAACTTGAACGGAGCGGTACCGCTGCTCGAGCTTGCGGCGGGACCGAACGAAAGAGCCACCGGAGCGGTCGAGGTGGCGAGACTGCCGCCGAAGGCGAAGCCACTGCCGCCGCTCTGTTGCAACGTGGTGGCAGTTGCAGCCGGCAACATCGGCAGACCGGGGGTCTGCACGGGTGGTCGAAAGCTGGGTAACGATATGGATGAGGCGGCAGTGGTCGCCGCTACGGTAGTGGTCATGGGCATGGAAGGTGCACCGAGCTTAAAGGGAGATGAACCTGTGGCACCGGGGGCAAGAGACGAGCTCGGGAAGGAGCTGAAACTGGTGCCAATCTCCGCAGTGCTCGGTCCGTTCACCTTGAACGTCGGGACTCCAAATGTTGCAATCGACGTTGCCGCAGTCGCCGTCGCGTCGAGTCTGCCATGCGAACTGGCCTTGGAAAGGAGGGGGTTTGAGCTGCTGTCGAAACTGGCGGCCGGTGCGAAACTCGTAATGGGTGCTGGCAGTTCCAGTTTTGCAGGCGTGTGTGACGGTGACGACGCTGTCGGCGCCGAAAGGCCTCTTAAAAGTGGGTTTGTCGCGGTGCCGGTGGCAAGGATGGGTACCGATGCCGGCAGCTTGAGCAGTGCCGCCGTCACACTGGTGGTGATGATACTCAGAGGAGAGCCGAGGAGCGGATTTGTCTTGGGGGCTTCTGTTGTTGAAGGCACCTTCAGAAGCTGTGGTTGTGTCGTGCTAGACGTTGCCGCGGCGGCCGCATCTCCTTCTGGAGATGTCTTTTCAGCAAGAGTCACGCCCAACTGCTTGGTGCTTGGTGCGGACGACACGCTCATCAGGGGACTGCTTATGACCGACACCGCCTTCGTCGACTCTTGACCGGTAGTGACACTGGTGGTGGTGCTGGCAATGGAGAATGCTGGAAGGCTGAAGGAGGTGGTGGCTCCTATGCTGTTTCCCGCATTCGCTTGGGAGCTAATCACGGCAGCTTGTCCTGCAAATGAAAGGACCGGTGTGAATGGAAAAGTGCAGCCACCACCCTCGGCCATACAAGTGCTTTACTGCACCAAACTATTCCTACCGTCGGTGTTACAAACAACATGATCATTGCAAGAAAAAGAAGAGGCAAACAATTTTTTAGAAAATAACAATCAAAACCACAAAGACTGCACAAACTGTGCCAAGCTTACACTTCTTTGGCTTGAATAGCTGGATGCTACACCTTACTTATGTTTGTACTACTGCTCATTGCTCAGGGCCATTGTAGGAAGGGTTATTCGTGGCACAAACCACATTAGGGGACGCTACTGTGCAGGATGTGATGCTGGGTTTGTTTACATCGCTTGCCTGTTCCTTTTCTGCCTAATATTAGTTGTTAGCAATACAGCGAGGCTGAGTGAAGCTTATTCAGCTATGAAAAGTGGCATCAGCATTGGGGGAGTCTTCACTTTGGATTGGGCTGGGCTTCTCTATATGGCGACAACAAAACTTCTCGACGCATATACAAAACAATTGTGGTAAAAATAGCTATCAAGCACATAAAGCCAAGACTTCTAATTTACCGCAGAGATAAGGTTCTTGATTCACAAGGAACCAAGTACTAACCACAGCTATCTAGCAAGATAACCTACATCAATCTGAGAGGGTGTAAGGAAAGAAAGACTGCGATGCAACATAGAAAAAGACATGAGTAATATAACAGCTTTTCTACCATAAAATGCAAAGAGAAGGGGAACAGAATGACAAGAACTATTCCAGGAGCCCCCCAGACACTGGAAATTTTGGGTTTGTCGAGCTGTGCAACTTCACGAGATCTCCTCTTTGTAATATTCATCTCTCCATTTGTGAGAGCTCAGCAGACTGATACAAGTTTCGGTAGTTAGACGCAGTTGCGAAAACAAAATACTAGTTCGTCGGCATCACAGACAAGAAAAACTTATGCCTTCACTCTGGCTGCTGGCGAAGTGACGTGCACGGTGGTCACGAGACGCTGGTCATGTGACGTGATGACAGCTCGTTATGTAACATTGTGACGCAGTGTCACATAATGTTGCAGTGTCATGTGACAATGACTTCACGGTGTCACAACAAGCGAATTCAATGACGCTACAATGCGGTGCGCAAAGACGTAACGCGACCGTGTCACGCTGATGACGTTACGTGAAAGTGTCATGCCGATGACGTCGCATGACCAGCGTGGCGTCTCGCCGATGTCACGTAAACAGCATTCACCAAATTTGGCGTTGGAGGTCTCGGGGAGGTAGCATAACCACCGTCTGCTAAATTCAGTGAGACCGGACTCGAGCATTTAGTAATGTCCACTGAGACAGCCCTTCCCTTGCCACACGTGCTCTCCTCCTCCCCTAGGTTTCAACAAACGAGCAAGTTGCGATAAACGGACATACACAATCGTACGGTATGGTGACCCCATATACGCATTTAAGGGGTGACGCCACTTTCCAGTGTCGACTTTTAAACCAGTTGCTCATTATTGATGAAATTTGGAGGGCCTATTCATCTTGTTGCCCAAATGCACAGTATGACATTGCATCTCCGTAGGACTATTTTCTAGGGATGGGGCGAATATTCGGTTAATACGAATAGCCCATTGGAAATTTCTTCTATTCGGCATTCGCTTCGAATCGAATTTTAAGTATTCAACAGTATAGAATTATTCGGCAATATTGAATTATTCAACCTTTCTGAATACTCTGGCTTGGATTTTCGGCCAGGTGGCGGAAGCTTCCATCCGTTTCGACCACTTCGTTCTGCCAAACTAAGTACACTTGAAACTAACAATTACAGTACTTCTGATACCAAATAAACGCAAATATAAAATTACAGTTTAAACATATCTTGTGGTATTTGTTGCTTGTACGATCCGAACTATTCGATTCAAAATTATTCGGCCAGAATCACTATTCGCTTCGATTTCGATTCGGACCCAAAATCCTCTATTCGCCCATGCCTACTATTTTCCGATAAGCTACGGGGGGAGGTACACAGCTATTGATGTAAGTCGCCTCACTTAGCAAGGAAATCTATCGTATAAAATTGCTGTAAAATATTGAGCATTTCTAAGCTTCAGCTAGAACATATGGCGGGTGGGGCTATCCATTTTTTACCTTAAAATCCACGCTTTTTCTATGTAAAATATTAAATTGAGAAGCGTTCCCAATAATGGGGCATTTTCTCATCAAAAACCTACTTTTTGGCAATAAGAACTTTATTTAAATAAAAAAATAAATATATAGCCGCATTTCTCATTAAATTTCAGTTCAGAAACATCCACAGCAAAGAATACATTCAGTGATTCACTGAAATGATAGATTTCCTAAAACGAAAGTTGCTGCAAAAAAGTGAAACTGAGAAAAACCTGTTTGGAGTTTCCACACCACTACATTTGATTTTACTGGTGTTGGTGGAAACTAAAAGGCACCAAGAGCATAGGTGGTGCCTTCTGCTTACACCCAATCTCCTGCATGGCTTTGCTGAGTGAGTCCAAGCTTAAAACGCTTTCTTCGAGTGTCATTTTGTTGTCGGCATGTGGAGACTGATTGTGAAACGAGTGAGGAATTGGGTATGCTTGCAACAGACAAACTAACATCAGCAGGTATGGGCGGGGCAAGCATCATCAAAATACAAAGCGGACAAACTCGCGGGACTTTCTATAAACGAATGGTGGTTTTAGTCAGTTTTGTGCTCAATCAGGGCAGGCATTTCGATTCTTGGCCACATGCATAGCCTCTTTTACGTGAAAGCTGGACTTCTATGGTGTTCTTGCCCGCACAGAGTTTACTGTCGAACAGAGATATTTAATGTACTGAAACTGCGAAGAAATGCTCTTTCCAACGAGAGTAGGATCATCATTCTAGGGCATACCGATGCAAAGCTACAGCTGTTTGAAAATGGGAAATATAGAAGTTTCACATTTCAAAAACATGATTTTACATCGTCGGCTCACTGAAAATGTTTTATTTATTTGTAAATACTTCAGATATTGCAATAAAAAATTGCGGGAGTATACACTATTAGTCGTGGAACCACAATACACAAAAATAGGAAAAGTTGTTTTTCTCAAAAATTTCAATTTTAAGGTAGTGTCTCCCCTTAAAGGGGTACTCCACAGGTTCTTTCATTGTCTACGATTTGCTCTAAATTTTGCTAAACTAACCAACAAACACAGCTAAAATAGTATTCTAAATATTAGGTCAAAATATTGTTTTTTCGCGAAGTTATTGAATTTACAGTTTTGGTCCTCACCGTGTTTTTCAAGCTCGAAGTCTCTAATGGCAACAATGAAAAAGTGACGTCAGCGGAAGGCAGGAGTTCACTCTTTGGGCTGTAGATTTTGTTTTAAACTGATTCAAAGCAGTTTCATGGTGTCAAATGAATGCTTGGGAAGCTCGTTGCAGTACCCACGCTCCAGCACGGAACAAACGATTGGCAGATTCTATTTTTTGGCTGCTTGCTCGACTGGCAAGCCTGCCTGCCACTGACGTCACGGCACTGAAAAGTGCGCGTGTATTTGAATGTTGGTTTTTGCATCATTTTCATTTGCCGATTTCACAATACCTATTATGAATTTCGCGATTCTAAATAGCATACCGGAGAGAGTAAAGGCCGGGGAGTTGGAAAATATAGTTAGTTGAGGTAGCTAAAAAAATCGGTGGAGTACCCCTTTAAGAGAAATTGGCAAACAATGCCACACTATCAGTACTACTCACCCTGGCTGGATTGATAGACGTCCCGAACGCTTCCCAGCATCTTGTTCAGGCGCTGCCGATCCCTGGCGCGGTCGCTCTCATGTTCCTCGAGTGTGGCCACATGTTCGGGAAACACCAGCCTCTGTGCATGCAACACCACAGGGTTCACTGCAGGTTAGGCGATCATCTTTCGTGGCAAGATGTTTCACAGAAAATCATTGAGGAGTTCCCAAGACCCACAGAAACATTCCTGAAGAATTCAAAAAGTGTCAAATTCATCATTTTGAGAGACATAGTGCTTACGAGAATCTGTTATGGAACGACTATGACATTTAGATCAAAATTTATTCGAAGCACTACGACAGGAAGGTGCTTAGTTTAAAATTTGTTTGGCTGGAGACACGGTCGTCATTTTGTCGACATTTTGGAAAAAATGAGTTTCATCTACGAAAAATTAAACGCAGATTGCCCGTCGCCGTTAGTGCAGACAAACGAAATGACGACTCTACAGCCCAACGTTTTCGCTGCCGTAGATTGGAAGGGAGGTTCGGCTTATTCTCGGCGTCCACTTGTACGCGGTTGCTGAACTAGGTAACACGGATCAACCTCAATGGCCCCGTCAAATTTGACTCCACCTTTTTCCGCACGCTCTGGTCAGAAGGCAAGGCGTCTCGTCTTGGCCCAGAGGTTCGTCCATCGCTTTTGGAGGTGTCAGGTGTTGACCGATCGGCTGGGATGGAGAGGGCACCCTGTGCCACAATCGCACGAGTGACCAAAAGCGAAGATAGTACAGTTGACAACAGCACAGGTGGGACACTCAACTTAAAAGCCAACGAACGAGCAGAGAAAAATAAACTGCACCTCGATTTTTCTTTTGGGAAAGGAGGAAATGCTTCCCCCTTTCTTCAGGGTGTAGCCAAATACTTTACCAGGAGGAATAAGGAACACACTGCTCATTTTTCGTCAGAAGGAGTGACGGCCTAAAGCCCCTCTATCCTGGGAAAAGTGGTGCCATTCCTTGTTGTGGAAATGCTCAAGACAAGTGCCGCGTGCCACTTCTGGGAAGAACATGGCATCTGAAATCTGGCTCAACGCTGGGCTGCTCCGCCATGATCTTCCCAAGGGCTGCACGTTGCACGTGCCTCGTGCATCGACGCACATTGCGCTACTTTTGAAGACGGCGGCGCCAATCCCTCCCCCTGGTGGCGGGGGATATTTTGGGAGCGCCCCTCTCTCTATATTCTCAACCCTCCTCCTCCCCAATTTACTCCTCCCACCAGAACATGTAACTGATTTTCAGAGTTGCCGGGGCCTCGAGTGGCTAGTTTCGGTTTTGTTGGCCGTACCCCAAACAAAACTTTGAGGCGTTGATATCTTTAAAACTATGCACAATAACGAGAAAAAAATTACACCTTGTAATTCAGGGACGCTGACTGCACTAAAAACAGTCATAATCCCAAAATCGAAAGTATGGACCGGAGTTGCCCTTTAACGAGCGCAAAACGTGCCGTCCCCGAGGCCAGTGTATTCTCGAGGAGTGTATTGTATTCCCCCAGGTAAAGTATTTGGTGTAGCTCCCAGACCTGCCCTTTTCGGGTGAGCAGGAAAGAGTGTGAGACAGAGAAAGACAATGGGCAAGGGCTTCCTGCCTGGCAGAAATCGCTGAATGTACGTCGGCCTTTAACTGGAACGCTTCCTCAAAAGAAGGAAGAAGATTGCACGCACCTCCCCTGCACTGTCCTCCGCCTTCTCGGCTGTGCTGTCAGCATCCGAAGACCTTAGAAAAACAGTTTTGTCAGCGTAAGTTTATGCCCTCTGCAGAACAACGCGATACGCACCTGTCCTCGTTCCTAGCGAGCTTAGAGCGTGGAGGTGTGTCCCTTGCAGCTGCGGCAGCTTTTCTTTTCTGTAACTGGCTTGTCTGGAAGGCATCGAAAAAGGAAGTACAATTAGTAAGTAATAGAACTTTGCCGACATGCTTTCCAGGAACTACCATAAGAAAAAAGAAGGGAGGATCTGGAAAACGTACCGTGTTCGCACGACTCTAACGCACACTTCTTTCGCCAAAATCGGTGCCCAAAACTACATGAGCGTTACAATCGAAATCAAAAACCGAAATTCGAGAAAAACGCATTACTTGGTATAAGAAGGCTAGCCCCATCGTGACCGTTTGTTTACATTCGCCATTTTGGTATCTGTATCTTGCGCATTCTCTAGCAGCGTCTATGGACTCGTTCCTGCCATTTTAAGATGGAAAAACAAAAGAAATTCCACTAGGAGGTTTTATTTAAACGAAAAGTCATCATGCTGGCGGGAAAAGATAACAACGGAGTAGCACTGCGTGGCCTTGCAATCCCAGTGACCCGACGAGCTTGCGAAGCGTTGTTTGGAAGACAACCCTTCCAGAGGCGACGGTCGCGCACTCGTCATCAGTGACGTCACTGATGACGTCATCAGTGACATCACCAGTGAAGTCGCGCATCCCACAATGCACTGCACGGTGACGGCGACGGAAACGGGCGCCTAAGAGCTGGGCTCTAAAACGCATTAAAGGGGCCCTGCAAGGACCTTTTTACTGGTTTTTAATTTTCACCGAACCTGAGCGCACTGAACGTAGTAACTTAATAAACTTTTTTTCCTCGAATTTCACTTTATATTAAAAGTTTTAGGCAAATTAAAATTACAAAAACAAGCAAAAAATAACCTCCTCCATGACGTCGTTGGACGCTTGAGTGGCCGTAAACTAGAAGTGCGGCAGCCGTTAGCAAGCGCTCACGGCTGTCGCGCTCCGTGTCGACGGCCCGAGAGGGTGCCATTAAAGCATGTTCTGGATAGGCTGTATGAAGCGGGCAGCCAGGCTGGCTTGCATTGCATTTGCTGCGCGATTAAACAGTAATTCGACATGACACTTCATTGGCCACAAATTAGAGCAAACACGGGGCAAAGATCAGTTCAGAACGGGAGCCACTTCGCGCTACCATACCGCCAAAGGGCCAAACCGCAAGCGAAAGCTGCCGCCAAAGGCCTTCGGAACGCTCAGAACCAGTCGGATCTTCGACTGCAGCGCCGCCGCGTACATCCGGGACCTTTCTACGCTCGCTGCTCGTCGGGGCCTGATCCCACTACCCCTTTCTAGTATGCGCCGCCCTTTCCACCGCTCGGTGGCGGGTATGTCGACGGGTCATTTCTTGTTTCCGCACTTTCTAAACTGCATTTGTTTCTTTTCTGATCTAAAATAGTGGACAAAAACTACTTTTATAAATATTTGAAATGTTTCGCGCCACTTATATTTTGTATTTCGACTAAAAAGAAGCTTTTAGTGGCTCTGACCAGTAGTAAGCCCAGGACCAAAGAAGTCACATTTCAAGCGCTTTTGGCAACGCGGGTCGCCCCCGTAGGTGGAGAAGGCTTCCGTGTTGTCCGGTTAAAATATGACGCACTGATATTTAGTTACTCTCTCCGTGCCCGCTGGCTTGCCCGAACCCCAAGAGACATGGAAACTGCAAAAAAGGTAGATGCTTAAATAGGATTGCAGTGCCCCTTTAAGACTTAAGCAAGGATTACCCCCCTGGATAGCAAAGAACCATCGTTGAACTCTGACAACGTCGACTAGTGCACGGCATTTATTTTTGTGTTAGCACTCGTTTCATGAAATCTGTCCTATGAGGTACGTGTTCATCCTTCATTATTTTACTTGCGCGGTAGAATTGGCAGCAATTTGCTTTTTGAATATTTGGAAGCTAAATCTGCCTACACGTTAGAATTGTGCAAACATGGTAATTGATAAGGCATATTTGGGTGCTTAAAGATGAGATGGGAAGGAACTTTCGCACAACAAATAGACTCCCATAGATTTTTGCAGCTGCAGAGAACTACCATATGTATCTAAATATGTGGTGCCTGCGACACGGCAATAACATGCATAACAAAAGTCGCTAAGGAATGCTACAAATTGTTGCAGTCCTGGCGGCTGGTTTAGCAGCGACGACACGGCGGGTGAACAGGTGTTGGCACCGTCCGTGTGGCGGTGTCCTGACCCATGCTTGCGGAACTTTCTGCTCACCGGTTAGCTGCAGAGTGAACTACAAAGAAACTTATGTCTGCCACAACCACCTCAGCCAAGGTTGTGATGGCCCACAATGTTCCTTGGTCACACGTCGAGAAGACGAGACATATGTGTGGCAAGCACGGGAGTCGAAAATGCATCCCAGCACCGCAGCGAAAGATCATTACTATTCTGGAATTCTATGGGATGTTTTCTCGTGACTGACCGATATGGAAATGCAGCAGATGAGAGGTGCTAGAGTCGCTACATAGACTATGTTTGAGAGTCACAACACTTCATTCACCTTGTTGCTTAAAATCATTGCCAGTTATTGTCACTTTCTTTGACATTGCAGGAAATGCTTTTCCATCCTTCACAAATGTTCGAACAGTTCGCGACAAAGCAAAACGACGTTGACCAACCTTTTCAACGCCGTAACTAAACCTCTTGAAGGTGCGCCTTGGCATCCTAACTATAGCCAACTGTGCCTGTTTTGCACTAGGCGGCATCCACGAGACGGTCGGGGAATGCAATGCCCGTACCCTCCTCGTGGCTCGTCCAGCGGCTCCAGCAGGCGCCGTTCGTAGACATCAGAACGTTCCGGGAGTCACGCCGGCAGAAGTGTAAAAGTCGACGTCGACTCACAAAAAAGTTGAGTAATGACCCCCACACATCCCACTCACCTCGAGCACGGCCTTGCTGGAGCAGTACGACATGGAGATGGCGTTGTTGCGCTGCCGCTTAGACAAAGAAGCCCCCGCCGTCGACGGGAGCCGGGCCCTCTTGAAGGCCCCCTCCACGGCCCTCTTGGGCGAGGAGGGGGCGTGGAAGGGGGGCCCCAGACCTCCCACGGAGGTGGCCACGGGCATGAACGAGGGCATCGGAGGGCCCATGGCGCACACGCTGTCCCTCCGGGAACGCTTGCTGCTGTGGGCAGGCATCCCCAGCTCCGCTGCCTCCAGGCTGTCCCTGTAGGCTGCGGCCGCTGCCCGTTTCCTGAGGAGAACCGGCGTTGGGGTGAGCAACTCCCAAAAAGAGTGCTCGGAGTGATACGGAACAAAGGAGCTGGTGCACTAGGGACTTTTGGTAAAGAAAAACGACGTGTCTGCTACAATTACATTCTGGAATTCTCCAACTCTTTCGGGCTTTCCCCAACCAAATTTGACCGAGCATCCCCGACTAATTTACGAGTGAGAAGGAAGCTAGGGCTATCCCCCACCGAAATGTTGCGTCCGAGTTTTCCAAATACAGGAATCGATGAAAGCGTGTGCTGAAGTTCAATTCTAATCCTGGATTTCTTTGGCTCGTGCAGCGCTTTGCTTGTATTCCTAGACAATCCCAGTTCTTCGGTGTTTTTTCTGCTGGCAGAAACCGTGCAAAGTATCGGTACTTCTTCGACCACATATTTCTTGGTTTCTCTTTTTTTCATTCTCAGCAAACGTAAGAAACAACTCAAAGCAGAAGAAAAAATACAAACAAAAGCAACCACGTATTGCTGAGTAAATTCAAGAGATGTACATGAAAGCCAGCTATTGTTCTTTTTTTTAAAAGTACCGGAAGGTACATTTAGGGTGCAGTAGGAGGACTTCTGAAATGAGTGAGACAGAAATATGACCCAAAATATATCCGAAGGACTACTTTCTGCACAGAGCACCGTAATTCCCCTCTCAAACAGTGCCCTAAGGATCCTTTTCAATAAATGCTCTTTTCAATAAAACGCTAACTAGCTAAAGGAGGTGCATTTACACAGCCAACAAGATGCCATTTACCTGTAATGCTGACTGCACTAGGGCTGACCACCAGTAGCTGAAACCGAAACTGAATATATTGTTCTAATTATTTTAACACTGCAAAACCTTAGAAGTTAGTAATGTTTTACAAACTATCTTACTAACAATTTTTAAACAAATAAAATTCAAATTCAAATAACAAAAATAAAATTGAAGGAAGCTTTCTTATCACAACCGGGCTTCAGCTCATAACTGGCAGAATTCTTTGAACATGTCTGGCAATCGCAAGAGAATACAAAATTGAGTGTTTGCTTTAGTCCCCTAAGTTTACCTAAGTTTAATGCTTACATACCAGAAATAAGTGGAAGAAAAGTGAGCATGCAGGTGAGCTGGTCCGACACCGTCTCTGAAGCAGTTTAGTTTTAATTTAATTAACTTTTAAATTTTAAATATATATATATATAAAAATAAAATTTAAAAGACTTTAATTAACAATGAAAGCCTTGCCAGGTGAGTTTTTCAAGGTTGCAAGGCCAGGGGGACAAAATGGATGCCCCAGCTCGCCTGCAATGCCATTGGAGCCTAGTGTTGAAAGTACTCCCTTTGTATTAATGGCGGTTAGCGAGCTTCTTTTTGGGAAAAAGGGCATTTATGGTGCCATGTGGCACAAACTCCTTCATTGGGGGGAAGGTATTTCTACTAAAGAAGATTAGGAAGTTCGTCTGACAAGGGTGTAGATATCTTGAGACTGCCAAACTCTCCATAACATTGCATATATTTCCCATCTTCCCAAACACTGCAAGCAACGGATGTAAGTGCCCAGTCTTCTATTATGCCAATGTGGCAAGGTAAAGAAGCGATGGTGACATGCAAGTCTGTGTGCTAAAAGTTAGCGGGTAAATTTCCTGAGCTTTGCAGTGGTTAAATTTTGAAGGAGAAATCCTTACATGTCCTATTACGCGAAAAGGCGTTGGTGTTGTGCCCGAAAGATGGTCATAAAAATATGTCATCAAGCATGCGCCGCTCAAGGTCAAAGCGGATGCACCTCAGAAATAAAACACAAAGAAGAGCATAGCAACGCAGATGCTTCGTCACGGAAGCCGTGATGCCGGCAAGGGCACCGTGACTGCCCAGTGGGGGAGCGTGATGTCACCACCGGACCTGCGGGACTAGAATGCTTTCACATTCCTATAAGTAAGCAGTCTTAAGTGTCTTCGGTGTGTTTTTTATTTGTTTATGCACTGCTGCAGATATAGTTTGTCTATCAACTGTAAACATCAAGCTGCCTTTGCTATAACACGAGAACTGTGGTTTTACCTACATCAAGAATAAGGAGTTCTTAATTAGATTGTACTTTACAACACAATAAGGTGAGGAGAGAATTTCTCTCTCCAGACTGTTTTAAGAGCTTGGCTCCATTGCAAATTCAACCTGCCATGCATAAGAAGACATCCAGGGATGTAAACCAAACTGACCTTCTCTCCTTGAGAGCCTGTATGACACTCTCTGTGGAGCATGGATCCTGCTTGTCGATGTCCCCACAAGTGGTCCGCTGCTGGCTGCAACAATGGAGACAACAAACCATGTCACACAGCATGCTCGGGCTTGTGCTCGAGTTACGACTGCAATCTCTAAGAACTCTGGAGGGTTGTCACCAGAGCCTGTACAGCTGGGCAGAGATTGCTGCTTTCAAAATTTGGTGCACCTGGCATTTCCCATATGTGACTTAAAGGCACACTAAATCACTTTATGCGATAGTTTATCTATGATCATACCTCAATCTATGGGCTCTAAGCGTCCTAAAAATCCAAACATTATATCCACGCATATTGATTCCCTTCAGAACTTTCAAAGACACCAGAGGGCGCCGTCACAAGGAAGGGCAGGCAGAGCCGTGTATACAGAAAGTTTGGTCAATGCAGGGATGGAACTGGGCAAAGCAGCTTTGGAGCAATCTTGGGAGCAGAAAAAAACTACACTTTGGAGCAGGCTGGAAGCAGCAAAAACGAGGTCTTAGAGCAAGTTGAAGCAGCATACGAGTTTTAAGAATGTTAAAATAAAGGCTAAACGTTACCTGGTTTTTAAAACTAAAGAAAATATGGCATGCAGGTAACTCCATGTGAACTCAACGGTAGTAGTTTCAATAAACTTTCTAGGTGCAAACATTTTTCACAAAATTACATGCAAGTTACACAAAACATACGAAGCAAAACTGCACATTACAGTGTGACAAGTGATAAAACCGACTTGCAAAGAGGTAAATATAAACAAGCTCAAATAGCTTCCATTGCTCAGCATTGACTAGTAGGCTGTACCAAAAAATAAAAATGCAAGTACAAAAATGGTCTTCCATCCTTCAGTGACTAGAATAAGATAATAAATGCCTGGTAATTCGTCAATTACTCACAGATACACTTAACGTTTTTGAGATTCTGAGCCAATTTCACATTATAGCCTCCGCTAACAGCACTTATCCAGACTCAACCTTCTCTATCTCCTCTTTTTTCAGACCCGACTCAATCAATGACTGCGCATGCTCAATCGTTTATAATTTCAGTTTGAGCGCACCTTGGTGCAATTTTGTTCTTATTTATACTTTTGTATCAGTGTGGCGCATGAAAAGTTATTTGGCGCACAGTGGCGCAATTGGCGCAGCAGTTCCATCCCTGTCAATGGGAGGCGCAGGCAGAACCAGGGCGTGCACCAGACGCAGAAAGAAGGCTTGGCATGCTCTCTTGGCCAACTAGAAGCCAAAAAGGATCCCCTAGCGGTGGTAGCGAGAAACAGTTTTGGTCATTTTAATAAGCGCGTAAGAGTTAAATGTAGTAACCCTTTATGGTTGAAAATAGAGTGCACATTATTTTTCGATCATGATCATGCAGAAAGATGCAAGAAACGAATGTGCCGCTCAAACTCCGGTTTGCTCGGACAGAGTGTGACCGCCCGGACGTCCGATTCCCGGCCCTCGGCGCTTGCCGTACGGATTATGTTGGTCGTTCTGCTAGTCGCACTCTTCAACAATGATTTTGGATGACCATGATTCAAACATCACGTGCACCATATTTTCAGTCACTTAAAGTTACTCCAATGCACTTATCAAGTTTGTTTCTCGCGACCACCGCCAGGGTATTATTTCCGGCTTCTGGTTGGCCACATTCAAATTTCTGAAGACGCTCTAGAACACGCCCAGCCCGCTTTCAGCCAATGGGGCTCCTCATTTCTCTCCTATACTTCCCAACGAATGGCCAAATTCTTTACATATATGGCTCTGAGAGCAGGGCTCTACCCTTCCCTAGAGTTCCTCGATATGCTCCCCCGAAGGGGGAGCACAGTTGCGCATTTGTTTTCCCCGCGCCGCCACGCTGCTATTCGCCGAGATCCATCACGTGAGGAGCAAAGCATCCGGTGCCGTGTAAGAAAGCCACCTTTACGGTCTCTCCGCCGACGTTTCTCGCGCCCCGGCGTATGTTCCCCTGCTTTCCGCCTCCTCTTCTTTTTCTCCTGGCCGCTATTCGCCAAATTTAGTCACGTGAGGAGCAAAGCATCCAGGGCATGCGGGAAAGCCGGTGCTACGGCCACTTGCCGAGGCTGAATGCGCAACTCTGCTACCGTAGGTAGTTATATACAGGAACTCTACCCTTCACCGTCTGATGGCGCCATCTGGTGCCAACCTTTTGATACATATTTTAATAAAGAAATCAACCACGCATGAATGTAACGTTAAGTTTCTTAGCCCATAGATTGAGTTATGATTACAAATATATTATTGCAGAGTGTGGTTTAGTGCCTCTTTAAACTAAACATCCGTGAGTAATTTAATAAGCTTCATTCATTAACCGATGAAGCCAACAACACCACTCAGCCATTAATAGAAAAGCCACAGCTTCTGGCTTCCAGATACCAATGCCACTGCTTCTGGCTGCCAGATACCAGAGCTGAAAGGCAGATTATGATGGAATCAGGCAACAATGGGGGTGCACAACTGGCCAACTAATGTTTAGACCACAATGTAAGAAAGCTCAGGTGGAATAACTCCGCCTCTGTAGGCATCAAACTTTCGTCCCTGTTTCTCATGTGCACCGTGCCACCCCATGGCGCCACACTCTTCAAGGTCTACGCAAAGCCGTCTGTTATGCGCAAAGTAAAACATTCCGTGATTGCAATGGAGCTTTGCACGAGTTAAATCGAAAGGGACATTTAAAGTGTGGGACTCTTAAGCGACGGTGAATATTCCTGATGCTATATAAGGCTATTAAACGCCCTAAAGAAGGGTTTCTGGTTGGTGCAATTTTCAGCTTTTGTGTGTATGGTGTGTGCTTCCTTTCTTTCTGAAGTGAGATACACATACGTGCTAAGCTGTTGAGATCACCTGTGCTGGACTGCAGAATAGTAAATGTAGGAGTGTACACAAAGCAGGCCCTTAATTCAAGAGCAATACCGGCATGCGGAGGGCTCGGAGTCGAGCAAAGGATAATACAGTGAAGTTCTGTTGTGACAATGGTACGCTATATAATATTAAAAGGCCCCACATTAAAAAAGAAAAAGACACAAGTGCTATTTTTTAAGCGATATATACTCATAGAGCATACATACACACAAAATACGTAAAAAATGCTTGTGGGTGGCAAGCTACATTTTTTTAATTGCATCGATGGAGTTCACTTGCTGACAGTGAGGGCTCTAAATTTTGGCCAGGATGGTGCACAAACGCAATGCAGCAGAGACACGGCAGAGCTATGCTTCACTCTATGGATAATGCTTACTTAACGGAGAACCTGTTTGTTAACGTAACAGAAATTAGACACCCGTTTATTATCTGACAGGCAAAAAGTAACGATGCACTACTCTTCCACTTCCAGAAGTAAAACTGAGCGTGTTACAAATATTATTCACCAAATAAATATACCTAAAGGCCCGTTCACACTCTTGCGACTGCTTGCGACCTCTTAAAACTGGGTTCCTTAAAACTTCTTAAACCAGAGAACACACTGGCGCCATCTATTGGGAAGCAGTGTAAACTCGGCGGTCCGGCATATTTTTTTTAATTTCTCGCGCAATATCCTTTCTTTTTTGGCTCGAAAAACTTTTTTCAATGTTATAAACGAGCCTTTCTATGGGTATTACGCACATTTGACGTCGGAAATCCCGCAAAACCTTCGCTTTTGTGAAATGCAGTTCTAGGGTCACCGCATAGATGGCGCCACAATGTCAGTGTGTCCCCTCCTCATTCTAGAAACATTTAAGAAGTTGTAAGAGATCTCGTCTCTCTCAGTCGTACTCGGTCGCAAGAGTGTGAACGGGCCTTAACAATAAAACAGTGTGAACAGCAGAATGGGTTTAATAAGATAGACATTTTAAAAGATGCCTTCAGAAACCTGTCCTGCTCTTTATACTTTCTTGCTCATTCCAGAAGTGGTCTACAGGACTGTTTCTGACAGTCTGCATAGATTTTGTGTTTTGTCAGCTCAATTAATTCAATCTTGTTTGCAATATTGAAGCATTCACATCGCAAAAGGATAACAGCCCTTGGCACCTTTTTCTTTAAATGCGTGGCATTTATATGGCCAGCCCTAGCAATTTTCGTGTACAAGTCTGGAATGTAGCCTCGATAGAGTGTGTCGCACGGAGCGTACAATCTGCAACTGCTCTCGGAGTGAAACTTTCCTTAGTGTGAGCTGGATGGCAGCAAAGCAGAGACGCACTATGAAAGCTTTTTCTTGCAGCCTTTGTGTACCACCGAAGTGGCGCAGAAGCACAGGTGACGAGCGCAACAGGTAGATTGAGGAGCAAGGGATGCGGCGACGTGGCCGTAAATCGAGAGCGGCGAGCTCAACAGCTTCAGGAAGCCAGATGTCATTCCAAAGTGGCTGACCAATGGTCCAAGTGCCAGTTCACAGACAATCTGTCCGGCGCAGTGTGCAGTAAGTGCACCAGACCATGGTTCTCGGTGGACGTAAGCCAAGACGTTCCTGTTTAGAATACCTTTGGGAAATCCCAAAAACACAGCAAAGTTGTTTTTTTTTCCTCTTGTTCTAGCCAGGGAAGCTCGGAAACTTTGTTGGCACCAAGTCCTTCGACAGAGCAGCCTTCCATGGTGCACCTATGAGGGCGTGCCCCTTGTAGACTGCTTTCCACGATTCACTGACAAATCCCGACTCAAAATGTTCCTCGCAGAAGTCTGTTCGTTGCACACTATTGCATGGCTCCATACTTTCGGTTGCTCCTCTTCTTAAGGAAGAGCAAAAAGGGAAAGAATATCTATGCACGTTTTGTATCCCGCATTTCACTGTGGCACGAAGCATTTCTTACCCTTTGTTAGCAACTTCTGGTAGCCGAAACCGACCAGAAACAAAGCGATAACCAGGGAAAAAAGCACAACGTCGTAGCCCCGCGAAAGCTGCCGCTCACGAAAGGTGGGCCTTGACGTCGGCGGCGTGCCCTTGTGGCAGGGGAAAGGACCACATGCCAATTTTCGATATGACGGCTCCCCGGGCACAGCGTCATGCTGCACCTTTACCGGAGAGCCTCCACCATTGCCAAAAGATAACATAAATAAACAATGAAGATATCTTAAGAGAAACAACATACACAGGCAAGGAAAATAAAAGTGTGAAAAAAGCACAAGTGGAAGCAATACCTTGTGTCTTTTTGCACTGTTTCATTTTCCTTGTAACATGCGCCAGCCCACTCATTTACTAGCGCTGCCACATGAAGACACGTCAGAGCAACGGAGCTTTCGTAAAACTATGCAAGCACAAGGGGTATGTGCGAGCATAGTTACATGTGTTAGCATCCTCAACACTAAGTTTTCTGAAGTTGAAATATAAAAAAATGGCACTTTGCACGTGCATTCATGAACACCTTATTTTAGTAATTCACACCCAATCTTTCATACAAGTAAGGTGAGCGCATGCAGCACATGCACTTATGTTTCCAGCATTAACCTTGGTGTTTGGGTAATTTGGCGAAGGCCTATCGGAAAAGTTTTTAGGCCAATGGGGGAACCGACGCAGACCTTGTTTTTATTTGCAACGGCATACTTTCTGCCGCATTATTTTGGAATGTTCAGCTTGTAGGCTGTAGTCGGTGACATGTCTAGAGTTCAGGGGAAGCTCCTCCCACCTCTTTCAACTCCAGTAGAGCGAACGCTGGAGAGCAAACAACCTCCTCTCCAACGTTTGCTCTGCTAAAGGTGAAAGAGGTGGGAGGAGCTTCTCCTGAAATCTAAATTCTGTCATCAGCTATAGTTATGTGATGCATCCTGCAACAAGAGTTCTCTGCAATGGTGCTCCTGCGACGTCAATTGGCCATTTCAGTGTACATATTTGCACGTGGGGAGGAGAGTGTTGCCAATATACACAAGGACACAGTGGATGCTGGCTGTTACATATATGCGTTGGCACTGGGCAACAAAACAGCAGACAAGGGGTTGAAACCTGTCAGTGCCTTGTACGCAAAGCATAAACAGACTTGTGGAGAACGTGTGGGCAAAACATTAACGAGAGGTTGAAACCAGTGAGTACCTTGTAAGCAAAACACTAACAGGTGTTGCAGAATCTGCATGCAAGACATTAATAAAGAGGTGAAAACGGGTGAGTACCTTTTGCGCAAAACATTAACCAAAGGTTTTGCGGAACATGTATGCAAGACATCAACAATAGGTTGAATCCGGTGAGTACTTTTTCATGCAAACATTAACAGAATGTCAAAAAAGAGGTCGAAACTGGCGACCACTTTGACAACGTGTTAAAGGGATTGTCCGGTCGAAACCGGAAGTACTTAAGTTCTTGCGCTCGTTACGTCGAGGGCGCCTTCATATAGACAAACGTCTTTTTTATTTTGATATATGATCTCCCGTTATTAATTAAACCTTTCATGATCCTATGTACGAAACTGCACCCCGAATTTCGCCAGTGTCAATGGCTGACATCCGTAGGTGCTGCGTGACGTCACAAAACACAAAGGTTTATCGGATGGTCGGGATAACAAGCGTTGGTCGATGGATGTCTTGTATTTTGTTTCGAATTATATAGTCTCCTAGGCCTACCCTACTGAAATACGGTTCTTATAATGCAGTTCACAAGCACGTGCAAAAAAAGTCACGCCTTTTAGCAGGATATTACTCGCAGACAGCCATAAACTTCGGGCAAACGTATGCCGTTTCGCGCAAACACAACTGCGACGGACGCCGATCGAACTAGGGGCGCTTGCAAAGCAAAGGATGCAGATTTCGCCTCTGAAGCGACACTTAGGTACACGAAGCGGCATCTGGGTACACATTTCAGCAGATCCACTGGATCGATGATGAGGCTGCGGGTTATTCCCTCAGAGGCGACGTCCACGGGTCGAAGGCAAACGGGGAACCGTTCAAATACATGTCCGACTCGTCACTTGACTTGGACGAGCTTGGCGAATCGTAGCTACGCTCCATTTTCACACGCGGGTCAAACAGGTATCGGGCTGCACGCGTGCTAAATACAACTGTTGGTATCATTTCGAGATGGCCAAGCTGTTGGTTTCGGTTTCGCTACATAATCAAGGTCTGTTCGATTCGGCCAGGAAGTTCTGAACTATAGTTGGTTACAAGTCAAGAAGGTAGCGGCAAATGCCCCTCAAAGAGAATCTTTGCATTTCGACGATAGGTTCGCGGCATCAGGATGATTTTGCGTCGGGAGTCACTGGTGGCAGCGCGCGGTCGGTATACCGGTCACCTCGAAGACGAAGGCCTGACGATAGCGTCTTGGCCAAGACAATTATCGACCGAAACTTTGGCGTCAAGTTGAAGCGAGAATCGGCAAAAAAATGCCGATTCTCGGTGTTTTTCTGAGGCCCGTTAGTGGGCGTCCACAGATACCAGCGGACAAAGCATGCAGTATTATGCTCAGCTACGGGGACATGCGAGTGCCAACGCACTAAATCCCAGACCTCTGGAATGTATCGGAGTCGTCAATATGCATCCAAGAGCAACTGAAGGCGGAGACTATCAAGAGGGCAATACCTTTCCTGTGTCTGTAAGTTAGAATATCAACACTGTGGATCCCCACATAGCATCAAAAAGAAACAATTTACGTGAACCAATATTTCAACACTCACCACAGGGAGCCAAACCTACGCGAGCAGGTGCCTAAAACGCTTTTAGAATATCATAATCAAGCAAATTCCCACCCTCGGTTAGGATCTCGATTCCGCGTCCACCGCGGGTACGTTATTATCATAAATGAGAGGAAATGCAACCTCCGTATCGGCGTTATTGTTAAACATCGCAGACATTTGAGCAAGCGCTGCGAAAAATGGCACCGCGAGCAGAAACGGACGAGCGGTTCTGCTATCGCCGTCTGCTTCTGCACGGACGCTGAACAGAGTCCGTAGCCGGTGCGAGATTTTGAGGAACTGGGTCTGAACTCGTTCAGAACTGGGATAAATTGAACGCGCCAGTGCAGCGGTCGTGCAACTTACGGTTGAATCGAATGCACCAGTTCCTGCACTGCCGAACTAGTTCAGCCAGTTCAGGCGAATCGAACAGACCTAAATTGACTGATCCGAGTTGGGCGAGGAGAGGGTGGACGTAGTTTAATATCGTTGGCACAGCATCACACCTTTGCTTACAAGCCTTCCGTCCGCTGAGAGCTCAGCTCGTAGCTTTCTTCTGTGAGATGATTGCTGCATAAGCAGGATCTCGATCTGGACGGGAACCCAGTCCCTACGCACGACTTTGCTCGTCACTGCACGTCTCGCGGAAAAGTGTGGAACGTCATGTCTTGGCTCGCATGTGCTGCCCGGTGGTTGTGGCACCCAACCGCGCAACAAAAATCTCACCCAGCCACGAAAGAAGTCGAGCACAACAAAAACGAAGCACGCTGAAGCATTCACTCGCAGGCAAACAACGAGACAAAAATGCTCGCTTTGTGTTTTGTGACGTCAGAGCTTCAATGTTGCCAACGAAAGCAGCATTTACGCTAGAATGCGATACGAGCAGTATAAATTAAATTACTCACGCAGATGGGCATATAGAATTCGGATATTGCACGTACGATGCTTCTCGAGGCAATAACAATGATATTCAATTGTTTTCTCGAATACAAAATTTGACCGGACAATCCCTTTAATGGCGGCACACGGGTTAAGCTGAGCCGGGGGCCAAGGAACCAGGGGTACTCCTAACCTGAATGAGCTGGTCAGTCTAGGCGACGAGGCCAGCGGGAGGATCTTGACCTTAACCGGCGCGATCACCTCGGGAGACGTGAAAGGCCTTGCGACGGGCAGTGGTGATTTGGTGAGGCAGATCGTGGGGTAACTGCCCACAGAGTACCTCTCCTGCTGAATGGGATACCGGCGGGTGGTCGGAGGCGCCCAATCCAACTGCGATTTTCTGGAAGCGGAAGCCACAATTACTCGGCGACACCTTTTCAACTCGCGAATTTGGCAGAAACAAGCTTTCGAAAAGCCATTTCACGGGAGAAACATGAAACTAGTTAGAAAATTTTCAAATCCGACACGCGCGCACCAAGTGCGCGGGGGTGCACATGATCCCGCTTCCGTGCTGCGCGCACCAAACTTTTATGGCGGGCAAGTCATTCATTCAAACCAGCGCTGGGACATGTCCGAGTCGGGACTGAAGAACGGGACGGGTTTACTCACCTCGCATGGTCCGACGTGAAGCTACTTTGGCACGATCGGTCGAAATAGGCGTTTTTGACGGGTGACATGAGGCTCGCGAAGCTGCAGTCGTCGTCCTTCACTTCACTTCGCGACTCACTCGACGTTTCAAATTTATTCCCGGGCACTATGCGCACGTAATCGTATGAGCTGTCTAAGGTCCGCGAGGTGCTCGTCGATCTACGAGTCGCACTGCCCTCGGTGACGAGACGCCGGGAGGAATTATGCTCCGTTTTACTTTTCCGCTCACGTTTGTCATGCTTTATTAAGCCTAGTATCCGAAGACGATGGCGAGAGTTCTCCTCGCGCTGGTGGAGGTAGTAATTCGTTACGGCCACAAAAATCACGACAAAACTAGCTACGTAGACTGTCAGTAAATCCAGGAAGTAAACGACGCACAGCACACACACACCAAAAATACAACACCGGTTAATATCGGCACTGAACATGTTTCAAAGCATCTTGCGCTCCACGCTCCACGGGAGAAATTTAGGGCCAAAGACAGCAGTCTCCATACTGAAATTTTGTGATTGGTACAAAAACCGTTACATAAAAACTTATTGATCAACTAGTTACTTTAAAACAAGATATTGATAAAAGTATCCATATATTGTAACGAATTATAAAAAAAATATACCATATATTGTTAAAATATTAGCTTTATTTACTGCGGAGTTATTCTTTGTCTGCCGCGCCAGCCGCGCTCTGCTGGCTCTGCTTTCGACTGGCTTTGTGAAATCGCGTCAAACTCGCGGTAAGTTTTCAAATAGCGTTTATGTGAACGCGAGTAGATATCTACGAGGACAATGAATCAAACATAATTAAATGCACGAAGAAATGTCTTTGACGTATATTAAATGCTTGGACATATTTCTTAAATGCAGGTGGAACGTTTTGAATCATTCCACGCAGTTGTGTTTTGAAAATTCTATTGCCTTCTTTTTGTTCGTTTTCAATACCCCCAATTTAAAATACTGCTACACAGGATTTTTATAGCGACGCTAATTTCGTTTTTGATAGCTTTTAGGCCATGTCGGACTTCGTGTTCGTCCTACCTTTGGTGAAGGATGACTTGAGACGGGCCGAGAATATCGGACAGTATTTCGTGAAAGACGTTCTGACGACTTCAGAAATCGCCAGCAAAGTTCGAGGTACGTGTTATTCACTTCTAACCGAGGTTACAACTTTCGGTGGCGGGTCCGTGTCACTAGACTACGTTCTGCTTTTTTTTTTTTTTTTTAGAGCACCTGTCGAAGAAGAAATCAGTGGGCGAATGCGACATCATCGATTCCTTCGATTTGCTGTACAGTTCTCTCGTGTAAGTTGGCACTGTTTCCGCGACACCAAAAGCGCAGAATATCACACGGCATCCTCTTACACGTGTTCGCTGTCCATGTTTCGTTTCAGAAAATTCCATTCTCTGGATGAAAAAACTGTGGAAGGGGTCTGGGAGCTCGCGCTACGATGTAAGTTAGACATTTCACCGAAACGCGTGCTGCGATCCAACGAAAATATAAAATATCGCGTCTCGATTTTCTATATCCGGTGCGTGTTTTAAGATAGGCTGCACTCGGAAATCCAGTACAGTGGCGTGCAACTGACATAGGAGCTGCGGGTATATTAATCGTGGAAAGTGTTGCGCAGCACGTGCATTGGGGTGAGATGAAGTTGGAGTGAGCCGGTTTTCGGAACCGTGGCCCGTGCAGTGCTCTGTGCCCGTCACCGACGTGCTGGTGCCGTCTTTAAGACCCCCTCGCTTGCCCGACCGCCCCCCCAGGCACGTCCAAGGTGGAGTCCGAGCTCACGCTACTCCTGGACGACTCGGACCAGCCCCCGAGCGTCGACGCGCGGAAGGTCGCTCGGAACCGGCTCAAGATGGCGTGCTACGCGCTGTGCCAACTTGCCGACCTCGTCGAGAAGGAGGTCTGCAAGCCCAACCTGGATGTCACTCTGGTGGCCGGAAAGGTGAGGCCTTCGCTGTGCAGAAACAAAAATTTAACACTCTTCTCTTTTGCTTAAATACAACCCATCGGGTACAAAGACTTTGGAAACATGAGTCATTGATACAAAAATGCTGAAGAAAGATGTTTTATAAACAATTAGCAAATTTCACCTAGTGGATGCCCCCCTTCGTTGGAAGGTTTTGTCATCATTGGCCTCGTAAGAGTACCTGCACCACAGAGTATGGCATCTGACAGTCAGTGGCAGGTTAAAAGTAAAATGAAAGCACCTTCCACCTCTTTTCACTTTAGCAGAGCGAATAGTACTGAGGAGGTCGCCTCCTCTGTTAAAATGTCACCGACTACAGTGTATACACATTTCCAAAAAATACTCAACAACAGGGGCAACAAACCGTTTTCAAGCCCAGTCACTGAGTTTGAGGCTAGATTCTCACCGGCGTCCCTCCTAACCCTAACCGAGTGGACTGTGATTTCAATAGGCGCAGTTTCAAACGCTGCTGGCGGTCTTTTCCCGCTATATTTTGTGTTTCATGGTACATGTATTTTCCTGAGGACATTGAGAAAGCATTGTACCACATTTGAGAAAACAAAAAGCAAAAAAAACTAAACTATTTTTGTTGGGTATGCGCACGACAGAACGAATGCGACTGGAATGTATAAGTACAAAACGAGCGTGTTGGTAACGGTAATTAGACATGAGGAAGATACATAGAAAGGGGGGACGGACAACGAAGTTCTAGTTATTTGTGTTTTTTCTTACGATAAGTTTTGACGGCACCATGGGATTCGCCGCATGTGAAATGACAAAGTGCTTTGCTGTCAAAAATAAATTGCAACAGAAGAGGGCCGAAAGGCATGCATTTTTCACGCTTACAAGTAATGTGTTTACCGATGGACAGGACACGGACATACAATTGAGGAAGTGTTAACATTCAAACAATATATCGTACGAACCACACGATGCAGCTTTATCCGAAAGGAATTTATTTGAGAAAGATCTCAAATAACACAGTCACAGTCGACGACAGTCACTTCTTGACGATCGGACGGAATCCAAGATGACTTCGTTTTGGGGCACGTTTTGGGGAGAGCTTCCTTTTTTCACAACCGCACCAAGGCAAAGGAAGGAACATGACTGACCCATTTCCCACCCGAATCCAAACAACTATTTTTGGAGAGGACAGGGGATTCTCTGCGGATAATCTGTAAGAGGGGGGAGAACAATGTTTGCGTCGAGGGTCGTTCGACGTCCTTCACCTTCTTCGTTTCCCATGAATGTAAAGCAGAAAAGCCTGAATGGCAGGCACTTACCAGCCTTATTTCTCACAATCGAAGATAACACAGAAAGCGTACGCGGCACGCATAAAAAATATTAAGTGGAAACTTTGAAGAGGGACGAGAAAATGTCGAATGCAAAACTGCAAAAAACGGGTCTTCACAGTCCAAGAGATTGACAGAAAATTGCTAGCTGATAGAGGGCGCGAGAGTCTCACCAGCCGCATCAGCAGCGTGGCGGCGGCCTAGGAGCGTTTTTTGGAAAGGTGTATAGCAGGGTTGGCCAGGCTGACCCGGCCGAAGAGCCGCAAACAAAACCACGAAATTTCCAAGAGCCGCGGGGGGAGAGGGAGGGCAAACTTTCGTTCGGAGCAGTAAACGAAACTTTAACTACTTTCAATCTATCCGAGTCAAAAACAGTCCAACTGTACGTAACGTAGCAGTAGCAGAACACTACCAAGTTGCAATTTGTCTTTCCATTTTAAGCGCGTTATATTTCTCTTTTTGGGGAAGTGCTCGTGTGACCGGGAGGGAGGCGGGCAAGTGAGAGGGTGGGAGCCGCGAGCCGCACTTTAACACGCGAAGAGCCGCATGTGGCTCGCGAGCCGCAGCTTGGCCACCCCTGGTGTATAGGAATCGGACCTGTACAAAATGGGGAACTTTGATCATGTGCGCAAAGAGTGGCATCATTGGAAACAATATTACAAAAAAAATTTAATTGAAATAAAAGACGGCCTGTTTTAATAATGCGTGCTCGTATTATTGCTGAATTTACTCGATGACATTTAAAAATTTATAGAAATTATTTTGTGACAATAAACGAAACTGAAGTGGTACCAGTCGACGGCATGTGTATAGACATGCAGGCATAGAGTATATAATATGTAAAATGTATAATGAATCCTAAGATACAAGACTCCAAATATGTCACCAAAACGTCAAAGATGCAATGGGGGGCGTTTTTTATTTCTAGCCTAAAATATGTCTTAGCAGTTTAATTTTATTTACAAGAATAATTACTGCGAGTGTTATCATTTTTACATCTTTTTTTAACAATTGACAGAACTGGTTACAAGAATCAAGCAGCCTAAATGTAGCATTTCATCTTGCTCCACCTCAGAATGTTTGTGGAGCAAACATTCTGAGGTGGACCAAACAACAGGACGGCTTGACCGAATAACCTCGTCGCTTGACTGCAATCTCGCTGCAAGCGAGTCGGCGCAGCTGACTGATATCATCATCGTAGTAATAATCTTCGTGTCGATGTGGTACTCTACACACAACCGCAGGCAGCCTGCAGCATGAGCACTCCGTGAACTTTTTGATGGCAGTGGAGATGGTGCAGTCATGCACTTGTTCAGTCCTTGGGTGCCTTCACAAAGCGAGTTCGTAAGGCGTTGACGCCACCGATTGGCAAAGCTCATAACTACGGTACACTTGGTGTAGCCAGACACGATGATGTCACGGGCATGCCGGACCTCTGGAGACAGATCGCGCACTCTTTTATGGATCATTTTGAAACACTCGCCCAAATCTGGCATTAAGAATGGAAAATGTAGCCGTCCTCTCGAAATACAACCTTGCGATTTTGCTTTGCAGGTTCTATTGATCCTATTGAACTTATGTCCAAACGGTTTGCATGTATTTTAAATTTAGATTCAGTCTCCAGACTTTTGTGTTCAAGTGTGCTCAGGTGCATTGCGTTCCTGTGTAACCGCTTGCAAAGAGCCAACACTCCGGCACCTTCTTTTGGGTAGCCCCGGATCTCTCGTTTATTTAATTTTGTGATTTTTTATGCGTCATCCTTGGAAAGGTGATACAAAATATTTTCAAATCAACGCCATTATTATTTTTTTTTTTTTGCGAATCGAGAAAAAGAGTTGTACGAGGATCTCCTTTGGGGTTTCGGTATAGTGGTCAGTAGAAATGACTAGGCTCGAGTTATTAGTGCTAAAAGATATCCAGGGATAATAAAAAATCACAAATGTCTCATTTTGCCCCAACTCCCGGCGCAAAAGGAAACGCATTGTGAAAGAAAAAAATGAAAGCCGTTTACAACTCCCTGTAACGCCGAATTAGAGCGCAGCTCTTGAGGAGGAGGAGGGAAGGGTACTGGGGGGGCGGGTCAAGTTAGAGCACTGCACGGGCCCGGGCCAGCCCGAAAGCCCGAGCCCGGCCCGGCGGGCCGGGCTCGGGCCGGGTAGCACATATTTTCTCGGGCCCGGGCCGGGCTCGGGCTTGAACAAAAAAATTCTCGGGCCGCGCTGGCCCCCGGCCCGGGCCGTGCCTGGGCAATCTTGTGCCGTAAATCATAAATTGTTGTTGATAGCAAGAAGTTTGCTCATTAGTCTTTTAGGTTCATTGAATACAAAAAAAAAGCGAAGTGCAAATTCACTACAGCGTCATTAAAAATAATAACTAAAAGAGGTCTTGAAGCTAGAAAGCCTTCAAGCTTTTTCCGTGTGAGCGAGGGTTCAGTATTATGAATTGTAAACAAAATAAAGTCCCAGTCATATGCTTGTCAACCTGTCTGATTCATCGCTCTCAAAAATATCTAGTTCACTATTAGAAAGATTTAGAAAAACGTACGCAAGCGCTTTGGGTACCGTAAAGATAGCGTTGCGATGTAAAACCTATGGCGATGCTAATTTTAGCTTGCCCGAAGTGCTTGAGTATGTTATTCTAAGACTCTTGCACAGAGCGCGACACTATATTAGTGCGAACAAGCAATCGTCGTGTTTTTGTCTATCTCATAGAATCAAAAGGCTGTTTTCAAAACTATTAGTGTCTTTAGAAGTGCTCATCTGGGCCACAGACCTAAGCGGTATACTTTGGTGCCTACTAACACCATTTCGAAAAGAGCCAACGTCGTGTTCGCGGTATCAGTGTCGCGCAGTGTACAATCCGTTTCGCGCTTGCACGTTTTGGGGTTATCTTGAAAAAAACGTTTTAAGGGGTTAAGTAGGAATATATTAAACTTAAGCTTGCCTGAAAGGGTTGTATATTTTAAGAACGTGTTGACATGTAAAGCTGCTTCAGAACATATTCTTAAACAGAAAAGGTGCGCAGACCAGGCTTAGAATGATGGAGACTTTTTGCGAAGAGGTTGCAATGTGCAGGGCCTTATAAAAGTAGGTTGAAACGGGACGCGATCAAACGCAAAGGGTATTTCGGAAACTGGTTCAAATAAGAAGGGCGTTTAGGGAATAGGTCGAAACAGGACAAATTCAAACGAGAAGGGCGTTTAGGGAACTGATCGAAATGGGATGGGTTCGTATGGGAAGGGCGTTTAAAGAATGAGTCGAAACAGGGCGAGTTCAAATGGGGAGCTCGTTTCGGGAACGGGTCGAAACGGGACCGGTTCAAATGGGAATGGGTCGTTTCGGGCTACAGCCATCGGGCCGGGTCGGGCAGGGCCTAGAAATTAAAAATTCTGTCGGGCTCGGGCCGGGCCCGGGCCGTGTCTCTTCCGGGCCAAGTCGGGCCGGGCCTAGAAATTAAAAATTTTGTCGGGCTCGGGCCGGGCACGGGTTGTGTCTCTACCGGGCCGGGTCGGGCCGGGCCTAGAAATTCCGGCCCGTGCAGTGCTCTAGGTCAAGTGACCTCGGGGGGCAGGGGGTCACGTGACCTTGGGGGGGGGGTCATGTGACGTCGGGGGGGGGGGGGTCACGTGACGATGTTGATGACGTCATCAGTGACAATCACGATGCAGATACCGATGACGTCATCAGTGATGATGACGATGACGATGCGGATGCCGGTGACGTCATCAGTGACGTTACTGATGACGTCAACGGGAATTCACATGACCTCGGGGGGGGGGGGGGGGGGGGGGGGGGGTATTCCCAGGTCACATGACCCGGGGGGGGGGGGGGGGGGGTCACGTGACCTGGGTAACCATCGTGACCCTTGTGAGGGTAACCCTAGTAACTTCTGTGACGACAACTCTTGTGACACTCGTGAGGGTGACTCTCATAACCCTCGTGAGGGTGACCCTTGTGAAGGTAACCCTTTTGAGGGTAACTAACCCTCGTAACCCTCGTGAGGGTTAGAAGGGTTAGTAGCCCTCGTGATCCTCGTGAGGGTAACCCTCGTGAGATTAACTCTCGTAACCCTCACGAGGGTTACGAGGGTTACTCGCGGTTATGCCGACGGTGACGCCGCTCAAGCCGGGAACGGGCGCCTAAGAGCTGCGCTCTACAAAAAAAAAAACAGCTCGGCTCTTGCATTTGGAACATTTGAAGTATACTTCGTGGATCCGTACGCAATCTTCCATTTTTTTTTTTTTTTTTTTTTTTTGGCTTTTTGGCTTACTTTTGGCATTGCATGCATTGAATCCGCACAGAACGGGGCACTGTTTTGCTTCATAGATATTTGCACACCAGGCATTGCCAGTCACATTTGGCGCTCTTTGCGCAGTGTGCAAAACGCTTCCGTTTTGCCAGCTCGTTCAGTGAACGCAGAATTGTCGGGTTATCTCCTTCACCGTGAATAACTTCCCCCTCGGTTTCATTTGTTTCACGGTAAGTGTAAGCTATCCATTGCACACCCTTGTACTTAAAGGGACCTTGCAACCATATTTAAGTGTCTACCTTTTTTGCGGTTTCCACGTCTTTTGGGGTTCAGGCAAGCCAGCGGGCACGGAGAGAGTAACTAAATATCAGTGTGTCATATTTTAACCGGACGACGCAGAAAACTTCTCCATCTACGGGGGCGACCCGCGGTGCCGAGAGCGCGCTAAATGTGAAGTCTTTGGTCGTGGGCTTACTGCTGGTCAGAGCTGCTAAAAGTTTCTTTTAGTCGCAATACAAAAAATAAGTGGCGCAAACTGTTTAAATTATTTATAAAAACAGTTTTTGTTCAGTATTTTAGATCAGAAAAAAAACAAATGCAGTTTATAAAGTATAGAAACAAGAAATGACCCTTTGACATACCCGCCACCAAGTGGTGGAAAAGGCGGCGCATACTAGAAAGGTGTACTGGGATCAGGCACATACGAGCGGCGAGCGTAGAAAGGTCCCGGATGTATGCAACGGTGCTGCGCGAGGATCGAACTAGCTCCGAGCGTTCCGAAGGCCTTCGGCAGGAATGTTTGGCTTTCAGTTTGGCGTTATGGCAGTGCGAAGTGGCTCCCATTCTGAACCGATCTTTACCCCGTGTTTCCTGTCGTTTGTGGCCAATGAAGTGTCATGCCAAATTAGTGTTTAATCGCGCAGCAAATGCAATGCAAGCCGCCCTGGCTGCCCGCTTCATACAGCCTATCCAGAACATGCTTTGGTGGCACTCTCTCGAGCTGTCGACACAGAATGCAGCAGTCGTGAGCGCTCGCTGAGCTTACTACCCCTCCTCTAGTTCACGGCCACTCAAGCAACCAAGGACGTCATGAAGGAGGCTATTTTTTGCTTGTTTTTGTAATTTTAATTTGCCTATAACTTCTAAAATAAAGTGAAATTCGAAAAAAAGAAAAGTTTCATTAAGTTACTACGTTTAATGCGCTCAGGTTCGGTGCTCAGGTCGTCCGCTCTCTCGTCGCAGGGCCGGAAGAAGGCGGCTCCCAAGAGCGCCAAGTTCGTGGAGTGGAGCTCGGAGAAGGTGAAGGCCCTCGGTTGCCTGCAGAACCTGTTTGAGCTGCACCTCCAGCGCCTCTGGTCCCCACAGCCCGTCGAGGAGGAGTTTATCAAGTGAGCTTTACTTGAGAGATAAGTCGAGGCAACGTAGGTACAATGCCCAGGACGCATTTCCGACTGGTGCTGTTAACGCGTTCCAAAAAGTGGCCCCTCAATTTCCGCCGGACGACACGACGGCGACAGTCGTGTCGGCTCGTGCTTTTCGCCGGAAATCTGTGCCCAACCGCCGGGGTCCCGACGTCCGACAGCATGACGCTCTGGGTTTTGTGACGTCGTCTGTTGCCACTTCGGGACCTTTTTGGATGCGTGAGCGGAATAGGATGCCAGACACACTGGTCGGAAAGGCGTTGCAGGCACCATAACCTAGGCATAGACTATTTAAGGGAAGCCCCCAGGGTGCAGATTGGCGCGAGAATAAGATGGCCTCCTCCTGAGACGAAGTGCAACCCGCCACTTGTAGGAGGCACTAAAAGAATCTGCCCGCTCTGGGCTTCAATCCCGGTACCTCTTGAAGATTGTCGGAGCGTCCTACGAATGAGCTTGACGGTAGTTGGCCGTTGGTAGAGTAAGCGGACCTTCACAGCAGCTTACGACCGGCTGCGCAGCAATGCAGCCGGTTGTAAGCTATCGCAGGAGGCTTAAAAACCGGTCTTGTCTCGGTCGGTTGTAGTCAAACACAGTAGTTTGAACAGGCTTTACCGTTAAGGTGGAGAAGGTTCACGCGCGAATTGTCTTGTGTAAGTAAACTCATTCTTTTCCAGATCTTGTCCACTTTGGGAGACTTCCCATAAATTATTAGCATCTAATAATTATATCTCGAACGGTCACCCTCGTCATCCGTTCGATTAAGAGGGGGCAACTTTCAACATCCATGATTTGCCCTACCAACAGCCAATTCTCAGTTTGCTCAGTTGGTAGAGCGCTCTGCTACACTGAGGGGTCGAAGCTCGGATGAGGCGGATCTTTTTCAGTGGCACGCCGGTTGTGGAGCATGTTTCTTTACCATCTTGTGAATCGGTACCGGGAACCAGTATTTAAGCATTAATCGATGATGCACATTTTCGGTTCAGCCTGGTGGCTGACTGCTGCTTCAAGCTGGTGGAGGACCCCAGCAGTGCCAAGACGGCCGGCGTGAGGGAGGCTGTGACAGCGATCCTGGGCCTGAACGTCAAGAAGCACAGCTATGGTCTGGGTGAGCGGGCTTCCCTTCCCTCGTCTTCTTATCAGTGATGCGATTGCTGCCCCACTTGTGCCAAATTGTGCCAAAGTACTTACCCCGCCAGGTCTTGCTACATTTTGCCAAAATATGATGAATTTACGCCAAGGCGTGAATTTACTTTATTATTACTAAAAATAATAGCTGAGGCCCCACTACATGGTCAAATTGTTACGGTAGGCTTGTGCAAAGTTTCAGAACCTTTGATTATTGTCTCAAATGACGTACTGCTCGATTTGATATCTGTGTCAAACGTTGACAGTACTCTGAAGTCTTGCCACATTTTTCGTGTTTGTTGTCTGTTCTGGCGGGTTAGTTGGTTTCATTGAGTGCACCTCTGTGCACTGCAATGAAGTGGGAGCCGTGAAGTAGACGTAGCGATTTTGCATATCTTGCTTTACCACTGCACACTCGCGCACTAAAGGGAAACGCTCCTCTAGAATGGAACGTCGTACATGCCAATGTCAGTCAAGTATATTTAAAAAAAAAAAGAAAAATAAAGCTCGGTGTTTGTTGATGTGTTAACTCGACCTTTCTGTCAAAATTTCTGGATAAAATGGCGGCTGGTATTTATAACAAACAACAATATTCTGGCGATTTTTCTTTTTTAAATTTGAGATTTAGCGAGGTTACTTGGGTATTCTGAGAAGATTTATATGGACTGTTCTCTGCATTTATTCGTTCTGTTGACTCTCTTGTACAGTCGTCACAGTTTTCCCCTTTATATAGATTCCATCTGTGCAATGACACAGTGAATAGGGTAAGTTAAAACAAAGTTAGCTGGGGCAGTGGGTGGAAATAATAACTTTTATGAGTTTGGCTGGATTTTTAGGATGTATATACAAGGTGTGCGAGGTATTTGAGAACACAACTTCAGGGTACATAACCTCTCATACGCTTACTACATCTGTCTATACATTTGACTTCACCTTTGACTACACGTAGGTCATCTATCTAGTGTATCAATTTCAAATTGGAAGCTTCCGGTCTGACACAAGAATTGAGAAGCCATGCTCTCCTGGTCGTCTTGGCCGCCGACCATAGTGATTTGGATATAGCCACTTTCTCGAATCGAGGTCCTTCGTATTAAGGTCAGAAAACAGCTTTTAGGTTCTGATGGAAACATTGCATCTGTAGCCAAGCGAAAAAAACATTTCCAGCGGTCAGACGTCTTCAGAACGGCCGAGTTTGTCCAGCAGTTCAGACCGTCCTTCAACAGTCAGAACGGCGACCACAGCAAGTCAATAAGGGCCAGGAAAACTGTCATCCAGTCCAAGCGCTTGTTGAATAAGCTCAAGCACCTTGAAGAACCGGACATGCTTTGGTTTGTTTCTAACGAGAACTTTGACCAAGACCAAAAGGTCAACAGGAGGAATGAGAGATGGCTTTATCTGAGCCCCAGTGAGGTCCATACGATCATGCTGACAAAGTTTCTGTCGTCTGCGATGGTCCTAGCCATTGTGAGCAATGAGAGTCATGTCATGCCGCTGCACTTCTTCCAACAAGGCCTTAAGGTCAAATTGAAGGCCAGCATAGGTTCCCACTCCCTTCTGTAGCACCCTTTGGGCCCCGAGGCTACTGCAATAAATAAATAAATTGAGACCCTGGGCACTGTAGTAAAGGTTTGTAGTAAAGCCTGAGGCCATACATTTTTCAACGAGACTGTGCTCCATGCCACACGGCCCACGCGCCCAAGATTGACTGGCTGACAGCCGCCACGTCACCCCTAACATGTGACCTCCTCACACTGAAGATATAAACCTACTGCACTACTATGCCTGGGGCGTCGTTGAGAGGGAGAGCGACAAGCAGTTGCACAATGTCAAAAAGTTGTTTTAAGGCTGCTGTTGTGGACGCTATGGCCAACATCAAGGACCATTTGATCAGGGCATGGAGTTGTTTTCAAAGCCACATCGCCGCTTTGAAAACAACTGCATGCCCTGATCACCTTCAGCGGTCATTGGGCGCGTTAAGTTAACGCGCTTGAGCGCGCTCCAGCGGTCAGGGTGCACTCGAGCTAAACTAAACGACATCGTCTCACTTCCGGTGCACGGTGGCGGGGCTCGCTCCGCGAGCTTTGTCGTCGAGATGGTGCGCGAGAGCTCGAACAGGTTGGTTTCCGGTGAGATGACGGCGTTTCCGCTCTCGCGGCCAGTCTGGTGGTTACTCGCGGTGGTTTCACATGGTGTTGCGCATTGTGGTGTTGTGGTGGTCTCGCACGAGACGGAAGAATCATCAAAACCCAAGCGTTTTGGGCTCCGGGCCAGGCCACCGGACCACTCTGGACCAGAGGCGTCGGGTGTGCGCAATCCCTGGCGAGCGAGTTCGCTTCCGAACGCTCCGAGGATGCCACCGCGCTCGCCTCGCCAAACCTCGCCGACCGTGACCGCACCAACCGAACCCCGCGGCTGAAAGGCTCCGGCCTAGCCAGGAACGGCACCGAGGTAGGACGGTCGTGGGTAGGAGCTGCTCGTTCTGCGCTACCATGCAGTGCTCGGAGCTCTCGGCGTCGTTGGTGCTTGCGCCGAAGCCTTTGCGGCAGCTCGTGCAATCGTTCCGTCATCGTGAAAAATAAAAAAATAAAAAAGCATGGTGCTGTTGTAGAAAGGTATGCATACATCCTTCCATAGCCTCCTTGCATCCTTCAAATGCTTGTCAAAGTTCTTCATGCCATTCAGCCGTCACTCTTTAAGGCTTTTGGGAATTTAGAAGGCGTTCGGCGTACCTCTAATCGCCGCACCAACAGCGTGCAGCACAAATACAAGCTGTTGCTGCCTTGTGCACTTATTCCATCGAAGTCATCGTCGAACAAACACTTTTTTGACATTTTGACGAGACGGGAGCCACGTTTAAGTGCGCGCTGGAAAGCCGGAACCGGAAACGTTAAAAAAATAGGCGTCAGATGGCGCCTCGGTACCAAAATGCGCCGTTAAAGGGCAACTTCGCTCAATTCCGAAGATTTCGGGATAATGATTGATTTCGAATTAAAAAGCCCTAGTAAAACACACTACGTCGTTTGCTTCGCGAAAAATGGGATATATATTTTTAAATCTGATTTTAAACACGAGCGGAAATCGAAACCGAAACTTCGGCTCCGCCCGGCAACATTGGCCTCGGGTTGCCAAGTACATGGCCATCACGTGGTACGAGATGTCACGTGATCCTCGGCCCAACGACGGGCGGGATTGGGGCGGGCGTGTGGCAGGCGCGAGTGTCGTCTGCACCGCACTCTTCGCCACGTTTTGGTGTCTACGGCATTCGACGACGTCTGCACAACTGTGGCATAAGTGTGCGCGCACGTGGTGTCCGTAGTGTGGACGAAACTCCAAGAGACAATAATCACAATCGGTGAGACGACGACGGCGTTTGTGACGTGGAAGACGGCGGTAACGGCGGGACCACAGCGGGCGGCCGGATGGGTCCCAAGAAACGCGCTGCGCAGGCGCGTTACGCCAATCACGTGGACACTGCTGAGCGCCGAGAGGCAACGTTGCTGACGTCATGCGCTACGCTCGCCCGGAGAAGTGAAAACAAGCAAAAGGGGGCCATGTAGATGGCGTTTAGCTCAATGTTGGCTCCGCCCATGCCGTAGCCTTGACTGCGCTGTTGGTTGCGCCTGAATTCGCCCGCTCAAGTCAGCCGATTTCGGCAACTTGGCGAGTTGCAAAGTTTGTCGGACCGTTTAAGAAACATTTAGACAGAACTGCGTCGTAAGATTTCACGTGTGGTCTTCCTAGGCGATACTGAAGAGGACTGCATTGTATTTTCAAAACCAAAAATGAAGCGGAGTTGCCCTTTAAGCTACGCTCCGAACCCGCGCGCTCGAGCGCAGATGTCCAGAGTCTGGAGCTCACTAACTGAATGCGCCCATTGCCGCTGAAGGTGTTTTTATCGAATGAAGTTCGAGAATACAAGTAGAAAACAGTATTGTACCAAATTCTGTACAGATACAATAATATTTCTTTGAAACATATTTTTCTTTGCTGAAGTCATTGTTATGACCTCAAATACTTCGCTCACCCTGTGCATCGTTCACATGCCGATTTTTGTTATCACGAAGTTCTACATGTGAATTGTCACCGGTGTTCATAATCAAATTACAAAGCGTTTTTTTTTGTTAATTAGTAATTGCAGGTTTATTACATCCTTTAAAATTTCAATGAGATGTCAGTTCAGGTGCTTAATATTATTCTGTTCTAACATCACTTTCCTAAAATATATATTTAGCTTACCTTTGACTCCATACCTAAAACAACCATTCACAGCAGTTTGGACTGTCCTTCAGTCAGTATGTATTGTGTTGCTGTGCCTGGTGTTTCTGTTTGGGAGTAGACAGCTGGTTTTGTTTTGAGGGAATCAGACCTGCCGTGCAATTATGCTGATAAAAGGTTGCACAGAAGCTGGAAGGCTAATGTCTTTTAGTTTGACAGGGTAACACATGAATCTTGAGCTATATTATATCCAGTGTTAGAAAAACAAATGAAATGTGTGTTTATGCTCCAAAAGTTATTTTTTCCATAGTGGACTTTTGGCTGCTTCAGAATGACTCGGGCCAGTCACATTGCTGTTTTTATCTCATTGCGACCAAGCCTCGCACTAAGCACCATAGCTTGGTCGCAGCTATCACCTAGAGCCAATACATACACCACACTCGTATTAGGTGCCAGATTTTTTGCCCTGCGTTGTCGAGGCTAGTGTACTTTCTCCAATGTTCCAACGCCGTCAAATGCTCCTTGCCGTCGGAGCGTGTGTGAAGGAGATACAAGACACGTGCTCTTGCAGCAGTGTGGGGTTGCTACACCGTGGAAGCGACACCAGCCTCGACAACAAAGCACAAAATTGTTGTCGCCATGTACGAGTAGCATAGCCGAAACCATATCTCCGCGTAGACTGTATTGCTAGTTGTCGTTGGGATTACAACTTGCAACGAAGCGAGACGTCATTGCCAAGTGTCCTAACACCGGGTCTACGATGCACCGAGCTGCGATTCAGATGGCCGTGCCAACTACGCCTCTGAAACTTTTGTGCATCGGAATGGCGGTGCCCCTTGAGCCAACAGTCCGTGTACGGTCGTTCTGAGACGGCAAGGGAAGAGTGACTGTTGTAGCGGTATTAGACATTAGGTTGATCGGTGCCAGTACTCTTTGTAGGCTTTGAGTAACTCTCATTGTAAGCTTGCTGATTGTGGGTACATACGCCGTGACGTCTTGAGAGATGGCCCACCTAAGATCGAGAGCACATCGGGGGAAAATAAGGAGTGGGCTAACTTTCAATGTTTAATCGAGAAAAGTTGAAGCTATTTTTAGATCATGTTTTTCTGCCAAACTCGCTATCACGGCGAGAGACAATGAAGCAAAGGTGACTGTACTGCTCAGTCGGCAATGTTGGCTTACGTTATGCCATGGCTAACTAGCCGCATTTACGCCGATGTCATCATTGACTCGAACACTACGATTATTAGAAGTGGGCTATCTTTCGGTGTTAAAAAAAATAGCAAATCAAGCCAAAAATGGGGTGGGGATCATCTTTCGGGGGCGGGGCTTCTCGGGATTTTACGGTAAGCAGAAATTCAGCTCATTAGGTAGGTTGTACTCCTCTGTGCTCTGTGCAGGGAAAACCATTCAAAAGGAAACCCCTTAGTTGGAGGATATAATGATGTAAGTCTCTTTTTGCAGCTTGCGTGGTGAAGATCATCCAGCTTCTTCAGACCTGTGAGCACGCGGCAGTGTTCTTTGCTGACGCCATGCTGAGCTTTGTGAGGAAGTTTGGAGTTACCCACATCGTCGGAGACACCATAAGGTTTGCCTCAGCTGCTCTTCTTCACATATTTTGATACCCCATTTGACCTACTTTCTGCAGCCTGCGTTCCTCTCCTAGCTCGAGAAATAGACCTGTTTAAGGATACTTTGACAGCATTGCTGAATTGATGCAGCAGCCGGTTCCTCCGTAGAAAATTACGCTCGAATCTAGATGTAATGAATTTCACGGGACTAGCGAAAATCGTTCGTTATTCCGAAATATTTCTGCAGTAAAGAACTTGCAGATTGGCACTGTAATAATTAAATTGCACGAAAGATAACCTACCTCCACAACGAGATGCCACTCAGTCGTTAAAAAAGCATTGCACGCAGTGGAACACTGCATATTTATTTGAGGACATCTGTAATCTTTTTTATGGTGGGCGTGGCACAAACACTGCAGGATGGATGATTCCATGTTGTCCACATTCTTGTGTAGCAGATAGGTCACGTTGGTACAGCTTCCAAGGAACATGCGCAACTTGCCGACGGCACTTGGGACATCGGAGGTGGAGACGGGTTCTTCCTGTCAGTCTGCGTGCGCTGCCTCCACGCCTTCATCGTTCTGGGTCTCCTCGCCGCTGCAGGTTTTCTTTTCGTGAATGTTGTTTAGAATATCGTCGGTCGTCAGCTCTGGCGACGCTGCATCATAATCCTCAAACTCCACCAAGGGGTCCGCGGCAAGCTTCGCGGTAATTCTTCTCCACAGTTCGCTTGCATTGTTTTCGTCTGGGTGCTTGCCAACTCTTTGGACTTGCGATTTTTAGAACACCCATTTTCAGAAGAGAAATTCATGAATCCAAATGAATCCAAAGCTTGTGCCAAAGCCAAAGCCAAAGCCAAAGCTGGTGCCAAAGCTTTGGAATGAATCCAAAGCTTGTGGCACCAGGAAATTGGCAGGAAGCCCCACCGTCTGACTTTTGTACGAGACATTGATCTCTATGACAATTTGCTGTATTGCGCTCCTTCTCCGTTAATGCAGCTACTGGAAGTTCGGAATCGGTCATATTTAGGCCCGTGTAAGTCTCCCGGGTGAGGCGTTGTAGAGCCTGGGTGGCTGCATGCTGAATGACACGTTTCCACTCGTTTGACGTCATTCGCCGAAGACGTCTTTCAAAACCCTAAGTAAACGGTCGTAGCTGCCTTTGAGATTCAGTGGAAATTTTTATGGAAGTGCAGCACCGTAGGAAAAAGGTACACCATAGGAAAAAGGTGGGGGGACCTGCTCTCCATCCAGGAAATTCGCGGCTTATCGTACTGTGAGGGATAGCGCGACACCGAACGGGCCCGTCCCGGGGATGCGCGGGGGAACGGGAGTGAAGAGGAAGAAGCGGCAGTGAAGAGAAAACATACGCGGGACTGGCCGCAGGTGACTCGAACGGTTTCGGAAGTGGCGTAGTGTGGATCGATACATAACAAGTAGGGGCTCGTCCGTTGCTTAAAATGAACCAACCGTCGGTGTTCGTGCCACCGGAGCTTCTTCAGACACTGCTGCAACAAACAGGCGGGACACTGCTACAGCGGGAGAAGATCGGAGCCCACGTTCGTGAGCTTTTGTTTGCTACTCCATTTCCTGCCGCGGAAGAGGAAGCGGTGCCTTTTGTCGAGGCGGCTGTCACTGAGACCAGCACAACGGATGACCTTGGCCTCCGTTGCTGCTGCGCCATTAAAACCTTAATCTTACTTACAACAGATGACCAGGATTCAACATGCCCACGGCTGGTCCCCGTTCAGCCCCCGAAGTTCGTTGGTTTCGGAGACTTGCAGTCGCCAGAGGAGTTCCTGGATCACCTGGAGAACTTTTGCCTCGTTCATGGCGTGAAACTCGAGGACCGGCTCAGCCGGGTTGTACCTGCAGCCCTCCAGGGAAGCGCGAAACTGTGGTTTCGGTTCACAAAGTACTTCGTTGACTGGTCAACGTTTGCTACCGCTTTCCGAAAGGAGTTCGCACTTGTTGACGAAAAGAAAGGCCTAAAACAAGAACTGAGGCTCCAAACTCAACAGCTGGAGGAGAACCTCAAACAGTTCATTTATGTTATAGCCACGTACTATGACAGGATCGGCGACGATGTGACTTGATGTGAATTGTCAAGCGGGTGTTGAAGCAAATGCACCCTCAGGTCCAAGACTTCTGTGCAGGTAACACCTTTGCGAGCCTGAAAGAGCGTCACCACAGGGTACTCACCTGCCCTTTTGTGTTCTGGGCGCCAGCTCCGCTGCCCTTGGGAACAGTACCCCGGCCAACTCCCTTTACCAACCACTGGCGCGCCGGGCTTCGTGGCAGATTTGACGTCTAGACTACAGGACACGTATGAGTTTGCTCTGGAGAACCAAAGAAAAGCACAAGAGCAACAGCGTCGTTACTACAATCAAACCCGACAGCAGTCAGAGTTCCAAATAGGTGACACAGTACTACGCGACCTGCACACCCTCAGTGATGCCAGCAAAGGAGTGGCAGCAAAACTGGCTCCAGGACGTTTGGGACGTTTTGCGGTGGTGGGGAAAGTGGGGGCCATTGGCTATCGTCTGAGGGACCAAACAACTGGAAGACTGGTGGGACTGGCACATGTGGACCAGCTTCTGAAGTTCTGCGAAGACCGACCGGACTTCGCTTTCTAAGGGGGTAGGATTGTGAGGGATAGTGCGGCACCGAACGGGCTCGTCCCGGGGATGCGCGGGGGAACGGGAGTGAAGAGGAAGAAGTGGCATTGAAGAGAAAACGTACGCGGGACTGGCCGCAGGTGACTCGAACGGTTTCGGAAGTGGCGTAGTGTGGATCAATACATAACGGTACAATGTCACCAGGCGTCTCTTGCTAAAGTAGACACCACTGATCGTTGTGAGATTCCGAAAAATTATAAAAAATATCTAAACTCTCAAAGCGCAATTAGAATGCACCATAAGCTCCTTCCACAACCCCATTGCCGCCAGCCCACATTCTTCCGAAAAGGCAAACAGCCCGCTACCAAGGTGCACGTCATGCTGACGTCTTTGGGGATCTGTACATACCAATTACCCGCAAGATGTCGGACTGCACGCAGAAATAACGCCCCTTTATCTGAGCAAGCCCAGCGATCCATTGCGGGGCCCAATCATTGTGCGCCTTTCCCCGCACTGTCTTTCTTACATGCTCACACGTCACGTCATGGCTGCTGCTTTTTACAGCAGAGCTGTTAAGGGCTAGGTTTCCCAGGATCGTGTCCAGTATCAAACAAATGTCGACACAAACCTGCACAAACCTCTGGACAGCTACCGCCGTCGCTCATAGATGGCGGCAACCTTTCCAGCTACCATACAAGAATGGATAGTTGGGCGAGTTGGTAGGAATTCATCGTAGAAAGCAGCGAAAAACAGACGAGGACGAAGAAGACACACGTGACGTGTGCTGCGCTCGTCACATCACGGTGTTCCTTCTCCATCCTCGTCTGTTTTGTGCGCTGTTTCCTGTGCTCTTATCAGTTTCGGTTTGGACTCACGATGGGTCAACCGCGTGCCCTTTTTTTTGGGAAATAAAATATGGTGCGGAAGGAGTGGCGACGTACGCAGCAGCGCGAAGGGGTTCGCAATCCCTTCGCGCTGCGAAGCCGCTGTCGCCTCGAGTTCCATTGCATCGAGTGCTTCAGATTCCTCTTTTGAAAAAAGACCACATCGCTCGCCTAGAAAGCCGTTGTGAGAACAGACTGCAGCTCCGCTGCTCTTCCTTCACCAGAGTGAAAAGGCTGAAAGTTTTTTTTGGTTGGTCCACATTCGCGCGCACCAGCGACGTGTCCCTGGCCCACCCCAACACGGTGGAAACATTACGAGGAGCAAGCATCGCACAAAGTGCGGCGCACATGAGCCTCTCTCGCAAACGTGTATACCGTAATATCCCGAGTCATTGCTGTCCCCAGTTTTTGGGCAAATATCGATGTAAAAAAAAAACAAAAAAAACTGAGTGATCACCCACCCCTACAAAATACCCTAGCGTGGGCTTCACGATTCGTGAACATTCATTCTACCCGAATGACGCGGCCGCAGACCGGACTGTTGGGTGACAAAGTTAAACGAAGGAGGGAAAAAGACTTCTCTTTGTTTACGCATCTCCTCCCCAATTTCCACGACCTCGAAGTCGTTCTAACAAGAAAAGCAGTTTGAAAGATAACATGAGCAGTAATCCAGTCGGGGATCGCAAGATCAGTGAACGCCCCATATCCTGGAATGTAACCGGAGAGTGTAAGGTTGAAATCCGTCTCCACCGAAGTAAGGCCACTGCCAAACCGCTCCTTCTCCCAGAACGTCGCAACCGCGGTTGGTAAGGTTGTGCTATGTTTAAGACAAACCCAACAGTTGAATAAAGATTTGTTGGAACGTCGTACACAGACGTTTGTAGAGTGTCCCATCTCAAGCTCCGTGTTCGTGGTGCCGTCCATGCCACGCAGCAACGCCGCCTCAACCTGCGTTGATACAGTGAAACCCGTTTAGAACGAACCCACGTACAGCGAATTATTTTCAATATCGAACTCGCGGAAAATTTAAATAAAAATGGATGTAAAAAGTATGTTTTATAACGAACAACATATTGGCCATATCGAACTTCTTCCCCGGAAAGGCTTCCAAGTAGGAAAGAAAGAAAATTCAAAAAGCTCAAGTTGCGAACAAAGTTGAGCGAAGAGAAGCGGTTCAGAAAAAAAAAAGGGGGGGGGGGGGAGGGAGAGAAAGCTAAAAAACAATCTGCACACACGCAAAAAAAAAAATTGCTTCAAAGCCTTCGCCCACGAGGAGAAGCAATGCAGAGAAATAAGCTAAAAAAAACTGAAAAAAAAAAAAAAAATCTTTTTAGCGCGTTGTTGCGAGGCGGAAGGGAAGAGATGAGAAAGAAAGAGAGTCTCTCGCCTTACAACAAACTCATCGTGGAAGTTCGTTGTAAATGTTTTTTTTTGCTATATCGAACTACTTGCTATAACGAACTGATCGTAGCGTTTTCTGCTGTTCGTTATAAGTAGCACAGATGACGCACATATGCACCAAACAAGAAATTTGCGCAAGGGTCTCTTCTTGCGACTAAGAAGGCGCCCGACTTGGCCCGACACCAAAGTATTTGCCAACGCGATCGCCGGCTTTCTCGCTTCCTCAGCATCGCTCTTCGTCGCTTCTTTCATCTGCTCGCTCATGCACCAGGTTGGTTGTTGACTTTCTTTTTTTTTTTTTTTACTAACGAAGAGAATGGAGCTGTGTTAGAAACATGCTTTTACGGTGTAGTAGTTTTAACACTGCTTAATACTGAGATTACATAGGATTGTTGGAGGTTACGTTGTGGTAATTGTGATGCTCAGTTTACGCTGTGGGAGGTCCATCCTGGCATGCTTCTCGGTAGTTGACGACTAACGAGGAGCATGCCTAGACACCACACACAGAGCAAAATGTTTGCAACGTATGTCGATCGGTGGTGTTCATTGCACGTATGCAAGCAACGGGCTTTGCGATAGCAAAACATTCTTTCCTGAGCATTTTTCGCATAAAACATTGAAACTGATTTGAGTTTTGAGTTGAATGTATTTCTTGTGGACTAGACGCATACTGAAAAATGGGCGTCTTTTTTAGCTTTTTCTAAACTTTTTGCGTTTACCGACTGAGACATGGCCCCCGCCACTTTTTTTTTAATGAATTTGCGGCGGCAGGTCGGTGAGCGATGACTCAAGGTGCTACGGTAGGAACTGCCGGTTAAGTTGGGTAAACGTATGTCGAGAATGCTAAAGGGGACGCATAAGTCAATGCGGCACTGTCGGCGAAGAAGCTGTGCTCTGGTAGGTGACGGGTAAAGAATTCGGCGGGAGCTCCGCCTGCAGCACATGCTCGTTGCCTTTTGCTGGGTTATGGCTGTTTGCGCGATAGAGTGTTATCTACCGGTTTCTTAACTCGTCATTTCCTATTGTTGAACTGTAGCTCCCTGAGCTCAGTTGATAGATTTCTATTCCGCTTCTTTTAGTGCAAAACGTGTTTGATGGGCCATTTTCTGCGAGAAAGTTGTCACGAACGCACGTCGGGAACTTGCGTTGCAAACAAATGTCATTAATTAATGAGTGACACGCTTGTTAATGACATTTGTGGGATTTCGGGAACATGTATAGCTTACGAAGTCCCACGTAAAATCGACGTAAGAAAGGCGCCCCAACGGAGCTCTAGCCCGAGTCTGTGTGGTGGCTGTCGGACACCCACGGGGGAAGATTGCCGCTGTTTCTAAAATCGATTTTCAAGATTTCGTGAGGTTGTGTGGTCGAGTCTCAACAGCCCAATCCTGGCCCGACACGAACCCGGTGCGGCAGGTCTCGCTCCCTTTACCCGTCTTCCTTCCCAACCGCAGGGGTTGAATGGGCGCGAGAGAGAATGGAAATCCTGTTTGGCTAAGTGTGACGGCATGCGTGTGCTCGGAACTCGGCGCCGTATTTAAACATTTTCTTGAAAGTGCCTAGAGGGGATTCATATTTTATAAATCATGTTTCTGTGAAAAATGCAAATTTTGACCGCAATATTTTACTCCGCACGACGTCAGACAGTTTAGTCGGTGTATAGCCACTGAGTTGTGTTTTGCATTGTATGGCTACTCTGGGAGCATCATCGGCACATTTCATTCTAAATGCGCCGGGGAGAAAGCCGCGCGTTTTGAATGAAAATGATAAAACAAAATAATCAATTAATTGAATTAACAAGTGAAAATAACAATAAAATAATAAAACAATAAATAAGAGAAGTAAGTAAGTGAAAATAAATAAAACATAAAAAAAATGACTAAAATAAAAATAAAAACAACACATTAAAAATAAATAATAAATAAAGATAATAAAAAACAAAACAAAAATGTACAAACCACATACCGAGTGGTTTGTGCCAGTCAACGGGCCTTACACAAACCGCATGTTTTTTTTCGCCATCCAGCGGCTGGCTTTTCTCCCTGGAACAAGGGGCTAAAGTATCAAACTGGCAAAAAGTGTATGTAATTAAATAAAAAAAACTAGTATAGAAAACAAGAAAAGCAAAAGTTGCGCAAGGGAAGAGAGAAAAAGTTATACAAGCTTGATCCTTCTTACAAAGGAGTTTATCGGTTGGAAGGAGACGGCAGGGTGGTGCGATCAGGTGCTCACTTGGGCTCTTTCGCCATGCTTTTCAGTGCGCGGTATGTGAACAAAAGTAGTTTGAAACAAGGACTTGACACAAAAGGCTGATTTTTTCCGGTGCGTAATATCTTTACGAGCCTTCCACGAAAAGTTTTTTTAGCCTCTAACATGGACAATGTTAAGCTACCGACGTGCCCAATTCTTTATGTTTTCGCCTTCATTTCTGTTTTATTTCTTCTCGTTTAGAGTATTTATTTCAGAAATTTCTACTCCCGTCCTCCTCGTCTTTTCGTATTCAGTAAAACGTCAGCTGCTGGTTTGCGCCTGCCCTCTTCTACTCCCTCTTGTCTGTAGTACCATCTGTGTCCTTGGGGCTCTTGTGGCTTGTGTGCTGTCCGCATTTGCACGAGTCGGCCCAGCGAGTGGACGTGGCATTTTGCAGGGAGCTGTGTCGGCTGGACTCCCTGGAGTCTGCCCAGGAGTCTGGAAGCATCCGCAACATGGCCACTTTCCTGGTGGAGCTGTCGGAGCGGATGCCCGACCTCGTGCTCAAGTCTGCCAGCCTCTTGGACAGCCTGCTCGACATCAAGGTGAGCTGGACACAACCTCTGCCCCAGCCGTCATGGTGAATCAATTTCACGTTGACGCACCCTTAACTGGGAAAGTGACTTTGGAAATTTGCTAATACTATTTCGGTTTCTCGAGCCTCGCAGATTGCACTCAAGAGTGACCAAGATATTACGAGTCTGTTTGCTCTGAATTTTAACTGTAGCTTTGTAAGGGTGTTAAATGTCGGCCCGCGGGTTCAATATCCTCGCAATTTTGTTTCAATAATGTAGAAACCCACGGTGTGAACTATGGACAGCTAGTTTGGGATGGAACCGGGCAAATGCGTGCATTTTCGTCTCGTTATCGTGGACACAAGCTTTCTAAATACCATGGACAAACATAAGAAAAGGAAGTGGTGAAGCTTTTGGGTCACAGTGTACACCCAAAGATTCACTTTTGTGAAGCTTTGGGTGTACTCTGTGTCAACCACGTGCCCAAGAGAATGTACAGTACCATGGAAAAGTCAAAGAAGATCCAGAGAGGACTTGGAGGGAAGGGGAAGTTGACTAACGTCGTAATGAAGAAGCTGAGAAGCTACTATGCATCCGCTTTGAAAGGCAGCACTCTTAACAGAAGATGTTGCAAGGCTTATTTGCGAGTCTTCTGTACTCATACTCCAACTAAATGAAGAGCCATGGCATGCGGCCTGCCCTAGCGGAGAGGACTCATGGTGCCATGACAGCCGCCAGAAGGCCCTAGAGGCAGCGGGGAAACCGTCGTGCCACTTCCATATTGGTCAGCTTTCACGAGAGACATTGCGAAACATCCTCTGTACAACCGCCCCCTGCTTAGAGCTCAATTGAAAGGTACTGCAGGATGAAGACGCAGAACGCAGACGATTCTCTAGACGCACTGAGCTGGAAAAGGTGCCCCAAGACGGAATTAGTGTCGCTGAAGACCGTGGGGACTGCCGCTGTCATGGTAGTCCCTGTCCTGAGCTCAACTTGGGACCTTAAGGCTTTGAAAGGATCCTCAATGAGGTTGGCATAAACTCTGAAAAGCATTATAAAAAGCGCATGAGGACGATGGCCTAACAGAAGGTTTCAAAGGCTAACGTGAAGGCAATGGACACCTCCAAGATCGCTCAGAAAAGTCATAAGCTGAAAGTCGTCGCCAACAAGAACAGATAAAGGACCCACTTATGAAGCTGGCAAAGCAATTGATTATCGGCTCCATTTTGAAATAATAGATTCTTTAAGGAGACATGCTTTTCACTCCGGAATATGCGGTTCCTCAGTAGTATCTCGTGGAAGTTGTTTATTGAGCTGAAATTTTCCATGTGGTCCTTTTATATCTTTACCAACATACCCTGCAAATTTCACTCAGATTGAGTACTGTAGAATACCGTGCATCCGCCCATTTCACATTAAGCGCCCATTACCAAATTTGTGCGATCTGAGGAAATACGTACAGTACATTTATATGTAAAATTCATGACCGGACAAGCGCCCATCCCCCATTTTTTTGCGATTATCTCACAAGTTTGCCCGATATTTTACAGTAAGTACCGTAGTTAAGAAAGGCACCCTTTTTTGCCCACAATCTGCAAAGAAATAAAAGTGGTCACTGTAGCCATTTCATGCAATGCGAGCAAAACGGTGTCGTCGGGTACCTCACGACGGAGGTGCGAAGTGGTTAATGCAGATTTCCATCGTCGTTGGCTTCGTGGATGCCACTGACGAGTCTGCCACAAGGGCTCGGTGTCTGGTAAAGTAAGTGTTTGAGGCAAGACACTGGATGCACGTGTCAACTTTCTTCGGACGCAAAAGGTCAATGGTGTTACCGGCACACATTGTGGGTGCGTCGACATCGGACACCACGCAGAGGCCTAATTCCGCTGTGACGAGGATGCGGAACCAGTCGCTCTTGCAACCGCCAAGGTTGACGTTGAAGTCGCCGGTTACGATGACTGGAATGTCGTTGCGGCACAGAGCACGGAATCGTCGAAACGCGATATCGGTGAAACGTCTGTTGTGGGTTGGCCACGTCGAAGGTGTTCGCCCAAGGGGGCCGCGGAAGCCAGCTGTAAACTGAGCCGTTCCCTCCGCGCTCTTTCCTGGGATGGGTATGGCCTTGGCACAGTGGCGCCATTAGGGAGAGTCTGTGGCAGTGACGCCACACACAAAGGTTTCCCTGGTGTTGTTGAGCGGTGAGGGGAGGGTGTAATGTTGACGCTCGGCAATGAGCGAAGAGGGGTATGCATAATTTTCCCTCTTCATGTAGCGCAGATAAGAATGGTTTTTCGATCCCCGCTGCGACGACAGACAGCAACAAACACCAAAACGGAAATCCCTGCTTAGTGTCACCCAAAAGGGGAGGCAATTTCTGGAAGGGTTTAGTTTTAAAGCTAGCACTTTAAAAGTAAACACTTCCAGGTATTGTCTCCCTTTAAACAAAAATAAACAATATTTACTGATTTAGGGGCGTAATATCTCAGCTTTTCCATGAGGCAGTGCTGCAGTGGTGCAGTCTACTTGTCGCGGTGCCATTTCATTGGTGAAAATGAAAAATGTTCCGTGTATTGTTATAACAGACAAGTGCTGTGGCGATTTTACTGTCTTAGCAGAATCAAATTTTTGTGTGTGTTTCATTCACCTTTCATATCTAGTACCCTTGTCAGACAAACTAATTTAGGGCTCTTCAACCAGGGGCACTTCATCTAACCGAACATACTTCAAGTGTTTCTGTGGCTACACGGGATCAATTAGTCTCACTTGGAAATTATGACAATAACGATGGGTAAAGTAAAGTAAATGTCTCAACAATATTTTTTTTTTAATAAGGACAGATTACAAGACATTTTTACGTTAATTGACAATATTTACGCCAGTTGGATGATTCTGATCGATCATCACAAGCCAAGATAAAGAAGAATTTAAAGAAGCAAACTCGCTTGAAGCCGAGTGTGTTCTTCAGGAAGAAGTCGTGTGGCACACTACGGAAATGACACTAAAGGCAAACTGCTCTCCGTTGAAGTGCACTAAATTAGCCCGTTTGACCAAAATATTATTTTATATTTTCTAAAAAAAAATTATGTGTTCTTTTCATTTAAATGCTGTCTAAGAGATTTCATTATGTGAGCTGGCGAACACACTGCCAAAGTGGCCTCCTACAATGATTAAAACAGCTAGGCTCTTTCTGCCTTGTCATTCTTCCGTCTGTCCCTTGGAATCTGCCGTGCCTGGTACGTACTGCTCACTCGCACTCCTCGTCACGAGCAGAGTGCGTGTTCTCGGCAGTTTCATCGCTGCCCCTTGCTTCCTGACGCTATCCGGACTGCTCTCGCTCGTGCAGAGCTGCACCATCCGCAACAGTGTGCTGACAGTGTTCAGCAAGGCAGTGCTGGCAGTGCTGAGCAGAGACGACCTGGCCCCCGGCGAGAAAGAGCTGCGGGATTTACTTCTGGACAAGCTCGAGGTACCCCCTTGTCCTCCTTATTTATTGCTGTTGGAAATACTGTCACTGGAGCGACTAATGAAGCTATGCTTAGTGTAGCGGCGCTCTCTTTCCCAATTTTTTTGAGGGCTCCGCCATTTTACTGATTGGGAGAAGCAACACCCGCGGAAGCGAGCTCCGCAGGTCTTGCTTCTTTACAGTGCACCGGTGCTCGGTGAGAAGTGCGCTCAGCAGGGCTAACACGCTGCGAAAAATACAAATATCGCAGCTCATCTTGAAATGATTATCAAATAGTGTATTATTCAATACTACCAGGGATGGGCAAAATACATGCAAATTTGTATCGAAATACAAATACAAAATACTTTGCCAAAAATGTATTTAATTACAAATCTAATTACATTTCCAAAAAAGCATTTAAGTGCAAGATATAAATACAACCAAATGTATTCGTTCTCCTCCAAATACTTTTCCAAATACATTCCTCAAAATTTGCATCAGTGACTTCAGGGCACCTGCAATGGGTTTCTGGGTATCTCATTTTAATTTTGCATCGCACACTTGGGAGTTAGTGTGCGAGGCTCTAGTAACGTAATAAAAATATAATCACAAAAAAACGTAATCAGCTTGGACGTAATAGGTGAAAAAGTACAGAGCTTCGAGCAGCTTTTTTTGTCGATTACATTTTGGTATAGACCAACAAAGAACTGAGACGACCAAGACGTGCAGAACTAGCCAGAGAATATTTTATTGTTGCAACTCGCACCAGTTACGAAAATCTGAATGACCCGCGCATTTAGAATGTTCCAGGCAAACATATGGATAAAAATCAGGCTGGAGAGCATCACAAGTTGTCACAGGCACTTATTTAGCCAGTCTGACTGTGAACGTCAATTCCGTCACTATTCTTGCCCTGGACTAGCACCGTAATAAAAAAATTACTAAATGCTTGTGCTTGATTGAGAAACACTGCATACGGTGCAGAACATAGTTTTCTTCCTGCTCTGGACACGTCTTAGGATGAGCAAAATTAGTCGTGACAATAAATTTGAGGGATGCATTTTCGTTCACAAAATTGTATTTAATTACAATTGTATTTGAAATACCCACGTTTTAGTATTTAAATACACGCGTCAAATACATTACCCACTTTGTAATTAAATACAAATGCAAAATACAGAAAGTATGCAAAATATGTATTTCAAATACTTGTATTTGAAATACTGCCCATCCCTGAATACTACCATTTGAGTATATTCGCACAATGCTACTGCTTTATAATTTATTTATTGATATGCCACAGTATTTTGGTGATATTACATAAGGGTTTGGTTGCAACGAAGAAACAGTTGCTGTCTGAAAAACAGTGGTATCTGAAAAGCAGTGTGCATAAAAAGCAAACTAAATGACTGACAGCAAAAGGGCACTTCTACAAACACACAAGTATATACCTTGTGTAAGTGCAGCCTCTGGTAATATTAGTTGCCGAAATTCCCTTGCATCACGTTTAGCGACCATGTTTGGGGGAAAACCGTTCCAATTGGTGGCATTATGCAAATAAAAAGAACTTAGAAAAATGGTGGTTCGTGCTTCGGACACCTCGCAACAAGGTTCTGACCCGTACAACAAAAAAGGCGTTAGGAAATTTTTTTTTTTTTTTTATGAATGTTGGTTTGAGGATTATGCTGTTATAAAATTTGGATAAAGGCATAGCCCAATGATTTTGCAATGGTCAGAGAGGGTTGGGATGAGTGTCAAAAATTCTTGAAAATGAGATAATGCTGAATTGATTTAATATTAATGATGCATGTGCCAGATGTACATTCAAGTTTCTTACAGTAATACCGTAAAGTTCCAAAAGAACGCCCACCCAAAATGAAGAAATAAATGGTGAAAAACATGGGGTGGGCTATGTTTGGGGATTCCACAGCAAAACTTTATCAAAGATTAATGATAAACACCCTCGCACCGACTGCAAACCACGTGGCATGGGAACTGATACCGCAGATTGCGGACACCGCAAATTCGTGTTTCACGATGCGATAAATATGCGGGAATTTGCTATGAACTCTTGTGTCACGGGGAAGGATGCTGCAGGTTGTGGATGCAACAGTTTTGCTTTTAGCGGTGCGAAGGGCCCGCAGAAACCCGCCGAGAACTTGCATTTCACAGAAACGAATGCCGCAAATCCCGGACGCAGCGGATTCAAGTTTTATGGGGCAATGAAATTGTGGGAACCCGCTACGAACTTGCCTGTCACGAAAAAGAATATCGCGCGTGCAGATCACGGACAAAAACGCGGGAATAAGCTACAAACCTTGTGTCTCGGGGACGGATACCGCAGATTGCGGATGCAGCTGATTCGCATTTCACGGTGCAACATACACGTGGGGACAATTCGCGTGTTACGGGAGCTGATATCATGCACGCAGATCGCAGGCAAAAATGCGCGAATCCACTATGAACTCGCTTTCACTTGTCAGGCGTGCCTGTACAGCTAATTGCGTGGTTGATCTGATTGACGTCGGACATCGCGTGACGTCTGACGGGAATCGGAGGGTGGGCGATGTTTCGGAATTTTTATGTTACAGATATTTAGCCAGAAAAATGGGATGGGCGATCTCCTGGGTGCGGGCGGTCTCTCGGAACTTTACGGTAGATGATTAAGCAAGCAGTTTAAAACTTTATATATTTAGCAGTACTGCAGCTCTCCACTGAAAGCCATAGCAGGAGTGGAATCAGTGTTAGAAATACAAAGAAAATAAACATGAGTGCACAAAGAGCAGTAAAGTGTTCATTTGGAAGAGGCGTTGTAATATCATTTCAAAGTGAAATAAAATCTTGTGTTGCCTGAGGCAAAATGAATATTTGAAAACATTGTGTTTAAATATGTATTGCTTGATTGATCTGGCAGATGAAAAGGTGATATTTTTCAATGTTAATATTAAATTTGCCTCGAAGAAAGGATTGGAAATATTTGAATCTCTTTATCGTTGCCCTAGCTTCTAGCGTTTGCATCTTGGCTCGTTAAAGTGAATGCGACTCAGAAATGCAGTTACTAAATGCATTGAGGATGAACCCAGGTACTGTATTTACTTGCACATGCGCAAGGATATAAGAAAGATAAGCAGAGAAGCCCTCGCCTAAGCAAACAAAACAGCTTGCAAAAGACGGCAAGAAAAAAACAAAAAAACAACCTACGGAACTAACAAAAACAAAAAGGAGCTGTTTTTTTCTTTTTTGCACAGCAGAGTTTGGTTATGGGGTCGCGTGGGCCGCGCGCAAGGAGATAAGAAAAAGAAGCGGAGAAGCCCTCCCCTGAGCAAAGCGCACATAATGAAGGCATCCTGCCCTCGCCTCCTCCTCGCACTTTGGAAAGAGAAGCAAGAAGCCCTCGAAATGAACACACTTTTCTATCCTGGTGCAGCGAGGCCGCCAATGCATGGGCAGCGTGGGCAAACAAAACAACTTGGGAAGGGCGGAAAAAACAACAACACGGAAGCAAGAAAAAAAACAAAACAACATGAAGAGGAGCTTTTGTTTTGTTTTTGCGCATCCCAGTTTGGTTTTGGAGTTGCAGGCAGCGCACAAAGAGATAAGAAGTTACGTCGATTTTTCGGGATAAAAGGTCCGTTCATTATGCGAGTAAATACGAATGTAAAAATTTTACTTTGCGTAATAAACTTTGCATCGATTTTTTGGAAAAAAAAGTGTGTTCATTCTGTGAGTAAATACCTATGGTAACTGCCTTTTTTTTTTTAAGGGGGGACACTGGCTATAGGTTGAACTTCTGAACTACTCAAGTGATCGGAGTAAAATTTGCAGGGGAGATTTAACTTCAGATGTAGGTGTACTGTGCAAACTTTCAGCTCTCTAGGACAAATTTACATACCTGCGTAAGGTGATACGCCACTCTTTGTAGGAAATCTATGATTTGCAAAGGAAGCTATTGAGTATCATTTTGACTGCTTGAATGTAAAGTGGGGGATATGGGACCTTCGGGCTATCTCTATTCGTTTTCATCTCAAGAACCATAGTAAAACAAGTTCGTCTCCTCGCGGAGCCTTACTGATTTCCCCCTTTATGTGGATAATTAAGATATATGTCAGTGAATTTTAGTTTAGATATTTGTTATCTTATCAAGACATACACGTTCCAAATGCCAAAAGCATTGCTTTTTCCTCCAACAACCAAATCTCGTAAGAGCTACTTTGCGCCGTGTATGAACAATGCTCAAAACTTGCTTTTTTCTTGAAGTGAAAACAGGTATAGTTTAATAACTCAACTGTAAATATTTTAAGAAGAGTTATTACCTCGAAATATGAGATGCATATCTGCCCTGTGTCGATTTTTGAAAACACGGTTTTGTATCACTGAGGGGTTCACCTTAAAACAAAATAAAGTAGATAGTTGGATTCCCCAGTAAATTTCAGTTCAGAAATATGTTGATTGTGGTATCAGAATACTTTTCCCTTCGAACAAAAGATTCCTTCGTATGAAATTTCTAGCAAAAAGTGGAACTGAGAAAAATGCATTCAAACATTGCACTACTTTACTTTGTTACTGCCTCGCAATGTGTTGAAAATATTTTATATCAACGTAACTATTTGGCGCATGGTTATGAAATTTAGTGTAAGGGTGTATAATTAGTTTCTGAAACCGAAAACCTCAAAATTGAAAAATGAATTTTTTCAAAATAATTTGAAATTTAAGTTTATGTTTTATTCCAGTTTACTCAGTCCTTCCGTCATGTGGGTGAACCATATGATGCAACAAATGACGTGAGGCCAGTTCAACTCTTTCTGTACCATGCCCATGACCATCGATCCAGTGAGGTCTGCAGTTTATACAGTGGAAAATATGGTAGCTCTCCACAATGCCCACTATGTTCAGAGTCTGGGGGGGTTACCGGGCAAACCAGACGCAAGGCTTACGAATGCTAAAGTAACACGCAAAAATATGGCGGGAAGCAGTTCTCTGCCAAATATGGTGGAGAAAAGCTTCCCCTCTAAAGGTGGCGGCAAAATTTTTCCATTCAGTTTCCCCGCCAAATTTAGCCATTCGGCGATGCCACCCATTGCATGCACTACTATCCACCGGGATTACGGGCCATATATGACTATTGCCATACAAATGAATTGTTTGGCCAATTGATTGATTGACCGATCAATTGATTGATTGACCGACTGACGACATCCTTCCCCGGGGGCCGAGCAGGCCCACCTGGAGGACGAGAATGCCTTTGTGCGCAGCCACGTGCTGCAGCTGTGGCAGGAGCTGTGCATCCGGGGCGTGATCCCTCTGGGCCGGCAGCACGCCCTGGCGGCCACGGTGGCCGGCCGGCTGCTGGACAGGTCCAGCATGGTGCGCCGGCATGCCGTCTGCTTCCTGGCCACCAGCCTCGACTGCAACCCCTTCTCCGCCAAGGTGCTTCCTCCCTCCCTGTTCCCATTGGAAAAAGGAAGTTGTGCAGCTGTAGCTCAACGGGCCGATCTAACCGTCGTGCTAAATTGCGATGGACCTTTTTTGAAATTTAGTTCGGCAACTTTGATCGCTATCATCACCTTCGTGTATGGCATCTTTACCAAACTAATGGTGGCTTTCTTGAGGCTGATGGAGGACGAAGTTGAAGATACGGTGATGTCTTGTTACTACGGACAACTTTGTTCCCCCCCAAAAAGCGTCCGTTATCTGAGTTGTCTAAATAATGAGATATAAATGCGTGTAATCTCGGTTTGACTCTTAAAATGCTGTCTATATTGCTGCGTACATGGCTGAGGGGGAATGCTTTTCCATACTTTGAGAAAATTTGCGTTTATTCTTACTCCAAATGTCCGACGCATGAACATTTTAGGCCGAATGTTTGAGATAGTGAGTGGAGTAAATGAGGAGCCCAGCATGGCCTTGCCGACCTACTCTCGCATTAGCCAGCTGTCACGCCGACACCTAGACGCTTGCTTCTGCTTCCTCCACGCTTATTCTTTCTCTTGCTTCTGGCACAAGTCCGCCGATTATACCTTCATTTTCAGTTTTACGCTTGTCTATCCTTTTTCATCCGTGACAATAAAGTGGGGTATCCATATTTACAGGATTCGACTACTAAGCGGAGTATACATGAGCAGGGGTGGAACGGCTGCGCCATTTGCGCCATTTCGCGCCAAACGCATTTGTCTGCGCCATCCTGCGCCATTTCACGGAAACTGCGCCACAGCCAACACCTTGCGCCATTATGCACCAAATCGCACAACGTGCGCAAAAAAAAATATTTTGTCTTGGTTTCGGTTTTTATCGACTCGATTGGCAACGATTAGCGCGTTTAGCTTGGTCGGCCTTGCAATCCTTTGTTCTGTTTATTCTCCCTGTGTATCCCTAGTCGGAAGCGCGCGAAAAAAACGCAGGGTTCGGATTCGAAGTGCTACACCTGCGACTGGATTGTTATTCTTCTACCATAAGCGGTTAAGCAAGTCGGCCGAGGTGAGGTCGAGTCGTTAAGCGTCAGATTGCCTGAGGCTCTGCGGCCCCGGATCCGTACGTCAGCCAGTTGAAAACAAATGAGCAAAAGATTCCTTTTAGTAGTTCATCGTTAGAAGTTGGAACCGCATTCCTGCAAGATAAATTGTGATTTGATAGGTCTGAAACGCGGTCCGATCCGAAACCTTGCCGGCCAGCAGCTCTTAAAGGGATACTACAACGAAATTTCGGCGCGCATTTTTTTGGTCTATATGTGTTCAAAGGAGCAGCATCACATCGAACATACCAATATCTTGTTAAAAAGTCACGAAAAGGAATTTTAAAACGAATTAAACGATTAGCAAAGAGCACCTGGTGGATATCGCTAACGCCTCGCTTGTAATGCCCGTCTAGGAACCTTGACAGCTAGTGACGGAGGTTGTCTCGTCTCCGGCCACGACGAGAGAAGAGGGGCAGGAGGAACTCCCCTCTTCCCGAGAATGCCTTTTGTGTGTCGCAGAGGTCGCTATTGTCCCCCTACAAGATTATAGAAGATTAGCCCGCCACTCAAAATTCGTACAAAAGCAGCCGCTTCGGTGGCTGGAACGACTAGGCCATCCTCTCGACGTCAGCCTCGCCGTAGCTTTGCTCGTCCCGAGACAACCTACGTCACGATTGCGTTGGATGTCACGTGGTCTCCGCTGGGCCTTCTCCGAGCGCTTGCCAGAGTGGGCCGTTTATAACGAAAAATACAGCCACCAGGCTCAAAATAAAAACGTGCGATTGTCATTTACGGATATTGTGGATCATATTCAACCTATTTTTGAACACGACGGGAATATTTCAAATTTCGTTGAAGTATCCCTTTAAGCGAGTGGTAGGTCTACTCCTGCTTATCGCTTTGAATACGATAACTCCGTTAATTGTAGTCTGCTGCTTCGGTATTGAGTTGCACAATAGGATAAACTCGAAATTTGTTTCCCTGTTCCTCCACGCAACTGCACGTCCGTTGCTTTCGCACGTCAAAAGGTTCGCACATATAATTACTATGTGGAGCACGTGTGGGTTGTGCGATAAGCAGTGCTGGTTTGCATTTTGAACAGCTGAAAACCACTCAGAGAATATCAAGGACAGCATCTTCAGAAACATATGGTAGTTGCTTTTTAATTCTCATTAAGGCTCACAAAGTTTCAAGTTTTCGCATCTGTTACACTGTTATCCAATCTACCTAGGTCCCTAACCACTCATGTTCATCTGTGCTGCTAAACACAATTGAAATTGCTCCCGTGCTCGTCTAAGACACAAGCTGAAGTGCAATGAAAACTGATCTGAGCTGCTCCTAGCCTGCTCCAGAATGGAGTTTTAGCTGCTCCCAACCTGCTCCAAAACAGCGGTTTCAGCTGCTCCCGTGGCTGCTCCCAAATACATTTCATGAGTTCCACCCCTGATGAGGCCCGTATGTCTCAAGCTTTAGTATAACATGACGCATGGACTAGGTACAACAGCTGCGTAAGCGTTTAGTTCAGGGTGTGATCTGACCAATCTCTTGGCGCAAGCTTGCTCTAAAGCCTTTTGATGTAGAAATCTAATTGAGGGGCTCGTGAGTTGCTGCTTGCTTTGCTGGTCAGTTCATATGTTCGCAAGATCGAAATTAACAACTGAAGAAAGAATTATGAGTTGATCGAAGAATTGATTCTCATCTGCCATTGTTGTGCAAAAGTGACGGCGTCTGATGATGTACTGTTTCACGACAGCCATTAATTCGTCGAAAGTGAAACTGATTTTCGAGTCACCAGATGGCACTGAATTTCGAGAAGGGTCTGTATATATGGTGGGTGTTTAAGCGAAGACTCAGAAATTCCTATCAATAGGGTGATTGATAAAAAATAAAAATGAAACTCTTTTCGGGAGCAAACTGCCGGCCACGGTAAACGTCGGGCATTTAGGAAAAACATACTAATTGGCTGAAAAATGAACCAAAATTCGCTTATTAATTTTTTAATCAGTGAAAATAAATGTATGGTTCCAATTAGAGACTTTTCCTAAATCAGTCAATTTTAGGAAGACTCGGAGTACATGGGAAGAGTTTAGGAACGCTAAAGTTTCCACACGGGCAGCGGGAACGAGGCGGGTGATGCCAAAATCCAGATGATATTCTTGTCATTTGCATTTTCACGTTACCAGCCTGACATATTTTTGAGTCTTAGCTGAAACACCCGATATAAGAAATGGTTGGTTTTCACTTTTTTTTATTGGCACACACTGATCAGTTACGTAATGTCTCGCCACGTGACGTCGCATCACAGCGTTGCGTGACACTGAGCAAGGTCCTCGCTATCTGTAGCTTCTTACATGCGATAGCATTTCTGAGCGAACCCTACACACCTGTGCGTCCACGGTTCGGTTTGTAACCAACAAAGCAGGTAACATGCACCTGGTTTATACCCATTTCACAACGAATCTGGTATGATATATTGGCTTTTGATTGGCAAATACAGTTACCGAGGGTCTTATTATAAATATGTTTATATACATATATATATCTTTACACTGATATAGTAAGAGACAAACATTTGAGTTCCAGTAATGCTGCAAACATTGTTTGTTGGTCGTGCTCCCACGACTAACCAACGATTTGCAGGAAGTGGACAGTTAGAAAATTATGTGAATTGGTTATCAGTGTAAAAAAAACTTGATGGGCGTCAGCCAAGAAATATTTTCGTAGTTTTCGCAGCAGTTCCTCAGCAGTTCAGTAAAGAAACATTTACGTGGTATAAGACTGTCCCTTTCATTGAAATCTCATGCCAACGACACTCTACACAGCGATCTTTGGCAACAATATTTTGTTAATGAGTACCCATGTGCTTGTTTCAAATTGTGCCATCGTGTCCTGAAGGTTCAGGGATGGGTATACGTATGTTTGAGTCAGGTTCAACTTTTTAAAACTGCCGCCAAAACAAACTTGTATTAGACTTGGCACCTGCACAACGAATGTTATGCATGTGTACGCCGCGTCCTGTCCAGTTCTCCCTTCGTTTTCGCTTGTGTTTTTTTCGCATATTATACCATGATGCAAAACCGACTAGCCATCCTTAATGTTTCTCCTTGTTTTTCTTTTTTCAGTTAACCCTAGAAAAGTTGGAGACGAACTTGGCGGTCGAGAAGGCAAAGCTGAAAGGCATGATGTTGGAGAGTGAAGCAAACGAAGGTGGGGCTATTCTTTAACAGAGAATGTTATTTTTGTAAATTTCTACAGGGTGTACAACGCCGTTGTTGAGCTTGAGAGGCTTGTCGAGACCTGGACGCTATAATTGCTAATCGTTGGCAGAAAAAAGAGAGCTAGAAATGGTATGAGAAAAAAGAAAAAGAAAGCTACAATGTATGAAAGTCTGCCACTTGATGTCAGAAAAAATTTAGTTTCACCCAAAGATTGTAGAGAGTGGGAGGAACCAATGATATGCTGAACTTCATAGAGCGTTGTGCGGAATTGAAACAGAGTGGCGCCAGCGTGCAAGTAGCGCTTGAACGCTTTCGGTCCCGAACTAGGCCGAAAGTTTTGCAGTACAGTCGAGACCAATTTTTCGGACAGATCCGATTATTCGGCGCCGAACCGTCACTTACCCCATAGAGTTAATGTATAACATTGACCGAAATTTCGAACGCCATAAAGCTTATTGCTCGATATTTCTGACATAATTTGTGTGATTTCCTAAGTTAACAGCCACAAAACCACTGCCGCAATAGCGCCACGAACTTAGTCACCGCCTTTTTGGTAGTTTTGATTTCGCCCTGTAGCCTCGATGTCACGTCCTACGCAATAAACAAGCTGGGTTGAGTCTATAGTCGGGTTTTCCGGTTCTGCTATAGCCAACATGGCCACCGTCTGCCCATTCTTATGGCTCTTCCAGTTTTTCTTGTGGTCCGTGTTTTTCGAGTGCAACCGCAAGAAGAGCGGCCGTCTACCGTTCTTGTGGTCTTTGAGCACGAAGGTTTTTTGCCGATAAGCTTAGTATTGAAGCGAGCCTGGTGGACTAAACATTTTCCACAAAGAGTGCCAAATAGCGCCAACTTCAACTTTGCTGTTTGTGCCAACAAAGGTGCCAACAAAGTGCACCTCCGTGATCAAACAGATCAACAAACAAATGAAAAGGGAACAATATAAAGCAGAAGTTGCATGAGAACTTAAAATTGACATCAAGCAAGTGGAAGCTGGCCAATACGCAGCGGGGATATGTGCGGAACTTTGATATTTTGGGGGGGGGGGGGGCTAAAATCGATTTTTCGGATTACTTGAATATTTGGACAATTTCGGGCTCCAAGTCCGAAAAATTGGTTGGCGACTGTACATCAAATCTAACACTAGATTTGTAAAGAATATTAAGCACCATAAAGTGCAAAAATTTCATTTCACTATCGTAAATAATTTAAGAAATGTTTTCCCCAAGTGCATGCCCCTTTGAAAATTGAGGAAATGTGCGCACACTGGAAGTGTTCCGGGGCTCTTTAATAGACGGTGCTAGCGTGTTCTCTCGTGGCGGCTCGTTTCACTTTCATGTAAATAGACAGATTTCGACGACAATCAATTGCAAGAGGTTGTAGCGCAGTTGTCCACAACCAAATGCAAGTGTGGGATCCAGCCTCTGCTGCAGCTCCTTGGTGATGTGGTGGAGGGACCTCAAGAAGGGATGAGAAATAAGAAAGTGAAGAGCAATTTTCCAGACACACTGGAATTTGTTTTCATGCTTTGGTGAAATTTAGGCTTCGATTTAGTTAGTCTAAAGGGCATGCCGCTTCGATAGCTTAGATCAGTAATTGAATGGTGCTGGGAAGTGAGGATCTAGTTTTTGAAATGCAAGGACATATGGGCTCTTTTGACAAACTCCTACAAATTTTTGAGTACTGAAAACGCCAATTAAAGCAATGGAAGTGCCTTGCCATTTGTGCCAAATTGCGCCATGAACGAAAGTGTGCTACGTCTTGCGCCAAAGTACCATTTTTTGCTAAGAATTGTGCCAGACCTGCGCCAAAATGGGCAATGCAAAAAAGAAAAAAAAATTATCGTTGGTTGACTTTAATATTTAGAAAAGTAGGAGGAAAGTTAAATCAGACAAATATGTATTTCAGGGTGTCCCTACTCGCCTTACTGTTTGTTTTATCTTAGGTGGGAGCACAGTCGAAGGCTCGAACACATACAACCACAAACACATTCGAAAAGCGCAAGTCACGGGACATTCGCTGCACTTAATTGGTTTAGTCTATGAAAGACCACACAGAGGAAGATGGACGAACGCCATAATGTCGCGCTTTGACGCTGGTCAGCCTCATTGGCCCATAGCGACGGCTGCGCATTAAATTTAGGTGGAACGAAGTATTGAGATTGCTCGTCAATCGCGCTGGTTCGTCGATGCGCTGGCGGATTCATCGCCGAGACCGTCTAAATTTCCAGACGATGTCGGCGATGTGGGGAGCTAAAAGTTGCGAGAAAGCATTGCCAAATTGTACGATGGCGGCTACTGTGATAAGACAGAACCAGGGTCTTGTACTCCCGATGAGATCGCTTAAGAGGGGACACTACCCAGAGAAGAAAAAATTCTGCAAAAAACATCGATTTTGAAAAATTACATATTTACATCCATCTACATCCAGAGAGTATACCCAGAAATTTTCACTAGTTTACACTGCATAGTTAATTTTTTATAAATTATTTTCTGTCCACCAAAGCTAAAGAAAAGGTAGGGTTTGGAGCACTTTGAACACATTTTTCTCCATTCCACTTTTTGGTATAAATTCCATTTTAGTCAATCTATCGTTTGAGAATGGCAATACAGGGAAGACTCATTCTTCACTTTTCCTGACTGAAATTTAATAAGGAATGCGCCTATGGAGATTGTTTGTCACTTTACGGATGTCTTTTAAAAAAATGTTTACTTTTTGTTGGAGACACAGAAGACCAAAAAGTTGACCAATTTTGCAGAAGAGAAAATTGATGAAATCAATGACTTTTTAGAAAAAACTTTCCATAGGTGCACCTTTTAGGCATTCTGCTATATATCTAGCGAATAAAGATCTTGAATATTGTGATAGTTTTCCGATGATAGATTAACTAAACAATGTAGGGATGTTGCTGATAGAAGCTGCCCTAATTTCCTTCCCACTTAACCGACAGACCTGAAATTTTGTTATGCACCCTCTAGCATGACCAACAGCCTACCCTGTAAATTTCATTAATTTTAATCCAAGGGTTCAAAAGTTGACCCTCCCAGGGGGTGTCTCCTCTTAATTACAGCGCAACCCACTTATAACGATACCACATATAACAATGTACCGCTTATAACGATCAGTTTCTAAACTGGAAATTATGAGTTTCTAGTCTAGATACAACGATAATCAGTTATAACGATTGCAATTTTGGGTTTTCTCATTATCGCGATAAGTGGGTTGCACTGTATGTCTGCCGCATAGTTCCGTGCCGCCGCTCACCAGCGCGCGCATGTCGAGCTTCACCGCTTTGCACCGGAGTGCTAGGTGTAGCGTGATAGGCTCCATAATTATGCCCAGTACAATTCCAGGTCTACTTTTTTTTTTTTTGTCTCGGTGGTAGGTTGATCTCCAATTTAAAAATTACGCCGAGAAGAAAAAATGCGGGTCTATGTTTGAATAAATGGTAGTCAAGTTTGTTCCCGTGCATCTGTCGATCGAAAGAACTGCAAACTTTGACTTGACTCTGGTTCTAACGCCACTAAGGATCAGTGTCACTTGCATAAGTGTAGGTTTTCATACTTAAGGGTGGTTGTTTTAACAGTTCACAATATTAAATTGAGTTTGGTAGGTTCATAAAACTTGGTGGGCACTTTTTTGTTGATAGATAGACGAGCTGGTTTTTGCAGGCATTTTACAAAATATAGTGTAGACCGCATATAACGTATGTCGCGGGAGTCGCGAAAATCCGCACTATAAGCGGTACCGCGTTATAACCAAAACATCAATTTTTCAGGCCAAAATACATGCCATGAGACAACTTACCTTTGTAAAAGAATTTATGTTATGTTAGATGAAAAATAAAGCTTAGTTTGAGGAGAGTCTTTATTTCACCAGACTAGTACACTTCCCTCTCAAGTGTGTCACACATTTGAAAGAAGTGAGTGACTTTTGCCTGGCGCAGCCTTTTAACAGCGTCGCGAGTTGCGGACGGACGTTGCGAGCATTCAGAATTGCTAACCCTAATCACTTTTCTCCGGAGATGAAAACGCGTGAAAATTCGCATCCTTTATACGGTACGCGCCAGTAATACCTTCAACTTGAGCACAGGCATGAAATGCTCCAAATAAGAAATCCGGGCGGTGTTCGAAAACAAATGCTTAGAAAGCACCACTGTAGTCGAAGTATACAAACATGATGACACGGGCGTTTCTGCCGTCTTGAGAGTGCCGCCACAACATTGCCGCACGAGTAGGTGGATCTTTCCTTCTAGTACGTGCTGGGTTATCATAGCGACGATCAAAAAAACTGCTCCGACTTTACTCAACAAGATTAACAATTTAATCAAACGTTTCGTCACCCATGCAGGAAACATCGTCAGTGAAACCTACAAGCAGGAATGAGGGAAAAAACTTCAACAGCCCTATTTAAGCAAGTCCGCGTACACATCGGGGAGTGGGCCGCGGTTCGAGTTGCAAGCTGATGAGTCACTTCGGATGAACCATGATTCACGAACCTGCGTGGACCCCACCTTTGTTCGCGCGCCAGAGTAGACGCATTCTCAAAGTCGAAACAGTGACCCGTTTTCCAACAATGGTCTACGAGTTCCGTCTTCGCTCTTGTCGCATGCGTGGCCTTCGCCACGTCCCTTTTGTGTTCGTTTAAGCGAGTGCAGCGCTTCCGGCCTGTCTCCCCAATGTAGGGTGCGTCACAGTCTAGACAATTCACTTTATACACTACACCTTACTGGGACTCTGGGGGGGTGTAATCTTTAGGTTTAGAAATGAGGTCACGTAGTTTACAATGGGGTTTGAAAGCAGTGCGGATATTCAAAGGGGTGAGGGCCTTGCGAATAGACTCAGAAACACCTCTCAAATAGGGTATTGTTACTTGCCCTGTCCTAAGTCGTCCATTATCCTGACTTCTTCTTTGCCCCATCTGTTTGCGCGTGTTATCAATAAAACGTTTCGGATAATTCCGCTTCATCAACAGGTCAACAATAACAGCATC